CCAAATAGTGGCCCGCGCCAAGAACGGTAGAAATGGGCAACGGAGATGCGCCATGGGCCAGGAGTGCTGTATCGCCGCACAGCTCTCTGATGGAGGAAGCCACCAACCTCCTCAAGGAAATCTGCCTGGAGGGAGGCTAGTGGCACCATCATTAGCTGCTGGGCATGGTCGAGCAGAACATTGTGGCTATCGTGACCCACAGGCAACCCTACGACCTCGACAGCAGGTGATTCAAGCTTCCTCTCCTCCTCCTCCTTCATGGTGTGAAACGTTTGAGCCTTTTGGGGCGAGCCAACACCTGAGGCGAAAAAAGCAGCCCTTCTCCCCATGACTTTCCGGTCTGGAGTCCACCAAATGGCATTCCGATCATTCTTGGCTACATAGGTAGCCTGGTGAAGTGATTTGGGTGAGGGGTTTTTGTTGAGGAGGGAGCTGGCCTCTTGGTCTGGGCTCAACACACGACCCGCGCAGGCGTAAACTGCCATCTCAGTCTTCGGGGCGGATTGGGGGATCGATTGAAACCCGCAGGGGGGCGATCGAGGCCAGAGAATTAGGAGGAGGGGCGTTCCTCTGGCGGCGTTACTCCTTCTTCCTGATTCATCTCGCATTTGGGATCCTTGTCTCGCTCTCGAGCATTCGCCTTCACTGCAACATCTTTCGCATGCAATCAGCGCAACCGGCGAAGAAGCCTCCAATGTCGCATATCTTTGGGCGTAAACATAAGGATGAGGCACGTACCTACTCTCCGGCAAGCAACAGCGTTGTTGAACTGTCGTTTGCTAATTGCCTTTGCGTTCAGGAGGATCGTACCCTCGCACCACGCATAAGTAGCGCCTCCGATCTGGACAGGACATCGAAGCAAAGGGAGTATGGTCGTCGGCCTGCTTCCGACGAGCTCCTCATCTCCTCGATTAAGGACGTTCCGACGGGTTCGCATCAGAGAAAGCTAGACAGAAAGGCCAGAAGAGCGCAAGCGAAAGCCATTTCCAGAGCCCATCGCCGAGAAGAGAGGTGCGCCCATCTTCATAACAGATTTACCACGTGACGGGCAAGAAGGCGTGCCTCGCCTGTGCACGTGTTTAACGCGCGCTTCAACGTTCCGACCTCAGGGCGAAGCTAAAGGCTGAGGCCGAAGCTCGAGGAGAGAAATACGAGGAGGAGGAAGAGGAAGAAGAGGAGGAAGAGGAAGAAGAGGACGATGACGACGATGAGGAAGAGGAAGAGGGAGCCAGCAGCGTAGCGCTGCATGGTGGGTCCAGTTCAGGCTTTCCGCGCCTGAGCGATGCTGACAGCGAACAGGTACTCTCGCTCGTGAAAGCTCCTTCCCCTCCCCTCCCCCCCTGCTCACTGCGGTCGTTCTTGCACTCCGTGCAGGCGGGGAGCAGGTCGGTTGAAAACGCTGAGAGCGGCGAGAGGGACCTGACCAAGTCCGCGCCCGATCTTACTGAGAAAGTCAGTAGTGGCGGCCTGGGCGATGGGCGTCACAAACACCGTCATCACCACCAACACCACCAGGGCAGGTAAGGAATCTCTTTCTCCCTCGTAGCTGCGGGATCACTCCTACTCGCTCGAGCGTGTGCGTTACTGCGTTGGTGTATGCTGACACTCTGTCTTCACCACCCGGGGACGCGTACTATGTGGCTAGACGCAATTCCGCGGGTCCCAAGAGCCGCTCCTCTGCTCGAAAAGGCGGAGAAGAGCCGCGCTCGACGACGTTCATGAGCAAGGTGCTCGACAAGTTCAAGAAAAAGGATAAGGCCGTCAAGCAGGGGGGAGCGCCAGCTGGTGAAAAGGAGGCCGACGCGGAAGATGTCGAGCCTAGGAGGCACCTGCCTCCCGTCTACCTCACCTGCGCCGACGTACATCCACCACCTGTGGCGCGGCAGCGTCAGCCTTCTCACCTGAATGCACTTATGGTTGTGTTCAGGATTTGCCCAAGGATATGAGGAAATCATTGAAAGGTGCCCACTTCTATCCGTCTATGCGTACACCCAGCAGCTCGAACCGCTAACGTGGCCTTTTTCGTACGCGCAGCCTCGAAGCTTACCGAAGCCGAGATCCAGAATAACTTCGTAATTTTGCTGCATTGCTTCCACTTCCTCACCAAGAGATCGTTTGTCTACACGCCCAGCCCGGAGGCGGAGCCCATCAACATTGGGCGAACGAAGAACAAGGACAGGACCAAGGACAGGCGGGACACCATTCCTTCCTCGGGTACGGCATGTGCGCGTCTTCGTGCAGCTCTTTATTGGTGTAATAGCGCTGACCCAACTCGGATTCCATGCGTGCAGAGGCACTTCTGACTGACGGAATTGTCAAGAAGGACGTTAAAGTGCAGGAGGTGGTTGGTGAAGGGTACGTTCCCCCGACCCACGTTGCCCCATCCCTTTCCACGCGAGGCTGACAACCTATGTGTCTTCGCAGTGGATTTGGCCGCGTTTACATGGCTAAGAACTTGAAGGGGAAGGTACATCACTTTCTTTTGCATCATGCGAGTGCAAGTCTCAATCAAACCTCTGTTCGCCGCTATAGGGTCGGGTTGCGGTGAAGAAGATGAAGCACGTGAATCCACGCGATCAGTTCCGCAATCTGAGCGAAGTTCACTTCCTCAAGAGGGTGGACCACCCCAACATCGTGCGATTTATCTCGGCCTACACCACTCTGGACGAGCTCTGGATCGTCACCGAGTTCATGGAGGGCGGCACACTCTCGCAGGTTCGATACCTTCCATCGCTGCGACACGCACACTGTACAGCAGACGTTGCAGTGCAACCACAAGAGAGAGAGAGAGAGAAAGTAACCAATCACCACTCTACAGGCGATCAAAGGCTTCGAATTCCAGGAAAAGCAGATAGCGTTTGTGGCCAAGGAGGTATGTATCGACATAGTCGCTGTCGACGCGTCCCTTGTACTTAACACTCTCTCGTTCTCTCGTTCCTCCATGTTGTCGCTGCTGCTGCACATGCCTAGATGCTCCAAGGGATCTTCTACCTGCATCAGAACAAGCTCATTCACCGGGATTTGAAGGTACTCTCCACCCTTATCGCAAAGCCACGAACGAAGAAGTTGCAACGTAACTGGTTTGTCTTCTTTCTTTCCTCCCTTGCAGAGCGCGAACATCATGATGACCACGCAGGGCGACGTTAAGCTCAGTGCGTATCTCTGTCTCCCTGCCGGGCTTGAGGAAGAATGCTTACCTTTCGTCGGTTCGTGCGTCACACAGTCGATTTTGGTCTGTGCCTGGACTACGCGGTGCAGGGTGACAAGCGGTGTCACATGGTGGGCAGTCCCTTCTGGATGCCACCGGAGATGATCAAGAGGCAGCAGTACAGCTACCCCGTCGACATCTGGTCCTTTGCCATTTGCCTTCTTGAGCTGGCGAATGGACAGCCTCCAAACAGGAAGTCCTCCCTCAAGGTACCTTGGCCCGCAACCGCCCATGACGTGGGGTGTGCACGAGGCGTGGTCGATTCGCACGACTCCCACACGACGCTCTGACACTCGAGGGAGTGTGGCCTAATCCGTGCGGGGGGTTCGCGGTGTTGCGTAGGCGATGTTCACGGCGGGAACCGAGGGCTACCCCAAGCCGTTCAAGAACCCCGCACAGTGGACGAGGGACTTTAAGGACTTCATGAGTCGGTGTCTCCAATCCGATCCCGAGGAGCGTGCAACTGCGGAAGAGCTACTTCAGGTATCCCCATGCCCGTGGCGACTGGCCTGTTATGTGTCACCAGTTTCTTGCTCCTTTTGTGCACGTACGTTGCTTGAGCCCTTTTCCGCTTGTTCTCATCTCTTCTTCTTCGCCTTCTTCCTCTTTCCCTCTCACAGCACCCATTTTTGGCCAAAGCCGACACGAGGAAGGGCATGAAGAAGATTTTGTCACACATCTTCTTGCAGAATACCATGGAGATGATGAACCTTGGCGGTATCTAGATGCTGCCGTCCAGGGCCACGTCTTCCATGACACAGATATATATCAGCCACACTATTTGTATTACCACACTCCGCAACTGTCCTCCCTTCTCTCATTCTCTCATCATTCTTTCATTCTCCTTTCTGTTGTGTCTCTCTCGACGTTCTCTTCCTTTAGCACAGCCGTAGTATATATTACCATTTATCATCGCATGTATTACTAGTAATTCTATCATCGGACCCTTTCATCTGTCACGCCGCTGTGCTCCTTGAACTCCACACGGTGATTCCTTTGTGCCACACCACAGTTGTGAGGTAGCGCATGTGACCATTTCCCGATGTACCAGAGAAGAAAGAAGCTGCCACCGGCCGTCTCTCAGTCCATTTTGGCTTCCAAAGTGGCTGAATGTTGCAAGGCGTGGAGGTCGCCCACCGCCACCGGTGCCACGGATGATCGCCTAATGGTAACGCATCGCGGTGACAAGCGGTCGCCTGGGTGTTCGCAGCCAAGGCAGTGAGCAGGAGTGGTGGAAGCTCGGTCAAGGGGACGGGTCCCAGAGTACAAAAGATCCGCGTGCCGTCACGTGCAGTGCTCCACCAATGCCCATGGGTTCGTCTTCCTGCCCCTTGTCTGCTACTGGCGTCTCAGGTTGGGATGGCGATGCGGGAGGGGGGGTGTAAGCCAAAAAGCCCCGTTCTTTTTCTCGGCCATCTGTCGCTTTCGTTCTTCGCCTCTCACAACACCACAACAAATCTCGCGTTCACGCCCAAGGTCTGAACTTCAACTTTCTGCTGTCCAGACAGAACACTTCGCCTCACACCAGCTCAACAAGTCGCTCTCCCTTAGCTCCTCTCCTCCACCAGTGTCACTTCGTCACTTCCCCGAGAACATCAACATTACACCAAGGACTTCTGTCCTCTCACCCACCTCACCAGCACGATTCCATCTACCTTCTTCCATCTACCTGCCCTCAAGCGTACAAGCCCACGACCGCCCAGCGGGCTCAGTTACGTCCTCGCCAACCACACACTGCCAGCCGACGCGAGTCGAGGCCCGACATGCAGACATTCGTGCAGCTACCGCCCCTCAACTTCCCGCCCCTGACGCCCTTCCTCGGCCTGGCCGCTTCTACCACAGCCACCAGCTTCGTGAGCCCGCCGAGTCCCTTCGTGTGGTCGCCTACCACTTCCCCCGCCCGAGCACCCACGAGCCAGGTCCACAACAACCACCACAACCACCGCCAAGTCCCTCAGCACCACCTCCTCCACCAGTCGCCCTCTCTGTCCAGCCCCGCTGGTAGCCCACGACTCAACGAGCCTACTTCGACGCCCAGGCCGACGACACACGCTCGGTCGCTGCCCCCGCTTCGACCCCTACTCTGGTCAGGCAGCGCTGGCGCCGCCCACGGCCTGTTCTCCTTCCCCGTCCAGCCGATGCCAGCCTTGCCCGGCTGGGGCACCACTCGGTCGCTCCCGGCCTCGCCCACCTCGACTCCTCCGCAGTCGCCCACGTCCGAGGAGCGTCGCCTACGGCTGGGCACGAAGCGGAAGCGCGCCATGTCGGTCCCCCCGACCGGGGAGCAGCGCGCTCTTCTGCAGGCCCGACCCGGCCAGGGTGAGATGGTCGCCAAGAGCGAGGTCACCTTCCCCCAAGGCACGCAGGTGGCCAAGTGGAAGCTCAACGGACCGCGCTATAAGCGATGCAAGGTCACGGTACGATGTCTTGGCCCACCACTTCTGGCGCAAGCAGGTTGCCAGGTGTGGCCAGGTAAGCTGATTTCGCCACTTTTGCAGGACGCCAATGGCGACGATCAGTGGAAGAGATGCCAGCACTGCGGCACCGACTCAACGCCCGAGTGGCGCAACGGCCCGCTCGGCAAGGGCACCCTGTGCAATGCGTACGCACTCTCACCTCGGGTGAGGGTTCACTAGGGCCAGGCTCGAAGTGTTGACGCTGACGACTTCTTGTTGTTTCCCATAACAGGTGCGGGCTGAGATATCGGAGCAAGCAGAGGGAACAGACGTCACGGGGCCAGAGTGGCAATGTGCCTGTGAGTTTGTTGCTCAACCCCGAGTCAAACAAGAAGGGACGCGCCAACATCAGCAACCCCATGATCTGGGAGACCAAGCTTTCGTCATCGCCTGCCCAGCCGGGCATACCTCAACGCCTACAACACCCCGTGTGATGAACCGAGCGGGCACAGCAAGCGAACTGGGAGTAGCAGTGTGTTACAAATTTGATATTTTAAGGCAAGTTACAGACGAACGCCACAGTAAGGTCTTCCTTGCACCTGATGGGGTAATAGGTAATCCTGATTGGTGTAATAGCCGGGAAATCTTGGTCGGTTAGCGATTCAAAACCTGAGCTTGAACCCGGTTGGCTGGTGACCGTAGGGATCGATGCCCAGCCGGCGTGCGCGAGTCGCTCAGGTGGGCGCCAAGTTTGCACAGAGGTGTGTTGTCTGTCCGCGGACCTTGTATGCAGACCTCAGCCCGATTCTGTTAGCGCAGAATAGCTCGCGTTACCCCAGCGGGAGGTGTATGCGGGCGCTTGTCGCTCTGTTTTCGAGTTCTGTTCGGTTGGAGATGTGAACAGCAACGGACAGTTCACAGAGTCTGGCATTGAAAGAAAAGTAGAGTTTGTGGCGCCTGGGTGGGTCAAGCCGAAGTGGTTGGTATGTACACATCTGTGTTTTTAGTTTTTTATTGATGGGCAGGTGTTTTGATTTCGGCAGAACGGCCTTGTGTTTCGGAGCGGGTCTACTCAGATAATCTTTAGTAGAAGTAGCCGAGGACCTTACCACCACAACCCTTGCGCCTAGCCTCCTCGTGATCCATGATGCCGGACGAGGTGGTGAGGACAATGAAACCGAACTGACGCGAGGGCAGGAGATCGGTGATCCACTGCTCGATGTGCTTGAGCTTAATGTCGAAGCGGGGGCTGATCACGCCGCACTTGTTGATGCGACCAATGAGGTCAACAACGATCTTGCCGCTGCGGTGGTCGTCGACGATCTCGAACTCACCAATGTAACCTACGCAAGAAGAGACATTTGAGTCGGATTAATCTTTCGGAGGGAGGACAGACATGTTGGCGATTGCGAACGAAGGTAAGAAGAGGTACCGTGCTTAAGCATGACGGTGAGGAACTTGACGATGACCTTGGAGCTAGGCCTGATGAGGACCTGACGCTTGCCCCTCTTCTCGGCATTGCAGATGCTCTTGAGGCAGTCGTTCAAAACACTGATGCGCACCATTTTCAAGGATACTACGGAAGTGGAGACAAGGTCCAATAGAAGAGAAAGAGAAATGGGGAGGAGGCGGGGGGAAGAGGGGTGAGTAACAGCACTGAGTGGTGTACTTTCCCTCCCCTAATCACTTTTTGTTTGGAATACTGCTCGAGAGCAGGTCCTACATCTCTCCGAGAAGCGAAGAGATGCGAAGCGATCTCAAGATGTGTGTGCAAAAGCTGACGGAAGGGTCCACGTACGGTGGTGATGGGGATGAGGGTGAGAAGAGGAAGAAGAAAGACAAAGCACCACCCGTTTCCCGTAATAACCCACCACCGGCATTTCATTCCACAAAATATCCGGGCACGAAACCAACAGTAAAAAAGAATTAAAAGAGAATATCGAAGTCAAACAATTTTATGCCCGCGTGGCCTTATGGAAGACAGGTGGCGGGTGGCGTTGTTGTGGGAAGACTGGGTGAAGTCGCTCGACGAGCTGCGCGGTGCTGCCAGCGAGGGCAAACTGGGCGCCCCAGAGTGCAAGAATCCATTCTTCATTTTTCTGCAAGGGTGCGAGGTACGCCCCATGCCCACCATGGACATAGCATGCAGCCTAGACGGTACTCCTTGTGACGGTAATGGTGGTGCACTTGGGGCAGGCAATACTTCATGGCGGGGAGGTGCGAAGCAAGCTGGGCGACACGCCCACGAAGATGGAGAACCTTCGGCCCAAGGTCGTGCAGCGACCGCGCTACATTGAGAGGGCCATCGACCTACTCCTCGCAGTCCTTCGGCAGCCAGGTGAGCACACACGAGCCATGCACCTTTGCGAGAGGCAATGGCCGAGGCTCACTGGTCTTTACTATGTGGTCAGTCGACGGAGAAGGAGGCATGTCCCAGGAGAGCCTGGCACGAGCCGGGAGCATGCTGGTGCAGATGTATGGGCAGTCGCAGTTGCCCACGTTCCTCCCCTTGGCGTACTACTACGGCCATTGCTTCTCGCCTCTGGTACACCACCGCGATATCTCCATATGAAGGGCGCCACACACTTTCCCACTGCTCACACCCTGCTCTCGGCGGGGCTGAACCAGAGCCATTTTGTCGGCCACTGTGGGACAGCGGTGAGCGATTCAACGAAGGCGTCCATGTGCAAGGTCCTTCACAGCTTGGACGACATGCGCGTGGCCAGCGAGGAGCGACTCAAGAAGGTTCGGATGCACTTGGCCCAGACGCACAGATACACGTCACGCAGGCTAACTTCACCTCTGGGGCCAGGATGCCGCCTTATCAGCGGCATTCCCAGTCGCCATGAAGATGCGAGTCGACCTACTGGCGATCGCTCTTCCGTTTGCGCGCAGCGGAGCCGAGGTTCGTAAATTGGCACGCACGCACGCACGCACGCACGCACGCACGCACGCACGCACGCACGCACGCACGCACGCACGCACGCACGCACAGAAGCAGTTTGACCAAGTGGCCGTGCTGTGTGCTTCTTAGGAAGTGATGACCACTGAAGAGGGCTTGGTATTGGACTGCATCCAAATGATCCCGCATCAATGGATAAGCAGTGAGGAAGCATGTGTTGAGCTCATTCAACTCTTTCAGGTGCCCTTCCTCCCAGCAACAATCTACAAATCGCCTTTTGTCAGTGCTTGCAATGTAACTCACGCCAACTCGTGGGGGCATGCAGGCGATGAGCGCGATTGACGTGGGCTACACGGATGGCGAGGACGGCGAGGACGATCTCTTTGCGTTCTTCACCTCGTGTCTGAACGCAGTGTTAACGTTCATCGACCGTTTCTGGACCGATTACGAGGAGCTTGCTGAAGGTACCTTACCTTGCACAGCACATGGTCGATCGGTGCTTAACCTTTGCTGATGCGAGCCTCTTCTTCGAATGTGTTCGCGTGTGCTGACACCCAGAAAGCGAGCAAGAGAGAAGCGAGGTCGAATCCGAGCTGTTTTTGAAGCTGCTGGAGCTGACCCGGGTGCTCGTGGCCTACAACCACAACCAATCACGCAGGCAGGTGCGCTCTCCCATTCTCATTCGAGCCCTCTCCTCCCTTCCTGCTGTGCACATACTCATCACACGTCCCTGTCATTCCTGCCAGGTGCTGTTGCTTCTCAACGCCACACTGCAGCAGGTGGTCGACTCAGGGATGCGTCTTTTCCGTGGCGGAAGCGCGTCTGACCCAAAGCCGGGCCGCGTCGTCTCCATCGCCAATCTCCTACGCGTCATCTCGCTCATCCCGACCGCCATCGAGAGCGACACCACAGTTTGTGTCCCCCCCCCAAACCTTTCCCTGGTCACGCTGCCCGCTGACGTCGTGGCGTGTTTGGTGCCCAGTTCGAGTCATTGGTGGCGACTGTCCTACCCGGGGCGTTCGACATCGTGCTGGGCTACTTCTCCAAGTACAGTGACGATTACGGGACGGGGGACGAGCGAGACGAACGCAACGCGGCGCGCGACTCTCTGCTGGGTCGGACGCTGGACTACGCCTGTGCGGCCGTATCGCGCCCGCGGCACAGCGATAGGCTGCTTAACGACACCCTACGCTCTATCTGTCGCGTGGCCGAGTCGTGTCTCCCGCCAGCGCACTGTCTTGTGACGGACCTGAGCGTCGGCAGCGGTGAAACAGGCGACCTTCCGCCGATCGACCGACCATCGACGCCAACTCAAAGAATGAAGGCGAAGGCGAAGGCGAAGCGCATAGACGAAGACGAGACAACGACGCGGCGTCATCTGCGGAGAAATTGCGATGAATTGCTGCAGCGCCTGCTCGAGCTGGGCCTGCTCTTCCTGCGGCAGACGTCCGAGATCGACCTCGTCGACTACCTCATCGGCACCTCGTTGCCCATCACCCTGCGGAGCATCCTTACCTGGAATGGTCATGCCAACACACCCGGCTCAGAGGTCAGCTTGAGTCGGCGCAACAACCTACTCGGCCTGTTGAACAAGGTGCGCGCCTGGAGACCCGCCGCGCTTGAACGACACACGCGCTGGCTCAACGCTTCAAACTCAACAGATGCTGGGGCTTGCATTGGCCGCGGTCAGCACCGGCGCTAGCAAGATGACGATTTTCCACCTGTACCTCCCCACTGCCGTCAACGCTATGCGCGAAATGCAGGAACAAGGTGCGCCCTGACTCGCCGACACGCCACTCGCCGCTTACACACTTGCCTTCCCTTGACGCTGCGCAGTGCAACTGTCGTTCGATGAGTGTCTGGAGCAGGCCGCACTCTGTTTCGACCAACTCGCCGCTCTTGCCCGTAAGCGTTCCAGCATTACCCTGGTACGCGAACTCTCTTTCACCTCTGGGGTCGCTTGATGCTCACTTCACGAGGGGGGTGACGACGCAGGTGCTCACTCACGGCATCCCGACGCTGAGCAGACTCCGTCCTTCGTCCATCAACCAGTTCCGTATACTGTGGAGGCATCTGTTGCACACCTTCCACGTTCAGCGCAACTTTGGTTTGATATCACCTCGTTCTTAGCAATCTCCAGCGATGTGGCGTGCTCTTACCTCCCTACCACACCACCGCACCACACACCACCAGGACTGCTGCTCCACCTGCACGAGGCCTACGAGTTCTTCCTCGCCCATTTCGTCGCCAACGCGGAGGATGAGCAGCGCGTCAACCGCCTTTTTTCCCGACTCATCTCCACAGGTGGGCTGTGTGTGTGTGTGTGTGTGTGTGTGTGTGTGTGTGTGTGTGTGTGTGTGTGTGTGTGTGTTGTGGCACTGACGTGATGGCCCAGGCAGCAGGGACGATGTCAAGACTCTGTGTCTCGTGTGCCAGCCGGCGCTGCTGGATGACATATTCGTGCCCCTGCGCGCCCTCCTCCTGTCACACGGCGACCCGCCCGCTCACGAGAAGATCCGGGGTGACTCTGACCACCAGACGCAGCCGCGGTTGACATTCGACGGCGCCAGCGCCAGCGAAACCGGAGACGAGATGGCGCTCGTGCGGCATTATCTGGAATCCCAGCAGCAGCAGTTGGGGGCCGCCGGGTCCCCACCGCACGACGAACCGGCGCAACTCCACGAGTTCGCCGAGCTCCTGCAGATTACCAAGCTAGCCATGCAGCTCATCAGGGTATGTATGGCACCTTATTACCGAACGTGCCCTACCTTACGACCGACATCCGTGATTGCTGTGCGTACCTTTTCCTAGGAAGCGCCGCCACCGGCCGCGGTTGAAGACAATGCGCCGCCGGCGCCTGCGGGCGACGCCCATAACGAGGCGCAGCAGCCCCAAGGCCCGGACGGCGATGCCGACGTGCAGGAGGAGCGGGAGCAGGCGCGTCGCCAACAGCGCGAGGCCGAGCGGCTCGCGCGCATCGAGGAGGACCGCCTCGTGCGCGAGGGCGCCACCGTGCTGGTGTCTCACATCCTGCGCAGCGCCCGCGCGGGCCACGGCCCTGCTGCAGGCCGCTGGCGCAAGGACGCCGCCGACGAGCTGTCGCGGGTCTCCCTCTTCAAGATCCTCTACGCCCCCGAGCTGGCCGACTTTGCCCGCAGCCGACGGGCGCCTGCCCAGGCCACGAGCGGCGGAGGCCCAGACAAAGGGGGCCGCGACGACGACATCGAGCGGGTCTTTGCGGTGTTTCGCTCCAAGTTCCCCGAGGAGGTGGCGGCGCAGCAGTCGGTCATGGGCACGCTCACGTCGCTCTCCACGCGCGTGGAGACAATTCGCGCCCAGCGGCCCAAGTACGGCCACGTGGCCGACAAAGCGATCGAATGTCTGAACGAACTGCTGGCTCCTCCCACCGACGAAGAGCGGATCGTGGCCGACCTCGAGGAACTCGACGCAGGTACCGAACACACCACGCACGCACGCACGCACACACGCACCAATACGCGCATTCATGGTGGTATGCCGTTAGCCAGCAGATTTGAGCAGCAACGGCAGCGACTGGAGCGCTACGTGTGGGGGATGGAGGCCAACGCGGAGGAGCGGGAGCGACTGGTGGAGGCCGGCTACTCGGCGGACCTGTGGGACTGGAACGCCGACATCGCCATCGAGGTGGAGACGCAGGAGGCCGCCGCCTGGCGCCTGCGCCTCGACCAGGCCTACACCGCGCGGCTGCTCGAGTGCTACCGCGAGTACGTAGGCATCCTGCGCGATCTCCACATCACCGAGATCACCATCCACGACGCCTCCGTGCCCATCGGTTCGTTCGTAGTCTCCACCTCCCTCACCACCACCCTTTCGGTGCGCCACATTAACGCGCGTGTTCGTGTCGTGTTGTGTGTCGTGTCATGTATCGTGCGTGTCGTTACAGATCAGGTGTTTGTGGAGGGACTACCGTTGGAGGAATTGAAGGGCAGGCGCACTCTGGCGATCCAGCACATGCACCGACGCGTGACGGCCGCACCTGCGACAGCGCAGCTGGGCGGTGGCCCCGCGGCTCTCTCGCCCGAGGAAAAGGCGGGGTTCGCGGCCCGCAAGTGCGACCTGCTCGGCCGCGAGGAGGCACTGGAGAAGGAGTGGGCTCGCGAGAGGCAGAAGAAAGAAAACCCCAAGAAGGCCACCAAGAAAGCTCAACGTACGCGCGTGTCGTGTCGTAGTGCTGCGTGCCGTGTCGTGTCCTCTCGTGTCGTGTGTCGTGTCGCGCGCAATTGAAAGTTGTCTTTTTTTAAATAGGAGGCAAGGACAGCGGAGACGAGGGCGGGCGGAAGCGATTCCTGGTGCGCCTGCACACGAGCTATTTGTCGACGCTGTCGACGTGCGGGGGCCAGATCACGGGCTGCTACGCGCCGAACGGAGTCCACGCCGAGAAGCCGATCGAGAACGCGCTCAAGGCCAATGTGGCTATGCTCTCCCTGCACCAAGCCACCGAAGATTCCACCGCCACGCAGGGCGCAGGTAACGACCACCACGGGCAGCATCGCATCGCACCGCACAACTCACTCACGCAACACACGACACACGACACACGACACACGACACACGACACACGACACACGACACACGACACACGACACACGACACACGACACACGACACACCGTGGGAGCAGACGCAAAGGGCAAAACAAAAGCCGACGAGCAACCAAGGACATGGGGTCCTGAAATCGAGAGCGTGGAGGTGCTCTACGCTGATCAGGGGGTACTCCCTCCCACCTTCGGTCCACCTTCGGTCCACCAAAGACACGCCTTCACACTGAGCGGTTGCCGTGTGTCGTGTGTCGTGTGCCGTGTGCCGTGTGCCGTGTGCCGTGTGCCGTGTGTCGTGTGCCGTGTGCCGTGTGCCGTAGCTCTATCTGTACAAGTCGTATGCGAGCAACCACGGTGAAGATACGTCGCTGGTGTGGGCCACCTTCCTCCGACGGCTTGTGGAAAGCCATCTCGTGCCGGCCGTGATCGTGCCCGCCGGCCACCCCGATGCGCGCACCTTCTCGTTGCTCTCCTCTTCCATTCCCACCCACTACACTCCTTCCCTGATCACCTATAGGCACGCCTTGTGTGTCGTTGTGTGATGTGTGCGTGAGTGTGTGTGTGTGCGTGCGTGCGATTTCTCACAATCCGCTGTGTGGCTGCAGAGACAATTTCTTTATCGATTCGGGGGTCGAGAGCTACTATGACAGCAAGCCGGACAAGATCAAGGTCGGCGACCTCCTTCTCACGACCGACAACGTTCACCTCTTTGAAGTCCCGCTCGCTACGTTCGTTCTCGACCTCCTCATCTCGACTTCACTCGACTTACGTGCATTAAACGCACGCGCACCACCGCACACACGGTGCAGGGGCCAGGACGATGGGTCGAACTCGACCCTGTTGCGGAGTAGCAGCGAGCTGAAAGCCAAGAACGAGGGGCACCGGCCGGCGAGGGAATCGCAGAAGGACTTGGTGGGCACCATCGTCACCAACGCCATGCAGGTGAGTTCTCATTTTTACGATCGCTCTACGTGGGCATGCCCGGTGGTCGTGTGCGTGTGCGTGTGCGTGTGCGTGTGCGATTTGTGACGCGTGTGTGCATGAAGGGCCTCCGGACCGACCAAGAGTTGCGGATGGCGGGAGTGGATGCCAACATATTCGGTCGGCACGTGGGACTGTACGTGAGCACGTTCCTGGAGACGCTCGAGCGGAAGCGTTCAATCTTGAGCCTCGGGTTCGACCTCAACCTCTGGAACGCCCGCGCCCTCAAACGTACAATCCCCATTCGCTTCAGCCAAGCGCGTGTCGTGTCGTGTCGTGCGTGTCGTGTGTCGTGTGTGCGGTTTTTGCACACTGGCGTTGGCTCACCATCATCTGCGCACGCACCCGCAGGGAAGAAGGGCAAGCGCACCGAGGCCAAGCTGATCACCGAGGCCGAGAAGGAGACGATCATCGGACATGTGGCTGAGGTTCATTCAACCCCCCCCCCGAGAATTTAGGTCCGATCGCTCGGTCGATTGATCAGCGGCCTGACGGTGCGGAGCCGCAGGTGATCGACGAGGAGATCAGGGCAGCCTATCGCGTGGACCTGGCGACGCTACTGCGCGAGAATCGGGTCCAATTCTTCGAGCTCAAGGCCCACCTGGAGAACGTGCGGCGCACCTGTCCGCTTCCCCGCGAAGGAGTCATCGCTCGCACGCTCGAGGCCATGCGGTACGTTTAGCGCTCGACACACGCACGATCGCATTCATTCCTTATATCTTTTCCCCCTCCAGATCCCAGCTTAGTCAGCAGTATGAGATGGTGCAGATAGCAGACCTGGACCGAACCTCCCAAGAGCAGCTCATGCGGTACACGACACGACACGACACGACACGACACGACACGACACGACACGACCAACGACACGACACGACCAACGACACGACACGACACGACACGACCAACGACACGACACGACACGCGCACCAACCCGCCCCTTCCCCGAGCGGGCATAAATGCTGATGGCGCCCGGGCCAGGTGGATCTTCCGGAACGAGGACCGGGTGTGGCGCGATAGAGGCGGACGGCCCGGCGAGGAGACGCTCCACCAGTTCCTATCCTTGCTCTCCGGCGATGAGTGCGCATCTCCCCGCACCGTGTACCGCCGCCGCCGCCGCGAGCTTCACTCACACACGACCGCACGTCGCACACGGCGCACGCACCACCGCACACAACGCGCACCACCGCACACGACACAGCGGACGGGCATACCCTGGCCTCGTGGTGCTGGGGCGGAGGAGACGGGCAGGCGAAGGAGACGCGGGTGGTCGGAGGCTCAACGTGCAGGAGGTGCCCATCGTGGCCTACTGCGTCGGTGAATACGTTACCCCGCACACCTACGAAATCATCACTGGTACACTGCCCCGCCTGAAGAAGTTCGAAACTTTCAGCCAACAGCGGCGCTGACGTCCGCACACGCACGAACGACGACACGACACGCATCGACACCTCCGCGACGCACAAGCTTGGGTGGATGATGGGTACCGTGGTATGAACATTGCGAGCGCGCTGTACCTGGAGACGGCGCGCAGTCTCCATGCGCGGAATGCGACCTGCAAGAGGCGGTGCGGGTGTCGGCAGGTGGTGTGCGATGTGCTCGAGGGCTCGCTCGAGCGGATCGTGGTGGCGTCGCCGCTGCTGGCCTTCCTCTGGTGGACGGGCGTCGGTGGGCGCATCGTCGAGAAGCGCCACGCGTCCTACACCGCTGAGACCGACTCGGGCAAGCGCGAGCAGTTTGAGCGGTAGCCTCTCCACCTCCGGCCTCTCTTTCCGCCACACCTACTTGACACCGCACGACACGCACGGCTCGCGACACACAACACACACATACGGCGAGCAGGTTGGTGATCGGGTTGCCGGTGCTCATCAACGGCTGTCGTCTCTATCGCTTCTACGAGGCCGCGAGCCACACGCTCGGGGGGCTCGTCGCGCCTGCCGTGCTCTGGTACCAGTGTGCACGGACCACAGTGGGGCTTCTGCGCGACTCACCTCGTGCCGCGCCCCATGACCGTCAGGTTCAGGAGAGCAGGGCGAGGCACTGCTGATGACGGCACCACCAGCGCTGCGGCGTCGGTGTCGGTGCTGGACGAACTTGCCCGCGCGCAGGAGGCGAAGAGCACAACTACTACGCTGGCATTGAGAGGCGCTCTGGAGGCCGGCCACACGGCTGCGGTGTCGTGGCCGTACCTGTGGCCACAGCGCCTCCCAAGGCGGCCTTTCGGCACTCTGTGCGTGGGTCTCATGCGCTTTGCCCTGACCACACGGAGCCCTCTGCGGGCTGGCGCCCAGCCTGACGTGTGATGTACACATAAACCACTTTCTTCAACAGTCGACCTACAAAACAATGTTTTCTTTTATCTCTCCACTCCTTTACACACCATCAACCTCTTTGAACAAGACCTGGTCCAGTGTACCCAGCTCTTCCATGTACTGGACCTCGTCGTACCCCTACCGCGCATCGAATAAGTCGGGATGATTAAAACACTACAAGGAGAGAGCGATAGACGTACCCCAACGAAGCGGTCGTCAACAAAGAGTTGCGGCAAGGAGGCCTTGCCGCTCTTGGCCTGCATCTCGGCCTTACGCATTTGGTCGAGGCACACGTCGAAGTCGTCGAACGTCACATTTTTGGACTCGAGCAGAAATCGAAGCGACTGTTGGTCCTTCTTCACCTTCAGCTGGCACGTGGCCGAGCTGTAATAGTATTCGATCTTGGCCTGCTGCAGCTGAACGCTCTCATCTCCTCCACTCATCTTGATTTCTCTCTCGCGCTCTTCGTCCCGTTGGCGCGAACGTCTTGTTTGCGACTACCCGTATTTCTCTTCTTTTCTTTTTGTCTTTCAACAGAAAAAACAATAAATTAACTTTTAAGGCGCAGCCGAAAGGCGGATGGCCTGGTCGATGGAGTGGTGGCCCACGCTGGTCCGGTGGATGTCAAAGGCCACAGCGCCCACGCCCAGCCGCTGCCCCATCTCGTGTGCCAGGGTTCTAGACAAAGGTCGACGGAGCAGTTGTGTCAGTAAGGGTTCATGTGCGGGATTGTGGTCGTGGTGGTGCAGCTTCGGTACCGGATGTAAGTGCCGGACGTGACTTCGGCACGCATCTGATATAGCGTGACTGTCGATTGCTCCCTTATGCGGTGATGGTCCACCCATCAGCATTACAACATTTTAAATAGAATATTAACATAGAAAATACAAAAAACATGGCTGAGGCCGGCATGATGAGCGGTACCCCGCAGGCGGCTGGAAGTAGTGGTCGTCCCAGCTCTGGAGGATCTGCGGCTGGCGGAAGTCGCCCTTCACTCGTCCAATCTTCGTCCAGATCTCTTTTCTATCCAGACGCACATTGTGCACCGTCGTGTGCGGGTCGTGTGAGTCTCACATGTGTCGCGCATTCTTGCATTCTTGGCGGGAGACATCAGGGTCAGCGCGTGTACCGAAGTTCGTCTCGGCTGAGCGAGTGGGTGGAAAGGAGCTCGAGCGTCCGGATCTCCACTTCCACGCGCGGAATCAACGGCAGTATCTCCCGCATCTTCTCCGGACCCTGCGCGAGTGATCACCATCAAATAACAATCATCTATTCATACTTGCCACAACCACTTGAGTTCCTCACACCGCGGCGTGCGTACCTGCCTGGCCCAGTGAAAGAGCGGCTTGCCCTTGACGCGCGCCGATGAGAAGGGCGGGTAGGCCTAGATCCGCCATTCGAGACACAACACATCGAGCCATGCATCACCAACATGAGAAGCAACAAAAAAGGCAAGGAGGGTAAAGGAGGTAGAGGCAGTGGACCTGGCTTCGTTTGCCGACGAAAAAGGGCATGACGGCTTTCACCACCTCTTCGTCAATCTCTCTTGCACCCGGACCCTCTTCTGCTTCGTCTTCTGTCTCGAGCCGAGTGCCGTCATCTGACGGCGCATAACGTCTCTGCTTCTTCTTGTTGGTGTGCTCATCATCAACCGCGGTCTCCTCCTCCTCTCGTTCCTCTTTCTCACCACCGTCGTCGACCTGCTCGAGCTCTCGCCGCTTCCGCTTGGCTTCACTCTCGCACTCACCGTTTCGCTCCCCGCCACCTCCATCGTCGCTGCTGCTCTGTGCAGCCCTGGCACCCTGCGTCGCCGTCGTAGTCGCTCGGCACCTCCGCGGCTGCACAAGGCCCATCACGTCGTAGGTGTCCGTCTCCACCCCAAACAGCACCTACGCCAATTATATTTTAATAATTTATGCAAATAATATATTGCATAAACAAATAAGAATAAAAAAGAAATAATAGTAAATCACCTGAAATTCGTAGATCTTCGATTCTCCCTCGATCTCCTTCTGGAGGCTGAGGGGGGCGCCGTGGGGGCCGGCCAAGCAGACGAGGAGGCCCCGAGCCAGCGGGTCCAACCGGCCGGCGTAGCCCATCTTCAGGTCTGCCGAGAACTCTTGCGGTCGCTCTCGCCGCAGCTGCTCAATAGCAGCAAGCGGAGTCATCCCCGGTGGCTTGTCCACCAGCACCACCCGCACCCCTTTCGCTTCTTCTTGCTCCATCCTGCGCAATAAATAAATAAATAAATAATACAGACATTGGCTTTGTGCGCAGGAATTTATGGATTGATTACATCTAAAACAGGGGTTGCAGCGCAATGTAAGAGAGGTGTGGCGGAAGGGCGATAGCTCCCTCCACCGGGCAAGTAGAAGAAGGAAGAGAAGAGAGATGGTGATCATCTAGAAGAAGGCAAGGAAGGAGGTGAGGCGGGTGGCGCCGGAGGTGGCGGTCTCCACGCTCCACAGGGTGTCGTAGGTGATAGAGCTGGTGGCGTAGAACTGCATGTTGGTATCGATGCCCGAGTCGGTGTTGGACGACTTCACTGTAACAGGCGACTGTAATAGAAAGAGCGACAGGACGGTAAGGCCAAGAACGAAGAAAGAGCGAAAGCTACAATCGGGGGGAGCAAGCGTACGGAGTCATAGGGAGCGGGGATGGCGGCGGTGGGGGCGAAGGTCCACGAGGCACCGTTGAAAAGGAAGAGCTCACTACCGCTCATTGAGCCGCCGGCGCTGGGGGTCTCGATGCTGGTGCGGACGACCAGGGTGTTGTCGTAGCTGTCGAAGGGCCAGTCGAGGATGGTGTAGGTGATGGCCAGCTTGCCAGTGTCAACCGCGAACTTCCTGCTGCCCAGCTTCACGTAGCCCTCCTCCTGGAAGACCGAGACCTTGATCGACAAGCTCAGCACCCTGTAATTGAAGGTCCCAGGTCAGCCATTGTCGGCTCGGAATTTGAACAGGTTGGTGTAGTTGAGGAGGAAGGTCGTACGAGGTGGCGTTGGCGGAGGAGCCGTCCATGGGGATGTCCATGAAGATGGTGGCGGTGGAGGCCTTGATGCCCTGGTAGGTCTCGTCGATGGGGTCGGTGGCCAGGAAGGTCTCCCGGATGAAGCTTGACACGCTCTTCACGGCGGCTGTAAGGACATGCCAATTAGTATCAACTGAAGTTGATCAAGCTGCAACCAAACAGCGATGATTGTGGGCAAGTACTGTTCTTGGCCATTTCGGTCATGAGCTTGGTCTGGAGGACGAAGGTCTTGGTATCGTTGCCGTTGGACTCGGAGATGGTGATTTTGCCGCCGGCGGGGGTGAGGGTGGAGGTGAGCAGGCCGTTGGTGAGGATGACGTCCGCCGCCATCGCCGCCTGGAGCAGGGCAACCAGGGCCACGAGGCTCAGGAGAACAGTGCTGATGTTCAACTTCATGGTGTGAGAAGCGTCGACGAAAAGAATGTAGTGGCTTTTAGTGTGTAGTGTATGGCTTGCCGATTCTTTTCGCAGTGATCAGTCGCTCTTGTGGGCAGATGATTGTTTGTTTGACGAAGTGGTAAGCCGGGGCAGTGCCTCGGTTTTGTACCGGCCTCCTGTGCGTCGACACAAATTCTGTGATAGGTCGAATAAAGTGTTCCGTTTCTGATTCGCAGCTGATTTCTCTCGTTTTTCGCACTCTGCGGGTACACCCACGACCTCACGCTGACCGCCCAAGTGTTCACTTCCTCCTGGTTTTCTTCACCTCCACGGCGTCAAGAAGGAACAAAGTAACGAACCACTCCAACGCGATACTGGTCGAAAGCCCAGCGAAGCCCGGCCGAAACGAAGCACTCTCCCGGCCTGAGCGCGCGTGTGTGCGCGTGCGATCTCAGTTCCCAGACCGCGCACATAGAGTGCCAGAACGTAGCGAAAAAAATGGAGTTCGTTTGTAGGTGATACACTTGTTGACGATGGTGGCGACGAAGAGACGATGGAGGTGGTTGACTAGTCGCGGTGGGCCAGGATGTGTACGGCAAAATTGAGTTGGGTGGTCTTGGTGTCGAGGCTCTTGTAGATGAGACCCGTGAAGGTCTTGGCGGCCTCCTCTTCGGTCATCTCCGGTGCCAGCGCCTTCATCAGATAGTTCATGTCGTTCTTTGACGACAGCTGCGGGATGCCGCACGATATCATCTGTTTGTTTGTGTTCACACAATTGCGTGTCGTGTTAGCACGTGTGCGTGTGTGCCTGGGCCGTGCGGTGGAGACGCACCATGGCGAAGAGGTTGGTGAAGACGTTGGCATGGCTGCGGACCACATTGTAGGCGCGGCAGCACAGCCGAATGAAGCGTTGGAACTGTTGGCTCTCTCGGCCGCCCATAATGTACACCATCTCTGTTCCATTCCAAAAGAGAAAAGCGTCAGCTCTACCTTTAAATAAAATAAAATAAAATAAATATAAAATACAGCGCACTGTACCGGGAGTCAACACGAAGGGCGCCTTGTCCCGCACGATCGGTCCAAACCTGAGCACGTTTCCTAGAAAGTGTGCAAAGTCGATGTGGAACATGTGGCCCGTCTTGGTCACCATGATGTTGTCGTTGTGCCTGTCGATTGGGGTAGGAGGCCAGATGAGTGAGCAATCTGATCGAGCAGGTGGCTCAAGAATCGAGTGTGTACCGATCGCCGATGCCGAGAATGTAGCATGCGACGCAGTAGCCGGCGCACGAGTAGATGAAATTCTCTACGGCCATGGCGTACTTGGTGTCTGCAGAGGTCGCCACACGCACAGAACATGTGAGGAATTTGAGTGCACGCAGCCGGTCAACCGTCTCGCTGACGTACCGTCGGGGTTCTGTTGCTTGAGCCAATTGGAGATGGTCTGCGGGTTGAACACCGCCGTGGCCCCTCCGGCCTCCTTGGCGATCTCGGCGACGGTGGTCGAATTGAGGACAGCTTCGATGATGCCCTCCTGGTGTTGGTGTGCGTGCGTGCGGTGGTGCGTGTGCGGTCGCAAAAAGTGAGAAATCACAGATAGGAAAGGAAAATGGACCAAGCCGTTACCTTCTCGCCGGTGGCCATGACACCATAGGTGGTGAGCCGCAGGTCCAACCCTTCGTCCTTCCACAGCTGCAGGCCAACAGAGCGGTGTGTGAGCTGCTTGGCACCCACCCAATATATACGAGAGGCCTCCATGGGGCAGGGCGGAGAGGGCGTACGGTGTCCATGACGCGGATGAGTTGGAGGGTGAGGGCGTCCTGGCGCAGGTCGTCGCCGGCCTTGTAGATGACCGTGATCGGATCGCCCACGTCCTCCTTGTTGTCGAACACCAGCCGCAACGGAACCTGCACGTCGACCGACCGTTGCACCACCGCCACACCACCAAAAACGTGTCAACAACAACTCATCACACGACTGATGACCACTACGGGGTAAGGCGTACGGTGAAGGAATCGAGCGCCTTGCACTTGTCCACAACGAAGCCCTTCACCTGCATTCTGGACGAGGAATGGGAGTAATGTGAGGAATGTAGTGAGGAATGCTGGGGGGGGAAAGGGAATGTACCGAGGCTCGAGGGGCAGGGTGATGCCGTCCTTGGGGAAGGGGAACTGGGCGAGCTTGTACTTGAGGAAGGCGTCGCGCTTGTTCTTGGGGATCTTCTTGAGCGCGTGCGACAGGGCCAGCAGCTCCTCCATCACGAACACCTGCTTCATGATCTCCTCCCTGTGCTGCGCTCCAATACCTACGGTACGGGAATCCATCGAACGGTGAGCCACCGCACACACGATACGACACACGCGACACACACGTGCTGTGGACCGCGTACCGTGAAGGTAGGCCTCGGCGAGGAGTCCGTAGCGCAGGGCCATGGCTTCGCCGCCGCTGCCCCGCACCTCGCGCTCATCGGAGGCTCCGCTGCTGGCGGGCGACGAGGCCACGTTGGGATCCCACTTGGGCTTGACGTTGCGCTCGATCTGGCTCGCCACCTTCACCTCCCAGAACAGGCGCTGGCCCACAATCAATCGAGAACGCAGCCCTTCACCCACCACCAAAACGTAAGGTGTCAATCTCCACAACCGCACACGCACACGCACACGACCGCACACCACGCGGTGACGACGAGGGGAGTTATATACCTCGGGAGAGGAGGAACTGAGAGAGGGCCGAGTGGTGGTAGGTGTCGTATTTGAGGGCCTGGACGAGCTGCGGCACGTAGACGGCCAGCTCTTCGTCGGACAGGTTCTGGAGGCACCGGCAGGCGAAGGCGCGCACCTGCTCGTCGGGGAAGCGGGCGTCGAGCAGCTCGAGCGCGTCCATGGGACCCAGCTCCGTCCAATCGTCGAGCAGGCTTTGTGTGCCGAACCAACCAAAAATCAAACAAATGAGTGAGGAAATGGCGTGCACGTGTAGTGTGCGGTTTATGTGGCGGCGGCGTACTCGTAGAGCTGAGCCACGGCGGAGCGGTCGAGCCAGTCGATGGAGAGCAGGAGCTTGGCCAGCGACCGCGGGTGCTCGCGGATGCAGGCGTCCCGGTGCTTCCACATCATCTGCTTCTCCTCCGTGCTGAGCTCGTAGAAGATATCTGTCGGAACCCAACCGGATCAGTCACACGGACTGACACGACACGATACGACACAACACGACAAGACGCACCTTGGTTGATGATCTGTTTGAGGATTTGCATCTCGTGGTCGATGAAATCCTCCTCGTCGAACGACGACGTGCGGAAGGGCGCGAGGCCATCGACGGGCGCTGCGACGGTGTCGGCCCGGAAGCGGGACCGCGGGTCCGCCGGGGAGGAGCCGGCGCACGGCGTGGCAAAGCCGTCGGAGAAGGCCTCCGACGACGGACACGCCTGCGACGGCGACAGCAGTCGGCGCGGGAACGTGTCGGGCCGAGACCCTAATGTCGACAGAATCTTCGTAAGCGTGTGTCGTGTGTGTCGTGCGCACACGCACGTACCAGTTGTCGTCGAAGGGAGAGAAGGTAACGATGGCGGCAACACGGAGGCCACCGGGTCGGTCAGCGCCGGCGACGTGGGGACGACGGAGGCGGCCGGGGAGACGGCGAGGGCGGTGTAGGGCCGCGTGTAGGCGATGGGCACGAGCGAGGGCGGGGAGATGGACGAGGCCCGGATCCGCATCACGCTCTCCACTCCCGATCCGAAGTTGGGCACACACGGCGCCATCAGCGAAGGCCTGTGCCACGAGCATACATCACACATCAGAGTCATCACAACGACAAGGTACCACGCCGCGTGCATGTGTGCGGTGGTGCGTGTGCGGTAGCGCGTGTGCGGCAGGTGTTCGTACCGGTCGCCTTCCCACATGTGGACCTCGAAGCCGCCGGTGAGGAACCTGCCGGCATGGTCGAACAGCGCCACATTGCCCCAACCGATGGCCCACTCGTCCTTGCCTTGGTAGGCGATCAAGCGGAAGCACGCTCTCGTTTCCTTCATCGCCGCATCACATCATCACAGCACATGAATGGAACACGTGAGATCGAACGAGATGACGCAACCGCGCTCCGTGATGGTGTGTGCGTACCTTGGGGATGTGCGACAGGGGAAGGTGGGTGTGGAAGACCTGCGGGCGATCGGACCAGGCGTTCACCTTGCGCATGCGCTCCGTTCGGTAGATGCCCAGCTGCATGGGGCCATAATATCTAATCATGCAGCGAGTCGTGGTGAGTAATAACATTAAACATATAAACGATAAAAATAAATGATAAAATACAACAATAATGCGTAGGGTGGAAATGGCTGGGGTGTTCCGTACAGTCCGCACTCGACAGAGACCGACATGTTGGGGTTGACGTCGAAGATTTCGGCCTGCTGCTGTTCGACGCCCAGGATCTTGAGCACCAGCGGCACGTCGTCAAGGCCGTCGACATCGTAGCACTGATGCTCGACGATCTCCACCGAGGGCTCGTCGTCGTCGTTGCTCTCCTGTCGTTCCCTCTCACCGACGTCCTGCGCAGAGTCGCTTGTGTCCACCTCCACGGCCGCGTCCGAGTCGGGCGGGGACGTGGCCGGTGCGGCAGCGACTGTGCCTGCCCCTGCGGTCGCCGTTGCCGTTGCCGGGTTCCAGCGGCCGGCCACTCGGCGGCTGCGCGTTCCCTGCGGCGAGTCCTCGCCCTTGCGACTGCGAGGAGTCGTTTGCTTCACCCGCTCCTGTCGTGTGTCGTGTGTCGTGTGTCGTATGGCGCGTCAGTTTCTTAACGCGCATAGACGAATGCGCGCATTGACGGTATACCTTGTAGTACTTGATCTTGTCATCGATGTGGCCGCTGAGGGCGGACCTCTCGCGAATGACGAACTCGATCTTGTCCCAGTGCGCCAGACAGTTGGCCACGTACGCCAGCTGCACAGTGAATTGGAATTATGGTCAGTAGTGAGCTGAGTGATTGGGCGAAGAGAGAGAGAGAGAGAGAGGTGCGACAAAGGTCCGCACCTGCGCGATCGTGGTGTCGTTCGAGTCGAAGACGTATTCGCGTCGCCCTTTCACTTGCAGGATGAATTTGCCCAGCTCAGCTGTCGCCACGGCCGCACGCCATAAATGCGCGACACACGCGACAAGTGCGATAAATAAGCAAATAAATTATCATGCGTGGCAAAACAAGCGCAAACGTACCACGCTTGGTCTCGTCCAGCGACTCCGGCTCAAGCTCGGACGGCTGTTTTTTCTTGTAGATGCGCTGGTACTTGCTCATCACCTGGTCCAGCAGCACGCACGTGTTACAATGCAGAATGAAGAAAAGGAAAAAGAAAAGGAAAACGGAGATGGTGAGCTGCGGGCCTAACCTCTGCGATTGCGGTGGCGATGGTGGCATCGGGATTGATTGCAAGCGACAGCTTCGTGTGTGGCGAGAAGTTGCGATGGCTCCTGCACACAGTCCGAGCAAACAGCGAAGAACACCACAATGTACGTCAGAATTGCGGCCTTGTGCGCGTGGGAGGTGTGCGGGACAGTACGCGGAGAGCATGTTGTTGCTGCCTCGCGCCGCGGCATCGCTGGGTCGGCGCCGGATGGCTGGCACTGACGACGACGCCGACGGGTTGGTCGCTCGGGGCGACGCCGGCTGGTCTGTGGCTGTCGGTGCCGATTCGCTGTTGGGAAGGCGCGGCGATGGCTGGTCGTGCAGCAGAGATGGCCGCAGCTCCCCATTCTCTGTACCTACGCGCATCATCACATTTCTTCCCTTTAGCAACAATGACCGCACGACCGCACGACCGCACGACCAACGAATGCGAACCTCCGATTACTTCCTCACCCATGACTTCGAGACTGCGACGCCCGGGTCGCTCGAATTTGAGGCTCTCGACGAGGCTCGTCGCGGGCTTCTTCTGAGCAGGCTGGGTGCTGCCGCTGCTGCTGCTGTCTGCGCCGTCGGGGGAGGCGGCGGCGGCGTCTGAGTCCGAGGCGGATCCGCCCGTGGCAGTCCGCAGGAACGCGCGACCGTTGCGAGAGGCCACGGGCGGAGGTGGCAGAGGCGTGTTCTGGCGCGAGACCAGCATCTCGGTGTTGAACCGGCGGTAGCCGAAGCCTGCGCTGACGTCGCCGTTCCGCCGCACGGGCGGTGTCGTCAGTTCTGTCGACTCGCTGCCGGCCGCAGCGTCATCGTCTCCCGAGGCGCCTCCGCTAGACCCGCCCCCGCGCTCGCTGGGCGTCGGTGCGGCTGGCTGGCGGCTGTCGACATCAAAGAAGTGGAAGTACAGGTTGAGCTTGCGGCCGCCACCGCTGATGGTCCGCACCGACGACAGTGATGTCGACATCGCAACCGCGGTATGGGCTGTCGACAGACTTGACGACGACGAAGACGGCAGCCCCGTGGCCGCCGTGGCGATGAGGTCCGACCCCGAGGGCTGACCGCCTAAGCCGCCGCCGCCGCTGCGGTGGTGGCTGCTGTACTGCAGGTTGGGCAGCGAGTTGGTGCGGGTGAGGAAACCGGACGACATGAGGTCCGAATGCGCAGTCCCGCCGGTGGCGGGCGACGGCACGGCGACTGAGCCGGTACTTGCGGGCGCGGCAAAGGAGAAGCCGCCGCCCACGGCCACGCCGCGCGGCGAGGAGGGCGTCGCCGGCAAGAACGAAGACGACGAAGATGACGACGAAGAAGAAGAGGAGGAAGACGGTGAAGGAATGGAGAAGGGTGAGGGAGAAGAGGCGGAATCGGAGGCGGAGGCAGCGAGCGCGGCCGGCACGAGGCGCGCGGGGAGGAAATGGTTGATCATCAGTGAGTCGAACTGACGCGCTTCTCTCTGGGTGATGAGCATCATTTCTGTGTCGACACAAAGCGTGAGGACCTTCGTAGTGGGTGAGACAGAGGGGCAGGGTACGTACTGCGGAAGAAGAGCACTTCGGGTTCTTCGGGTGGGATGCGGGAGAGCACGTCCAAAACGTTCGCCGTCTGCACCAACGTGAGCCGATCCAACTGAGCGAGCGGAGCGGAGCGGAGGGTGAGCACATGACACGCCTGGCAAGCACGCACGTTGGGGCGCAAGAACGGATGGCAGTACCTTTTGAACGATGCCTTGGGGCATGAGGACCTGCAGCTGGACGGTCTTGCGGCCTTCCCAATCGACCGGTTGCTCTGCCACCGGCACGAATGGAAGCGGCAACGGCATCGCAGCGGCGCTTTTCTATTACGGATTGTTCAATTGAATAGTTGTATATGTCGAGTTAGAGGCCTTGTGGCGGTGGTGTGCGTGTGCGTGCGTGTGCGTGCCTGAGTCTCAGTGTTGCTTGGTCGGATGAGGCGCCGACGAGAGATCGCGTTCATCCACTCCTCCATCTCGCGCTCACTGTCGGCCGAGAGCAGGAGCACCCTAACAATATGGCACAGGCAATGCGGGGGGGGGGAGAGCCTCGCCAGTTAGCCGTGTCCGCCTCAAAGTGGCCGATAGAGGGAGAGAGTGCATGCTGGGCGGGCGTACTTTTGCTGTGATTTGAGGGAGAAACAGAACCGTCTCTGTTGCGAGAACTCGACCGTCACCCCCTGCAGCGGGAAGTTGCCCTCGCGCTTGTCCTTCTGCACACCAGGACAACAATTCCAATAAAGCAAATAAATAAACATTCAATAAATGAATAAAAATGCTGGAAGCCTGTGTAAGTGCGATGGGGGGGGGTTACGGTGGAAGGGTCCTTGACGTAGTAGAGGCAGTGGTCGGAATTGGAGATGAAGCACCAGTACCGTTTCCATCGGCCCCGCAGGGAGAACCCGCGGCCGAGGTTGGCCTCATTGCCGGGCGAGACGACGACCCAGACCGTGAGCCAGCCCTCGATGCCCGCTCCAGTCTCCTCTTCCTCTTGCTGGGTTCGTACGAGCGTTAGTAGTGTCGACTGGCTGAGAGTTTGTTTCGCGGCATTTGAACTATGCACAGTGTCCCGCACAAACACACGGTACCATGACTTTCCTGCGCTCGATGAGCTGCAGTTTGGTGGCGTGCATCCAGGCCAGCAGATCCTCTTCATTGGGCGCGCACATGTAGTAGGTGCGCCGTCTGGTTTGTGTTGTGAGGCATGAATGAGTCTTTCTGGCGAGGGTCCAGAAGAGGCGGATAAGAGAGAACGCGCCTTGTGTGCAAGGCAAAGCAGTGGGCGCGCGATGTCCGACTCTCACGAGCGATGGCCATGATTTCGTCCAATGGAATTGCAGCGATCGGAGTGGGATCCTGCCAAATAAATCAAATTAATATAATAAATTATATCGCAAAATGGCTGGCGGCTGCCGTGACGAGGTGAGGGTACCTTCTTCTTGCCGTAGTAGCGGATGGAATCGGCGGTGAGGACGCAGAATCGCTTCTTCCAGTTCTTGCGGTTGCCGCCCTGCTTGACGAGGTAGCCCGACATGAACACGTCCGCCCCCTGCTTCCCGTACGCCAAATCGTCCGCATCTTTGCGTGCCATGGGGAGAGTGACCATGATGATCGGGTGGTGAGTGTCGAGTCGACGCCAAGAAACAAGCCTGAGGAGGACAGTGACAGGTACCGAGAGAGGCCTCTCGCGAGCCGGTGTCGCCGCTGTCGAGGGAGTACTCGCGCGGTCGGCTCAGGTCATCGTAGGAACGCGAACTGCTCATGAACCGACTACGAAGACGTTCAAAAAATACAAATCAGCCCTTCACTCGGCACCACTCGGGAGAGGGGGGGCAGGGTACCCGGCGTATTCTCCGGCAAGCCGCTCGGAGTTCTTCTGGTCGTTGAGCTCCTTGTTGCGTCTGCGGCGGGAGAAGACGCTGCCGCGCCGCACCTTCTCGGGCTTCTCGGCGATCTCGCCGCGCAGGGCCTTGCTGGCGGCCATGGCCGCCGCAGTGCCGGCGCTCCGTTGCTCGTCCACGCTCATCGCCAGCGGCTTCTTGCGCTGGAAGATGCTTCGGCTGCCGGTCGTCGGCGAGGGAGTGGCTGGGCTGAGACCACTCTCCCCCTGTTCCCAGACATCCACCGAAATGCCGTGAGTCGCTGCGGGCAACGCACGCACGCACGCACGCACGCACGCACGCACACACGGCAAATTGGAAGGAGCGCGCACGATGATCTCTCGGGTGGACCACACGGATTCGTCGCGCTCGATTTCCTTGGCGAGTCGCTCCATCTCCTTCTCCTCGGGGAGGGCGCTGTTGTCCGTTTGCGGAGGCGGGGGACACTCGTCCTTCGGCAGAAGGAACACCGTTATCCGTTCCTTGTTGAAGAACTGCCGTCACAACACACCGCACACGACCACCAACCACGAGCCATGAAGTGTGAGTGCCTGCAGGCGCAGCTAAGATGGGGGAGTGGGGAAAGGAGGGCTCGTCGCCACCTTCTCAGCAACCACCTCGTGAGACGCCACCAGCCGCTTCTCCTCTTCGTAGAGCACCATTTCCTGGAGGGTGCGACACGACGATGGTGGAGAGCAAGAAGACGTTAGGGCGGTTGCGGGCATGGGTGCGTTGCGGTACCTTGGCCAGGGCCAGATAGAAATCGTTTCGCGAGAGCGGAAACAGCGCTGGGATCGTGCTGAAGAGGTTGGCCTGCTCGTCGTTGCCACGGACACACGCAATTGAAGAGAGGGAGCAGAAGAAGAGAAGAACGAAGCCGTCAACCTAAAGGCGCCAGCAGAGCAGCTTCGAAGAGAGTGAAGAGCGAAACACGAGAAAGAACGAAAGCGGCGGGCGGGGAGAGACCTTGATTTGCTCGACGCTGAGTTTGGGAGGGAACTCGCAGTCGTAGGTGCCCTTGCTGTTGAGCCCCGCGGCGCCGAAGTCGTGGCGCTGTAGCAGGCCCGTGGAGGAGGAGGGCGAGGGCGGGGAAGGCGAGGCAGACGACGGGGGCGAGGGCGAAGATGAGGGGGGCCAGGCCGGCAGCCCCCCGTGATGAGGAGCGCTCTCCCCATCTTCGTCGTGGGACTTGGGGAGCAGGAGGATGACCCTGAGCTTGCAGAACTGGGACGTGTCCGATCGATTTCCGCGCAGAAAATTCATAGCTTGGCCGCCTCTCGAGAGATTGATTTAATCTTTGCTGCGAAGCATCAGCCACGAGGCAGGGTTCACGAAGCCTCCCTTCTCACCTTCGAACTAATATATCAAAATGTTGTTAAGCTTCGCCCCAAGGTAAATCTGCAGCTTCCTTCTCGTCCCTTCTCGTCCAAACGCGGGCACTAAACTGAAAATTAATTGTGTCCGCACCATTTCTGTCCACGTCATCCACCTTCTTAGATTTGATCAAACTTTAAGAAGGCTGCAGCGGAAAGCCCGCTGAAACTTGGCGGCTCGCGGAAATGGATTCTTGGGGTATTAATTAATGGCGACAACGTCCGCAGAAAATTGACAAATGGTAAAGGGCTGCGGTTTGGGGTGCTGCGTGCGAAGGCAGAGAAAAGAAGAGATTCCCTTACGAACGCCAGCGGAGCACCGAGACTTTGCCTTGTCCAGCTTCGGGTGTGACCTAAAAAGCGAGCCGTGGGTTGAAGAAAGGGAAGCAGAGCCGAAGAAGAGCACCACCTTGCGCAAAATAGGGTAAGGCCTCCTTGCTTTTGGATCATGACGAGTCGTTTCTTTTGGGGCGCTGTACGTTGGTTTGTGCTGTGCTGCTGCCGTTCGAAGTCAGTTAGATGATTGAATGGATGCATCTCAAGTCGATGGAATGGGCTAATTGACTTCCATTCCTTCGTTTTCCATTACCACGATGAACATCAATAGGATAAGCAGTTCGGCAAGAGGCAGAAAGATCGAACGAAGAGATCGCATTAATTAGCGAAGGCGAAGCAAAGATCAAGAGGATCATCAAGCACCGAAGAACAACATGTCGAATGCCGACAAGGAAAAGCTGCGAGCACAGAGTGGTGGTCCCCAGTTCAGCAACATGACGGCCGAGCAGCTCGAAGGCGACAGCGAGGACGATGATGAGGACGAGACGGCAGGAGGCGACAAGCCCAAGAGCAAGATCGTCAAAAAGAAGACGGGCGGATCGGGCAGGCGAAGGATCGACATCAAATTCATCGAGAACAAGAGCAGGCGACAAGTTACATTCAGCAGGCGCAAGCGCGGACTCATGAAGAAGGTGCGCCTCTTTCTTTTTGTTTCCATCATTGCCATCATTCATTTCCGCACATTCAGCCTAATCATCATGACATTACTTGACACCTAAATCCCAAACTGACGCCTATTTCCCTCACAGGCGTATGAGTTGACCACGTTGACGGGCACGCAGGCGCTCGTGCTGATCGCCAGCGAGACGGGCCACGTCTACACTTTCGCCACGCCCAAGCTGCAGCCGGTGGTCACGCTGCGCGAGGGCAAGGAGCTCATCCAGTCGTGCCTCAACGCGCCCGACAACAACTACCCTCCGTCGGACTTCATCGCCAACACGTCTGGTTCCTCCTCGGGCGGCGCCCAGGGCGGCGGCGGCGGCGGCAAGGCGGCGGGCGAGTCGCCACCCAGCTCGCCGGTGCAGCAGGCGCAGCCGCCACCACCCTCGAACCACGCGCAAGGGCCGCCGTCCCACCACCCACCGGCCGACTACGCTGCGATGTATGGCGCACACCCCGGGATGCACCCCGGGCACTACGGCATGCCCTCTCATTACCCGCCCGCCGGGGCCTACCCGCACGATCTCTACGCCCAGGGTCTCCCGCCGATGGGTCTCGGCCACCCGCACAACATGGGCGGCAAGTAATAGACCAAGACCACTCCGTCACACAGCACACTCGCACTTCTTACGCCATCGATGTACGGGTCGCGCCGACAACCGCCTTTTTTTGCCTTATTTATTGCGTGTACAAACAACACACCTGTTCGACCTCTCCGCCCCTTCCCCTTTTTGCTATTGTACTTCCTGCAACCGAGCCCCTTATGGTTTCCTAGTTCTGCGAGGTCTGGCGAAGATTGACGGTTGTGTCACAGGAAGCGGAACGACTTGGCCATCGCTTTCGTTCTTTTTCAATCAACCGCGGCCTTTTTGTTGCTTCGTTCTTTGTCGCGTTGTTCGGGGAGGTCGGTCTACACGCGTAGTCTACTGGATGACCGACCATGACACAAGACTGCCGCTGCCCAGAAACAGTTCAGACCAAGGGAGCACAGTTGCTCCGTCCGGTCTGGTCCTCAGCAGTCTGGAGACTACAATCGGTACCTGGCCATTTTTGCAGCAATCAATCCCCATCTCGTCGCGCAGTCTGTGTGACCGTGCTGACAACCTGACCTGGCCGCGGCCTTCGTTCTTTTTGTTATTCTTCTTCAACCGCCCCACACACCGATCGAACTCCACACCTCAGGTCCCCACCATCCGGCAGATTTGTGATCCTGCTCTACCTACCTCAGTAGAATGATCGGAAACACCACCGTGATATGCCTCGTGCTGTTGCTGACCTTGGGGCTCTGTGCGCCGAGCCGAGCTCAACAAAGTACCGTACCTCCTCGCCTTGGCTGTATCCGGCAGCACAGTTTGCGTAAGGCTTCATCATCGACTTCATGTAACGTTCCATCTATCGTGCAGTTGTTGGCGCTACGACTGTGGTGGCCGGAGGCGGCGGCATCTTCCCCGAAGGCCTCATGACTTACTTGACCAGCTACTACCGGGTTCGGCCACGCCCCTCCGCCAAGCCTTTGCCGCCAGCGCAGTCTCGTGATCTGACCTCGTGCTTCATTTTTTTTTAAATAGTTCGTTACAGGTGAGTTCACCATCAGCTTCCAGAACATGGGCAGTCAAGAATCGCTCCAGGCCTTCACCTCCCTCGGAACCCTCGTACGTGGCCTCACCCCCCCTGTTTCCGTCTCTGGTTGTGCGCACCTGTCCAGGCAGTCTTCAAAATCTCAAGAAAAAAAGGAAAAGACCATTTTATTCTTTTGAATTCTAACTGGCTCGTCGACAGGACTACGCGGTAGTCGATGCATCTTCAACGAAGGAGGCGCTCACGGCGGAGAACTTGGCGTTGCTGCCCTTTACCGGACAACCCATCGTTGCCGCCTACAATCTGCCCTCCCTCGCCTCCACTCTCGTACCTTGCCCCCCCCCTCCCTTAGAGTCTCTTGGTGCCCTGTACGCCGGTCGGTGCTGACAACCGCCTTCAGGTGCTGGACGGAGCGACGCTGGGGGCCATCTGGTCGGGCAGTGTGGTGTGGTGGAACGACACGGCCATCCAGACCCTCAACCCAAGCCTCACGCTGCCGCAGGAGCGCATACTGCTGACCTACGCCAGCGACACGTCGTCCGGCATCACCCAGACCTTCACGCGTGCGCTGTCCCTCTTCGACGCTGACTTTGCCGCGGCGTGGAACGCGACGGGCAGCCTCGGTTGGGCCGGCATTGCCGGCATCGCCGGCCACGCCAACAACTCGGGCCGGCCCGGCAAGACCCAGACCGACTATGTCAAGGTGTGAGCCCCTCTGTGCACGTGTGCGATGATTGAGGGGGGGGGACAAGTCTGACCGGCGCATGCCCTCACGCGGAGAACAGAACACGCCCTACAGCATGACGTATTCGACCAAGATCATGGCCGCCAGCAGTGGCGTGCCCTACGCCCAAATGAAAAACAAGGCCGGCACGTCACACCCACCCACCCACTCACCCACCCACATTGTGGTGCTATTGCACGGTTTGCTCATGCCCTTCGTATACGCTCTAATCACCTACAGGTGCGACTGTGGATGCTACGGTTGCCGCCGTGCAATCGGCGATGAACGAGGTCAGCGGCCAGCTCACCTCCGAGTACCTTGGACTGGATGTGCTCGACGGCAGCCTTGCGACGTCGTGGCCCATCTGTATGATCAGCTACGTGGTGACGCGGGCCAACTTCACCACCTCGGACTGCACCTACATCGAGGGGTTGCTTGAATTCTTTGCCTGGTCGCAGCTCAACCAATACGCCATCGACAACTCCCAAAAGCTGGGCTACGCGCCCCTGTCCTTCGGCTACAAGACGTACGTCACGCCGCTCGGTCGCTTCGCTGATCTTCTTGTGTTCGCGATCTAACACGGCACACACGGCACACACGGCACACACCAATGCGCAATTCCAGTAAGTTGATCGACAATCTGGGCCAGATCATCTGCAACAACGAGCGAGCATTCAAGCTGTCGTGGCTCATCGGCGAAGGCCTCAATTTCAACCTGTACACCAAGTGGATGGACAACTACGACAGCGCCAACATCCGGCTGCGCTACTTCCAGGGCGCCACCCCCGTGGCCATCGCCGACATGGCCGCCTGTGCGTTTTGCTTCCCCTCCCCCCACGCTCTGGAACGCAGCTCTCATCTCTGCCCGCGACTCCAACAGATAACGTCGACTTTGGCGGTATCAGCACTCCGCTCAGCGCGGCTCAGCAGGCGGCGCAGCCAGACGTGGTCTCGTTGCCCATCATCGCTTACGCAGCCGGGCCTTCATACAACGTATGGGCTTCACTCCCACCCGCCACCACCACCGCCTCTCTCAAGTCCTTTTTGGCTGACACGATGATCGATGTTGTTGTTGCGCGCAGGTGCCCGAGTTGGTTGGCAAGGAAAAATTGCTGTTCACCTTGTCGGTGGTGGCCGACATCATGCTCGGCATTGTCGACAACTGGAACCACTCGGCCATCCGCGAGCTCAACCCGACTTTGGCTCAGTACCTTCCCGATCAGCCTATCATGGTGGTCACCCCCACGGGCGCGCCAACAGTGATGCTTCTAATGACCGAGGCCCTGAGCCAGGCCAGCGAGTCGTTCAGGAACATCGTACGTGCGCCCCTGTAAGCCCGACCACACGTCATCAGCATCCCGTCGGCTAATTCTCGTGTTCGACTCGCGCCAACCAGGTTGGAGTCGGTGCGAACGTGCATCTCCCCGTGAATGATCTGGGCCGCAACATCAACACGTCGGATCCCTCCTCCTCAATCTTGAACGCGACCTATTCGATGGGCATCTGGCTGAACGAGCAGATGCGACTTCTGCGGACGACGGTATTTGCGGACCTCATCAACCCGGCAGGCAATCGCGTGTCGGCCAACTACGCTTCCCTGGTCTCGGCCGTCGACGATTTCAGCAGCCAGCCCAACGTAACCAATTTCATTCTCGGTGCGTCCACATAGCCTTGGACTATCACGGTAGTGCGTTTATTATTCAGCATTTTCTAATGATCGGCGTGTCACATGCAGGCCCAGGCGCAAACAGCTGGCCCATAGCCACGTATCATCAATTCATGATTCGCCGTTCGACCATGATCGACTGTACCAAGGCCCAGGCGCTTCTCGACTGGCTCTACTGGACCCAGGCCAGCGCCGAGGCGCAAGACTTGGCCATCAAGTACGTCCCAGTCCACACGCGCGCGCGCGCACACACACACACACTGTATCGCCGTATATCATCGCTCACCAAACAACAACACTCACCGGTGATAGAAACTATAATGGTGTGGCTGGCCATTCGAAGCCGGTGAGAGAGCGACTGCTGGACTTCCTCGCCAGCGCGACGTGCGGCGGCGTGGCCGCGAGCTCGCTCCACGACTGCATCGCCAACAGCACCCTGTGCTCGGATCGCGGTCAGTGCGTCGCCGGCGTCTGCCAATGCAACACCGGCTTCGAGGGCGACCTCTGCCAATACGTGACCGTCGAGTCGACCAGCAGCGTGCCGCTCGACATCATCCTCGGCACGGTCATACCCGTGTCCTTAGTCCTGCTCCTATTGCTGGTGTGTCTCGTGGTGGGTCTGGTGCTGTGGGCGCGCCACAACCGGCGCACCGACGACGACTGGGAGGTGGACATGGGCGAGATCGAGTTAGGCGAGCAGCTGGGCGCGGGCGGCTTCGGCGTCGTCAACAAGGCCGTGTGGAAGGGAACCGAAGTGGCGGTGAAAATGATGACCGCCGACGCCAACACCCGCGAACTCGAGCGCAACTTCAAAGAAGAGGTAGGTTCATCCATGTGTAACGCGCCGTGTGGTGCAAGGTTGTTGATTTGCTCACACGCGCATTCACTTTTAGGTGCGCGTCATGACAGCGTTGAGGCACCCCAATGTGGTGCTTTTCATGGCTGCGTGCACCAAGCCACCCAAGATGTGCATCGTAATGGAGTACATGTCGCTCGGGTCCCTCTTCGACGTACGGCCACATCCTCTCTCACCTCCCACCAACGTGCACTAACTCCTGTGCTCCCTTTTTTTAACTCCTGTTAACGATTAACACAGCTGCTGCACAACGAGCTGATCTCGGACATCCCCTTCGTGCTGCGGAACAAGATGGCCTACCAGGCCGCCAAGGGCATGCACTTCCTCCACTCGTCGGGCATCGTGCACCGCGACCTCAAGTCCCTTAATCTGCTGCTCGACAACAAGTGGAACGTCAAGGTCTCCGACTTTGGTCTGACCAAGTTCAAGGAGGAGATGAAGCGCGGCGGAGGCGACAAGGAGATGCAGGGCAGCGTCCACTGGATGGCGCCCGAGATTCTCAACGAGGAGCCGGTCGACTACATGTTGGCCGATATCTACAGCTTCGGCATCATCCTCTGGGAATTGGCCACGCGTCAACAGCCCTACTTCGGACTAAGGTGCGTGCGTGCGTGCAGTGTTTATATTCTCATGTCGCCGTCGTCCCTGGTTTCGCTTGCGCGTTTTCCTGATCTGAACTATGTGTGCGTGTAGTCCGGCGGCGGTGGCGGTGGCGGTGATTCGGGATGGAGCGCGGCCCCAGCTGCCGGAAAACTCCGACGAAGAGGGGACCATGGCCGTCCCGTCCGAGTTCCTGGATCTTATGAAAACCTGCTGGCATCAGGACCCCACCATTCGTCCCTCTTTCCTCGTACGCGCTTGTCCACACAACACACACAACACACACCGCGCAATACACTTGCCACAACTCATATTGCGTAACAGGAGGCGATGACCAGGCTGAGCACCCTCGGAGGCGACACGGGCCTGTCGTCCATGGGCAAGACCACCACGTCGTCCTCATCCGGCACGGGCGACCACACCAACAACTCCAAGTTCGAATCCTGGACTCTGCCGTCCATCAGCAATGGCGGCTCCTCCTCCTCTTCTGGTGCGTATCTCACCGTGTGCGGTGGTGTGTGCGTGTGCGGTGGTATGCGTGGTGCTTGGCTTACCCGTGAATTTTAGGGAGGGACGGATCGGCGGCGGCGGCGGCAGCGGCTGGAGCCGCCGGCGTGCGGCCGCCCGAGGGCGAGGTGACGATCGTGTTCTCCGACATCACGCGCGCGGCTTCGCTCTGGGAATTCTGCGCCGAGGCCATGCGCGATGCCACGCTCCTCCACAACCAGGCCCTGCGCGCCCTGCTCAAGAAGCACCGTGGCTACGAGGTCCTCTTCGCCAGGTCCGTCATCCCGCTACCGCGCCCCTTGCCCCTGTCCCCCGCTAACAACAATGACGGCGCGTGCGTGTTGCGTGTCGTGTGTCGTGTGGCGCCACACAGGGACAGGAACAGCGGCGAGGGTTCGTTCTGCATGGCCTTCCAGCACACGAGCGACGCCGTGCACTGGTGTATGGAGGCGCAGAAGGCGCTGGTGGACCTCGAGTGGCCCGCCACCCTGCTCGAGCACCCGGGCGCTGCCGAGGAGTGGAACGACGGCGACGACACGGTGCTCTACAAGGGCCTGCGGGTGCGGATGGGCGTGCACGCGGGCGAAGCCCGCACCAGGCGCGACGCAATGACCCGCCGCGTTGAGTACAGCGGACCTGTGGTCAACGCCGCCGCGCGCATCACGGCCATGACCCATGGCGGCCAGGTCAGCCTCATCCCACAGCACCTCTCTCACCTCACTTCTTCGCCTCTGCGTTGCCCTGACGTGTTTTTTCCCAGATCCTCCTGTCGCACACGGCACACGCCAAGCTGAAGGACTCGGAGCTCATGCAGCAGGCCACGCGCATCGTGTGCCTCGGCAAGTTTGAAATGCCCGATGCCCCGAGCGGTACGTTCCTGCCGACCGTGTGCGGTGGTGCGTGTGCGTGCGCGCGTGTGGTGGTGCTGACTGAGGCATCACAGGCGCCAAGCTGTACGAGCTCAAGCCGCCTGGGCTGGAGGGTCGCTTCTTCGGCGGCGTCACGCGCGGTCCCGACGCCGAGCTGAGCCCGTCGTCGGGCACCATGTCGAAGCGCAGCGGCGACCACCCGGGCGACGCGGACGACGACGAGCAGTCGGTCAAGAGCCACAAGACCAATGGCAGCGCCGACACGGACGACAACGAGCTGCAGACCGCGGTGGGTGAGGGCATGCTGTTCAAGGAGGACAACTACCTCACCTCGGCCAACCTCTGCCGCTGGGTCATCGACTACAAGGAGATCGCGCTCGGCAAGCAGGTACGCGAAATTTCATCCTTTTCGTGTGTGTCGTGTCGTGTTGCGTGTGTGCGGTGGCGGCAGACGTGCTGACACACAACACACGACAACGCACGCGCAGTTGGGCATGGGCTCGTATGGCGTAGTGTGGCGCGGCAAGTGGAAGGGCGTCGACGTGGCGGTGAAGCGGTTCATCAAGCAGAAGCTGGAGGAGCGACGCATGCTCGAGTTCAGGGCCGAGATGGCCTTCCTCGCCGAGCTGCACCATCCCAACATCGTCCTCTTCATCGGTACGCGTGTCGTGTGTGTCGTGTCGTGTCGTGTGTCATGTGCGGTTGCTGATGTGTCCGCACAAAACAGGAGCCTGCGTGAAGCGACCCAATCTGTGCATCGTGACCGAGTTCGTGAAGCAGGGAAGCCTGCGCGACCTGCTGGCCGACAGCAGCGTGAAGCTGACCTGGCGCCACAAGGCCAAGATGCTGCGCAGCGCGGCCCTGGGCATCAACTACCTCCACTCGCTCCAGCCCGTCATCATCCACCGCGACCTCAAGCCCTCCAACCTGCTCGTCGACGAGAACCTCAACGTCAAGGTCGCCGACTTCGGCTTCGCCCGCATCAAGGAGGAGAACGCCACCATGACTCGCTGCGGCACTCCCTGCTGGACCGGTACGTGTGTCGTGCGTGTCGTGCGTGTCGTGCGGTGCGCTGACGTTTCCATTGCGCCACGTGCAGCGCCGGAGGTGATTCGCGGTGAGAAGTATTCGGAGAAGGCCGACGTGTTCTCGTTCGGCGTGGTGATGTGGGAGGTTCTCACGCGCAAGCAGCCCTTCGCCGGGCGCAACTTCATGGGCGTGTCGCTCGACGTGCTCGAGGGCCGCCGGCCGGCAGTGCCCGCCGACTGCGCGCCGGCCTTCAAGAAGCTCATGAAGCGCTGCTGGCACGCCCAGGCCGACAAGCGACCGTCCATGGAGGACGTTATCGCCCAGCTCGACCTCATGGTGGGCGACCGCGATGACGACCGCGCCTTCGACGCCAGCAACGGCGCCATCGGCACAGTGTAATTACTAATTACTCTTTTCGATCAATGTACACTAACTCCATTCAACCAAACCCAACACACACACAACACACACACAACTCACACACGACAGAGGTGAGGAATGAGAAGCACAAGGGTGTCTTTATTTCAGCCGTGGGTGTGTGGTGATACTACTTGGTTGGGGTGGAACCCGGGCTGGAGGGATAGGGTAGAGTGGGGGGGGGAACGAAAGAAGAGTGTCCCGCAGTGGCGCCTCCGGCAGGTTAGATGCCGCCGATGCCGCCGCCGCCACCGAGAGCGCCGCGGATGAGCTCGAGGATCTGGTTGAGCAGGTCGATGAGGGCCGGCGGCAGGTTGCCGTTGAGCAGGCCGGCGATGGCGCAGAGCAGGTTGCCCAGCAGGTTGCCGGGGCCGGGGATGGCGGTGATGTCCAGCACGATGGTGTCGAGGTGGATCACGAGGCCCAGCAGATTGAGATCTAGAGGGCCGAGCACGAGGTGGAGGATCGGGCAAGAGTCGTTGGCCTGCTGGAGGTCGACCACCATGTCCACCAGGCCGAAGTCGAGGCCATTGAGGACGAGGTTGGCGACGGCAATGAGTTGGCCTTCGCGGTGCTCGAACCGAACAATGTCGAGGCTGCCTGCCACCTGCTGGATGGCCTGGCCGGACGGGCCAGAGCCTCCGGCAGGGCTCATGAAGCCGCTCACATCCACGACGAGCTGGCCCGAAGCGGCGTTGATCAGAGCGAGACTGAGCAGGAAGACTGCGAGAGCAAACTGGATCTTCATGGTTGGTTGGTGTTGTTGTTGGGGTAGTGCGAGCTTGTCGAGGTTGTTGGTTTGTTGGGTGTTTGAAGAAGGTCGGAGTTCTGCCCATTTATACCTGTCAAGCCAGACCCGGCGGTCCGGGGGTGGGCATCAAGAATGTGTGGAGCAGAGGGAACATCAGAGAACGGCACGACGAGCCCTCACGGCCAGGGAGAAGGTGGGGTTGCAGGCGCCCTCCAGTGAGTTTTTAATTTTTAAAGACCCCTTTTATGTTGTTAAAAGTCTGATCTGATTGGCCCCAGTCGATAAAAAGCACCAAAGATCGCTATGAAGGTGCCGATAAGGGCAAGGAATCGCGGTGTTGCCGACCTAATCTTGCTGTACATGTACCTGCCGCTTAGCCCTCGAAAGACAGCCACGGCCGACCGATGGCGGGCACTTTTCAGCTCTGGCTGGCCCCTTCTTGTGCTCCCAGCCAGGCCAAGGATGAACGACCATGAACTCCTCTCCAGTTTCCAGACCGATCTGAAACCGTGTGTGTGTTCAACACTTGCGCAAAGCGTGGGCTCGAGCCTCGCCTCAGCGTTGCAGACCAGGCATGTTTATTGGCCCCGAGTGTTGGGACGCGCCACTTGGCCCACGAAGACGGGGCAGTGGAGCAGGGCGTGGTAGATGGCGAACACGAACGGTCGGTCCACCACGAACTGCTCCTCCGATCTCGCTGCCTTTCGTTTGCGCCGCACCACGACGGCCGTCGCCGCAGCAGCCTCGGTGCCCTCTTCGTCCACTTTGATGAAGGTCTTGTGGATCACCTGGTCTATCCGCAGCTCCTTCCTGCGTTGGCGAAGAGAGAAGTACGTGGTCAGTGGTTTGTGCCTGTGCGCCGGGGCGAGTGCGCGGTGTGTGCGGTACCCAGCGGCGTCGGTGGTGGTGAGGGCCGAGAAATCGGCGCTCATGCCGAAGGGGTCCGTCACCCCGAGGGACTGAAGCACGGAGGAGAGCTCGAACTCGGCGTTGATCTCAAACCGGGGCAGGGCCAGCTCCACCGGCTTCACGGAAAGCTGCTCGTACTGCCCCCTCAGTCCGACCAGAGACGCGTGAACGTTGAACAGGGCCTCGACCGAGTTGTCGTGAGGCAGCAGTATGAGCATCCGCAGGTGGGAGTCCTTGTAGGGCAGGCTCACTGCGGCGTGGGTCTTGAAGCTGGCGTGGGCCAGGTTGGATGACTGTCGCATCATCTGCACCTGCAGATCACCACCGCCTCCGAGCGTATGGAACGGCGCGGCGTTGGTGTTCTGGTGCTTGAACTTGTGCTGCCACACGGCCTTGAAGTGAATCGCGTTGGTCACGATCAGGCGAGTGTCGGGTGTAACAGAGCTGAAACCAACAGCAAGGTTGTAGTGAGCTAACCAATCTGATGTCAAGAACGAGTCAACTCGTACCCAGCCGCTAGGAGGTGGTTGATCTTGTGGTTGGTCTTCTCCGCCACCCATCCGTTGATCCGGGAGCGAACGGCGTCGCCCTGGGCGAAGTCCACGTTGCGCGCCTTGGCCACCAGCTCAGCCGCCCGTGCGACGAAGGCCGGGTCGATAGGAAGCTTCGAGTCAACCCACAGTGCGTTGGCCACCGCCAGCTGCGCCTCTCCGTCCCTCAATGCCTGCAGTGATCACAAAAGTGAGCTAAGGCCAACCCGGGTCGGTCTTGGTGGTGCGTAGTACCGCGGCGAGGGAGGCCATGTCGGCGTGGACTTGCTCCTGGCTCGCGTCAGGGCCATAGCCCACTGCCAGGCGGAGCTGGGCCGCGGTCTGCTCGGCGGCGCCCTCCAGCGCGAGAGCCAGGGCCAGTTGGACGCCGAGCGGAGAGATGAGAACGTCCTTGTCAACGTGGCAATTGTGCGGCACCAACTCGGACAGCAGGTTCGTCGTTAGCTTCAGGCCGGCGTCGCTGATCGCGGTTCCGGCGGCAGTGGAGGTGGACCTGTCCATGTCTTTGCTGAGTAGTTGGAGTTGTTGAAAATGTAGTCGGTCGGGCTTATTTATTCCGCCGGGAAAGAAAAATGCACAAAATGTGCTTCGGTGATCCCGAAACGTGTTCGGGTGATGATTTCCCTTTTATTTTCTGCTCTGCCTAAATTGTGAAAGATTAAAAATATGGCCATATTTTCTTTCCCATTTCTCGGGGCAGGTTTGAATTTAGAAGCCTGCAAGATCGAGATCCCATCTCATTTGGGCGAGGCTTCTCCTGACACCCAAGCGATTTGGAAGGAGTAAAGGGTGTGGAACTAATAACGATGGAGTCCTCCGGCGCGACTAGAGAATTGGTAGCAGGCAAAAAGGACGCGACCGGGGCGGCGTCGTCATCTTCCCCCTCGCCATCATCAACGAACGTGTCTACATCGATTTCAGCCACGGCTGCTGCCAGTGCGAAGGAAGCTCAGGCAAAGTCATCGCCCTCCTCCAAATCCATTGTGCACCCGGCCGGGAAGGGGCAAGCTACCGTCAGCGGGATACTCAAGGGCTGCGAAGTGTTCATCAATCCCGCTCTCGACATCGAACAGATGGATCGGGTACGCAGCGCCGCATCCCTTTCCCTTTCCTTTTCCCCTTCCGCTACGCTCCTCACTCGCAACCATCCCCACAAACTGTTTAACAGTATCGTAAGTTGGTACGTGAGCACGGCGGAGGAGTGCAGTACTACTTTGAGGTCAGCAAGACGACCCACGTCATCACCGCCGATCTGGCCCACTTTGCCGACCTGCCCGCCGCCCGTGAAGCCGGCATCCTCCTCGTCACGGTACCGTCTCTCTGCCCGCGATCTGCCTTTCGTGTGATTCAGCCGTGTGTGTGTTTGTGTGTGTGTGTGGTGTCTTTATCATCCGGCGCGTCTCACGTTGATTCCCTTCAGCCCCTTTGGTTGGAGAACTCGGTCACCTTCGGCGAACGGGAGGACGAGGAATTCTACTCGCCCGATCCCAGGAAGTTCTTCTCCGGCCTGTGCATTTGCTCCTCCCAGGTACGGCTCACCTCGCCCTCCACTCGGCTCGCTACGTACTACGGCAGTCACAAACGGCTGGTTATTATTATTTCTTTATTTATGTCTTTATTTATCCCTTTTTTGGCGTGTGTACAACCGTGGTGTGATTGTAGATAGCCGCGGAGGAGCGGGACATGATGTTCGCCGGCGTGGTGGCCTTTGGTGGTCGCGTCTCTGCACGCCTTAACAACAGATGCACGCACCTCATCATAAACAAACCAGCTGCGGGCGTACGTTGCTCCACCGCCCCCGTGACATCGTCCAGAACGCACCTCCTGATGCTCCATCTTGCTTGCTTCCGTCAAATGATTCACATTGACATTACAGGCCAAGTACGAATGGGCACGCAAGCACGGAGGAATCAAGATCGTGATGCCCAAGTGGTACAACAACTCGCTCATGTACGTTCGCACTCACCCCCTTTCCGCACTTATGCGCCCACATAAACTAAGAACCAATTTACACCCCTACGCTCACGCCTCTGAACCCAGGTTTCGAAGGAGAGAGAAGGAGACAGAACACCTGGTGCCAGCTGAACAGGCGATCAAGAACTTGCCAGCGGCCGCTACCGCCACCGTCTCGCGCCAAGAGCAAGCTAAAAAGGAGGCCGAAGGCAACAAGAGGGGCGGAGAAAGGAAGCCAGCTGCCGACAAAATGGAGCGAGATGACAACGAGGGGGAGGCGGCGGAAGCGGAGGCGAAGGGCGATCAAGATGGCATGGAGATGATGAGCCAGTCCGAGGTCAGCCACTCGGCGAAGTGGACGAAGCCGCGGGAAGACCGGGAGGACGAAGGCTCGGAGGAGAACGCCAACGAAAGCAAGGACGAGTTCAGCCTCATGCTGGACCACCTGCCGCGCAACAAACGCGCTCGTGACGAAGACGACGAAGGTGACGAGGAAGATAAGAAGCAGGCGAAGGTGCGGAAGACCACTGTCGAGAAGAAAAGCGACGGCGAAGGCGAAGACAAAGGCGAAGAAGAAGAGGAGGGCAAAGGGGATGGAGAGGCCGAGGAGGAGGATCTGGAGGCCGAGGCCGAAGAATGGCAAGAAGGGGCCACCACCACTACCACCGAGGGCAAGGTCCCCACTCGGCCCGAGGACATGGAAGAGGAAATCAAGACCTATATCCGCAAGAACGGTATCGGCGCGTGCGCTTGTTTGTCGTGTGTGTGTCGTGTGTGTGTGTGTGTGTGTGTGTGTGGTTCGACATCTTCTCAATTCTTTCCTCCAACGCAGCGCACCGCGTAAGTGCGAGGGAGATCCGTCTCAAATTCAAGATGGGCCATCCGAGGGCGAAGCGTCTACTCAACGAGGTGATCCAGGAGATGAAGAAGGAGCTCAAGAAGCACGCCAAGAAGCGACAGTCCTCCAAAGACGACGAAAAGGCGTCGACGTCAGCCGACACGAAGGTGGAGTCCGGCAAGCAGGAGAAAGAGGCGCTGAAGAAGAAGACAGTGACCACGCCGAGCAAGGCGGCGACCGTGGCAGTGAAGGAGGACGTCGGGCCGAAGGTGCCGAAGGATCAGCTGATGAAGGGCATGTGCGTCTTGCTCGTCGATCTCCCGACGTCGCGCTACCGCGACGCCATGGAGGCCGTGCGTGAGATGGGCGGCACCACCCACCGCGGCCTAGCCGACGCGTGCAAGATCGAAGGTGTGCAGTGGAGCAAGGCCGCCGCGACCAACATCACCCACGTCCTCTACCTGCAGTCCAAGCCCGCCATCGACGCTCTGGTATGTCCGCACATGCATCGATGATCGATCACACACCACAAATCAGAGAGAGAGATGAGTGTCGTATGTCGTTTATCTCAACTCATGCTCAACCGTACACTGCAGAGGAAGAAGATGGCGCTCCATGGGCTCGCCGACGTGCAGGAGGTGTCGATCGAGTGGATTCAGTGGTGCGATGTCCACGTCCGCCTGTTCCCGCCGGCGATCTCGCCGCTGTTCCAACCGTTGCCGCACAACCCCGTACCAGGCATGGACGAGCTGGTACCAGTCATCCCCCTCTCCTCCTCTCCCTCTTCATTTGAGCTGCGATTGTCCATCGTTCGGCCATGGCTCACCGAATGATGTGACAGATCATTTCGCAATCGAACACGCGAGGGTGGGAGCGGGAAGAGATCGTGGCGCTGATCTCGAAGATGGGTGCCAAGTACAACCGCAGCATGCCGAACGAGCCCAACGTCATCCTCGTCATTGCGACGTATGTAACGTGATACCCCCCCACCCGTTAGATGAGCGCATGGCGCTCACCACCACTCGTATCAAACGCATCAGAGCTGACGCGGGCGCGGCCAAGAGTGAAAAGGTGGTCATGGCCAAGGAGTGGGGCGTACCGATCGTCACCAAGGTACACCGCCACACGCCGCATGCGCCTAAATCGAGAAATGCGCCGTGCGCGGTGGGCTAAAGGCGACTGTTGCTGGTGGCGCTCAATAGGAGTGGCTCTACGATTGCGCGCGTAAATGGCGCCGCATCGACCCAGCAGCCGAGGGCTACGTAGTCTCGCTGGAGGGCCTCGAAGAAGGCGGCAAAGAGGCGGCCTCCAAGCCTGAGTCCGCCACCAGCGCAGGTACTTGGCACAACACGACACACACGACACACACGACACACCATCCAGACACCCTGTGGTCTAACCCTTGTGCGAACAGAAGGGAAGAACATGGACAAGGACAAGAAAAAGAGCAAGAACGAGGACGAGAAGGAGAAGAAGGGAGGGAAGAGCGGTAGCATCAAGGAACGGCGGGAGGGAGCCGGCGAGGAAGAGCTCGAAGAAGATGAGGAGCACGACGACCGTAAGGGCGATGACAAGGACGAGTACGAGGAAAAGAGCCGCGGCAGCGGTAGCAAGAAAGCAGCGTCGCGCACCGTGTCCACCACGAAGCGCTGCATCCAGTGCGGGGCCACAAAGACGCCGTGCTGGCGCAAGGGGGCCGACGGCGAGCGGTCGCTGTGCAACGCCTGCGGGCTCAAGTTCTCAGCCGAGCTGCGACGCAGGTCCAACAAGCACGACACGCGCAAGCGCAAGCACGACGGCGGCGCGCTGGACGACCTGGACGACGACGACGACATTGACGACCTCCGTGCGCGAGCCAGCAAGCGACGCAGCCTGACGGCGAGCGGCGGCGGAACTGCGATGGACGATGGCGATGAGGACAGCCTCGATACCGTGCAGCGGCGGGTGCGGCGGATGATGGCCTCGCAGGACGCCAAGGGCCGCTACCACTTCGCCTTCTCCTGCCTCTCCAAGCCAGTCACCGCCCAGCTCAAGCGGATCGTCACCAAGCTCGGCGGCACCTACAGCGAATTGTGGGAGCCCGGTGTCACCACGCATCTCGTCCTGGTACGCCCTCTCCTCCCCTCTTCTTTGTGTCACACGCACGCAATGCGACCTACGTTCGTGTTGAGCTGACAGCCGGCTGGGTGCAGGGCACGCTCCGTCGCACGGAGAAGATGTTGTGCGCGTGCGCCTCTGGAAGCTGGGTCCTTCAGCCCTCCTACCTGTACGCCCCAATTCTCTTCGATTGAGTGGGCGATATCGCCACGACGTACACCTCACTATCGGCGCCGATGTGGATCGATAGGATGAAGTCGGATAAGAAGGGCCGATTCCTGCGCGAGGAAGAGCACGAGTGGTACGACGAAGAGTGGGACGACGAGCAGGAGAAGCGGATCTGGGCTGCCTGCATGCGTCGCCACCGGCTGAACCTGCTCGAGTACGGCTCGCCGTCCTCCTCTTATACGCCGCCCTCGTCCCTCCTCCTGAGGACTGACAGTCAGTCACATTGCAATTCCTCGCAATGGCAGAACGGGCAAGCGCGCGTTCGAAGGCTGGGAGTTCCACCTCGTGGGTGACACCGAGCCCACGCCCGACATCATGGCCAAGATCATCGAGTCAGGTACCTGCATCTTATCTATACTGGCGTCTCTGCCTCGGTCCACACTATTATTAGTATTGACCTGTGAATGGCGCAGGTGGCGGCAAGCTGATATCTACGCGGTCTCTCGTAAAGATCAAGAAGCACAAGGTAAAGCACACACACAACATAACACAACACGAACACACACACACACACACACACACACACACACACACACACACACACACACACACACACGAATACACACCATTCGCCTGTGTGCTAAATAGAAGGATTTGCAGGCGCATCGGTATGGTCTGGTGGGCGCCAACGCCGAGAAGAAGGCGGTGCGTAGGCTGACCGAGGTGGGTCTTCCGTGCGTTGACTCAATCTACCTCGCCACCTTCCTGTGCGACCGCCATGCGCCTGCCGTGGTACTTTCTTCCTCCGCTTGCGTGTGCGTGAGCAGTGGGGCTCGTGCGGTGTGTCTCACGAACGTGCTTTCGTAACTGCAGGAGGATTTCTACATCTGAGCTGACCACCCAGAAGAAACCCCAGTCAACCACCCATGTGCACAACAACCTTCTACTACATTCCAAGAAACTCACCTCTATCCTATCGTACACAGCACACAGCATTAGGAAAAAAAGGGCAATCCTGTTTACTACAGGCTCGCTCGACGCATCCGCGGGTGCTTCTGGTGTGTTCTCCTCGTTTTCCCTTTGCTCCGCTGGCTCGTTCTTCTCTTCCTGCTCTTCTTCCTCGTTCCCTCTCGTCGTCGTCTCTTCTTCGTTCTTTGCGCCGTCTGGCCGGCGAGCCGTCGGCGTGAGTGTCGAGCTCGTCCACAGGCGGCCGCTGCTGGTCAGGCCAGCGTCGCCTCGACCGCCGCCTCCGCTCGCGGCTTCGCAGCTCTCGGCCCGCATCCGACGACGTTCCTCGCGGGCGACGCGCGCCACGCTGAGCTTCATGGCCTCGAGCCACTTGCCCGTGGCGAAGTACGCCTCGGCGAAGAGGTAGTACTTGCGGACCACCTGCTTACGCGGCGACACGGCGCCGCCGCTTCCGCGTGTGGCCTCCCTGCACGTGATCACGAGACACGTTCGCACTGCGGCGGCGGCGAGGGGCGGCAGTCAGCTTCAGCTTGGCGGAGGAGTGAGCGCAACACCAAGGTACGCGCGCGCGCGTACTCTCAAACTCGGGGTTGGTGTAGCGCTCCTCGAGGGACAGCTTGGCGTTCAACAGGTCGATCTTGCCCAGCAGCTTGGTCTGTCACGAACAACAACATCAGCAGCAAGCTCCATCATCGCCATCACATCAACGAGGACGGTGCGTGGCGTACACTGTCGGCAGCGCGGTAGAAGAGCTTGGCGTTCTTGAGGATGAACCACCGCTGCTTCCACGTCTTCCACTGCCCGCCTGCACCAACGAGAGAGGCCACCGCGTCAGCACGGCCACCACCCTTTTAGGGGCTGCCAAGGGGAAGAGGAAGGTACCCTCCTTGAAGAGAAGACCGTCCCTCTCGGCCGGGCCTTCAGCATCGGCGGGGTCGAGCAGGGCACCCTCCTGCTCGGCGGCCGGTTCGGCGCTGACCAGCTTGAAGATGTTGGCCAGCGAGTGGGTCCGCAGACGGCCCACCAGCGTCGGCCGCCGCTCCCTTTGCTCGGCCGCAGCGGTTCCGCTCGCCTTCTTTTCGTCGCTTTCGTTATTTGTTGTTCTAGTTCCGTCCGCGGTCCGCAGCGTCACCTTCTTTTTCTGCTTCGTTCTTTTGGCGCCAGCCCCCTTAACTCGTGGTTCATCTTCCGCGCTCGCCTTCTTCTCCTCGTTTTCCCCTTCCCTCGCGTTGTCGGTCTCAATAGTACCCGACCCAGCACGCAGCGGCGAAGAGTACCCGGCCTGTGTTCCTTCTTCCTCGCTGTTACCTTCACCTTTGTCGTTCACCGTATCTTCCTTCTCCGCTCGCGTGGCTTCAGTGTCCTCCTTCTCCCTCTTCGCGTCGCGGCCTTCGGCTGCAGGGTCGGTGGCCACCGGTTCGCCTTCATCAACTTTGGCCTCAGGTTTCTGCTGTTGTTGGTTCGTATTGTTGGAGGAGAACAGAGCCGTGAGCTTGCGCACCAGCGAGGTCATCTTCTGTTCTCTTCTCCTCTGCCGCGGGTGGGGTTGAGGGAACAACTGGGCCAGTCAGCTTGGGGACAACGCACGCTACGTCTGTTTGTGCGCCGTACCATTTGCGTGCGGAGTTGTGTGTAATTTCATTCCACGATCTCCTTCACTATTGGCCCTTGCTCTCTTTAAATCGGTCTTGTGTGTGGAGTTGGCGTCAGACGCAGCGGCCAGCGACTCTCCCGACATTGGGGACAAAGAGTGACTCTGGCCGAGACGGTCACCGGTGGACACACCACCGGGGAGCCTGCAGCGGACTGCTTCGTAATTGTTGTGGGCACGCGGTGGTGTTCGTCACCAGAGGGAAAAAAGAAGTAAAATAAAAGTGAAAAAATTAAGAAAAATAGAGAGAAAAAACAACGACTAGTGTGGAGAAGGATGGGGTTCACGGCGATTACGACGGAGGTGAAGGAAGGCGTGCTCATCCTGCGACTGAACAGGCCCTCGCGCAAGAATGCTTTCAATCACGAGCAGTACGAGGAATGCATCGTCGCCCTGGCCCAAGCCGCAAAGGATGAAAACGTTCGCGCTGTGGTATGGCCATCCTCTCTCAATACTACGCACATAATCGGTTTTCCGTTCCCCCCCTCTGCAATTCCTCAAATCAATCTCTTCCGGGCACAGCTGTTTACGGGTGCGGGCGACTACTTCAGCAGCGGCAACGACCTCGCCAACTTCCTGCGCGCCGACTCCACCGACACCACACCGGCCAAGGGTTCGTAGGCTCTCACACCTCTTCCTCCGCTCCTTCACCACTTCCTTCCATGTGTGGCACTGCGCCCTGTGAGAGCTCACTCTCCCTCTCGGCGGGCCGTCTCCACAGACCTCCTGACGCGCTTCGTGAACGCGTTCATCCTCTTCCCCAAGCCGATCGTTGCCGCGGTCAACGGTCCCGCCGTGGGTACGTGCGCGCACTCTCCCTCTCCTCTGGCTTCTCGTGGCGCGTGCGCTGACAATGAAGTCTCGGCCTGCCAGGCATCGCCGCCACGATTCTGGGGCACTGCGACCTCGTCTACGGCTCTGAAACGTGCGTTTGTGTGACGCGCTGGCCGCGCTGGTCGTGATGCCCTGGTGGTGGGTAGGTGGGTGGGTGGTGGTCGTGGTGGTGGTGGTTGGTCTGACAAAGAAGTGTGAAAATGGCGCGCAGATGCTCGCTGCACACGCCGTTCATGCAGCTGGCGCAGAGTCCCGAGGCCTGCTCGTCTCTCCTTTTCCCCGAATCGATGGGCGCCCTCAAGGTACAATCGCGCACGCACGACCGCACACACCGCCGGGTTGCATGCCCCTCCCCCCCGCTTACATCTGCCTCGTCGGCACACACCAGGCCAACGAGATGCTGCTCCTGGGCAAAAAGTTCTCCGCCCGTGAGGCGCTCAAGGCCAACCTCCTCAACGAGGTCTTCACCGAGAAGGGCGACCAGTTTACCGAAAAGGTTGCACTTCCCACTGTGACCACCCACCACCCACCCACCACCACAGGGCATCGACTCACGCACATGAGCAGGTCTTCGCCATCGCACGCCAGCTCGCATCGTATCCTCCCGAGGCCGTGCAGCTGTCCAAGCGGGTACCCCAATTTCCCTCTTCTTGTTGTTCTTCCAGAGGGGCATTGCGAGCGTGCTGGCCTGCGCACTCACTCGCGCGAAACATGGCGTTGTCTTATCTTCCAGTTGATCCGCAACAACCGGCGCCTCGCCCTGCTCGATGCCGTCAACAAGGAGGAGGTCGAACTGCTTGGCGAACGGTTCGTCTTCTCCTTCCCTTCCCTTCCCTTTCCCTCTTTCCAGTCTTGGTCGAGCCTCGCATCTCATCTGGTGTGTGTCGTGTGTGTCGTGTGTGTCGTGTGTGTCGTGTGTGTCGTGTGTATGTGTGTGTGTGTGTCTTGTGTCGTGTGGTATGTGGGTCGGTGCACAGGTGGGTGTCGGCCGAGTGTATCCAGGCCGTCATGAACTTCATGTCCCGTCGACAGAAGGCCAGCCTCTGATGGGGCGTGACTTGTGTGCCAAAAGACATACCACCCCAGGTCAGGTGTGTCGCTGGATATGGAAATTGATCAGGGCTCTAAGGCCTTTAGAGCTTCTGTACAACACCCCAACATGTTGTTTGATAGGTCAAGTGGTGAACGTTGTTGTTTGTGGAAGGTGGCCAGCCCACGAGAGGTTCGTGTGGGCCTTTTGGGCGGAGAACAGGACAGCAGGGTCCCAGCGAATGGGGACCACAGGACCAACACAACAACGGTAATGAAGCCGCAATAAACGCAAAATAATAAACGAAAGGGCTGTGTGTGGAGAACGCCTGTGGAGGAAAGAAGAGAAGCCAAGAAGGGAAGAGATTCTCTCGACTCATACGAAAGCAAAGGTTGCAAGGGGTTGCCGCTCGATCGAGAATTAAAAATCAATACATTATTCTTTTTAATTTGTAGAACGGAAATTGGGTTCCCCTCGGTTCGGCGATGCTCCAGAGGCGGATCTCGCAGAGGAGGGACAGCAGCCAGAGGGGCAGGGGCGGGTCACGCACCTCGCCGGGTGGCCCCTCTCGGTCGAGCCACCGGCTTTCGGTCTATGAGCTGCCCCCTGCCGGCGACAAGGATCCCCTCCAATTCAAAATCGTACGGCATCCCCTTCTCCTCAATAGAAAGAAATGGTTTTGCATGCAACCTCATCATCCTCGCCGCGATGTGCCATCCCTCGTCTTCTCGTTATTATTTATAATCAGAAAATACTAAACATTATGATTTTATAATAATATGTTTACCATATTTGCGTGTGCGCGTGTTCTCCGCTGCAGTTGGTGATGGGCGCGGCAGAAACGGACAAGACGCAGCTGCTCATTCAGTACGTGGTGCCGGCTGCTGCGGCCTCCTCTTCCTCGTCGGATGCCGCCGCTTCGGCTGCCAGCTCCAAGGACGATCAGCTCGGTGCGTTGCTCACACTGCTCCATCCTCTAGACACGCACCACCGCACACGCACACGCACACGCACCACCGCACACACCCACAACCATTGCGTGAGCTCACTTTTTTTTTTGTGCACAGACGTGTGCTGCAGCTGGCGTAAGCGGGTGACGATCGAAGGAGTGGACTTCATACTCGACTTGAGGGACATCCCCAGCGGCGACTCGGCCACGTCGTCCTTCATCGACCTGGTTCGTCCCTGCACGCTGTTTTGTGTGCCGCGGTGGTGTGCGGTGGTGTGCGGTGGTGTGCGGTGGTGTGCGGTGGTGTGCGGTGGTGTGCGGTGGTGTGCGGTGGTGTGCGGTGGTGGTTGGCTGATCTGAGATTTGCAACCGGACAGGACATCAAAGAGGCGGACGGAGTGATGATCATGTATAGCGTGGCTTCGACCCCATCGCTGCAGGAGGCGGTGCAGATGAAGGGGTACGTCACCCGCAAGCGTTTCGAGCGCGAGATGGAGCAAACGGAGAGCAACGCCTCCATCATCCCCCTCATCCTCGTCGGGGTGGACCACGGCATCAAGAAGCGCGAGATTCCCTGGGAAGACGGTACTGCCACACAACACACACACACACAACACACACACACACAACACACACACACACACACACACGAGGAGTGGCCTCAATGATCGACGGTGGTGCAGGCAAGGAGGTGGCGCTCAGCTGGCAGTGTCCGTTCGCCGAGATTACGCGGGACCAGACCAAGATCAGCAAAAGCTTCGAGGAGCTGGTCAAGGAGATCTATCGGTACGGCCGCACCCTGTCTCCGCTGTTCCCTGCACCCTCTCCCCTAGTCTCATGGTCTGCATGTCGTGCGTGGTTCGTGTGCAGATACAAGTTCACTCCGGCTGGTCAGCCTGTGCTCACGCCGGCGATGAAGGAAGCGAAGAAGGCCGCGTTCAGGTACACGCGTGCGGATGCGCCCGATCTGCAGTTCGTGCCGGGCGGCGAGGAAGACGTGCAGCCTCGCATCAAGGCCGCCTCCCTCGAGCGACTGGTCGAGCGATTGACCTACGACAAGTATCCCTGTACGCACATGCATACGACCGCACACACCCCCGTGTCCGATCACACACGCTCCACCGCACACGCGGCGCTCACACAAGCCCTTTTCAACCGCTCCAGATCCGACGCTCTCGCGCACGTTCCTGCTGATGTACCGCCACTACACGACGGGCCAGAAGCTGATGACCCTCCTCGTCGAGCGCTTCACGCTGCCCCCGCCCGCGGGCAACGTATTGGCCCAGGAGGAGTGGAAGCAACGCGTGCAGACCCCCATTCGTCTCAGGTACTCGTGCGCGTGCGGCTGTGTGTGTGTGTTGTGTGTTGTGTGTGTGTGTATGTGTGTGTGTGCGTGCCTGCGGTTGTGCGTGCGTGCTGCGGAGCGTGTCGTGTGCACAAAGTTACCATCGGTGCCCAGAGCGCTAACGGTGTATGTGACACGCTCTCTCAATAGGGTCTACAACCTTCTCAAGCTGTGGATCGCGAAGCACTTCGACGATTTCGAGCAGGACCCGGCCCTGACCGACATGCTCTTCCGCTTCATCGTACCACCTCCACCCTTTGTGCGCGTGCGTGCCTTGAAGCCTCAACGCTGACTTCTTCTTCTCCTCCGCCTTCTCAGGAGGGACCGGTGAAGGCGTACAACATGACCTGTGCCAATCAGCTCGTCAGTCTTCTCACCGAAATGGTGCGATCTCCAACCCGCAGCTTGGGGGAAAGCGAGTGTCCGCCTCTGTCGCCAGAGCACGCTGACGGTTGACGGTTGACTTGGTGGCTGTGACATCGCTACAGAAAGTCAAGAAGGACAAGAAGCGGAAGTCGCTCCCGGTCATGTTCGACAAGGAGGCACCCAAGCCCAAGATCTCGCGCAAGGTCACCATGGGCAACTTCGCCTTCAAGGACCTCAATCCCGTCGAGGTACTCACCGTGTGTTGCGTGTGTTGCGTGTGTTGCGTGTGTTGCATGTGTTGCGTGTGTTGCGTGTGTTGCGTGTGTTGCGTGTGTTGCGTGTGTGCGGTCGTGCGTATGCGTGTGCGTGTGCGGCCAGCATCACGACTGACCTTCTCTCTTCGGTCATTTGCGCAGTTGGCGCGGCAGCTGACGTTGATGGACTTCCGATACTTCAAGCGACTGACGCCCTATGAGTTCATCCTGTGGAACAAGCTCAAGAAGCACGAGAAGCCCAACCGCGCGCCCAACATCTACGTCGCCATCCAGAACTTCAACGCGCTCAACTGCCTGGTCAAGTCGGAGGTGGTGATGGGCGACAAGCCCAAGTCGCGCGCCCTCGTAATCTCTCGCTGGATACAGACAGCACAGGTGCGTGTGTGTGCATGTCAGTGGTGTGTGCGTGCGTGCGGTGGTATGCGTGTCATAGGATTGTGCTCAATTTGGGAAGCTTGTCTGGCAGGCCTGTCTGGAACTGAACAACTTCAATTCGGTGATGATGGTCGTGAGTGCGCTGGACGACTGCGCCGTACATCGACTCAAGCAGACCTGGAAGGCATGCCCCATCTCTTCATCCATTCCTTACATATCAAACTCATCTGCACCGCTTTCTGTGCACACACACGTCGCCGCACACAGATGGTTCCTCGCAAGCTGATCAGGCAGTTCCAGGACTTCAAGAAATTGGTGGAGGCCCGCGGGTCGTTCCACAATCTCCGCATGGCCCAAAAGGCCGCCGTCTCTCCCCTGCTCCCCTACCTCGGTACTCTCTCGTCTTCCTTTCTTAGACGCTTAATCATCGCACACGCGTGCGCACTCACCGCACACGCACACGAATGACACACGTATGGCAGGCATGTTCCTGACGGACCTGGCATACGTGAACGACGCGACGCCGGACTACATCAACTCGCTGATGAACGTGGACAAGATGGATCAGATGGTGGGCGTCGTGCGCGGGATTCAGCTCAGCTTTCAGTCGCCCTACTGCCTCGAGGAGGTGCCCCACATCCAGGTACCGCCTCACCAGCCATCTTAAGATGGCAGTAGCGCTCTAGTTAAGGTGGCTGATTTCGTCACACTACCGCCACCTTAAGGCCTACCTACAGCGGGAATCGCCCTTCGACGAGCAGGAGCTCTACCGTCTCTCGTGCGAGAAGGAGCCCGCCCCCAGCGCAGCCACCACGACCGCCGCGCCTGCGCCCTCCTCACTCAGCGCCAAGTTCGGCGCCTTCTTCTCGTCGCCCTCCTTCGCCGCCGCAACGCCCGCCACCTCCACATCTTCGTCATCGTCATCTTCATCGTCGTCGTCGTCGGCGTTGTCATCGTCGGTGTCGGCGTCGGCGGCCACCGGTTCATCGTCGTCGGCCGCGGGCGTGACGAAGCAGTGGTCGCACACGCTGGCCGGCTCGCCCACGTCGTCGCCCAGCACGCCCGCCCGGAAGCCGCTGCCGCAGCCGCAGCCGCAGCCGCGCATCGCCGAAGAGCGGCGGCCGTCGGTGGTCGGCGCGGCCCCACTGCCGGCCGTACCGGTCCCGCCCAACATCGACCGTCGGCCCTCGCTCAGCTTCCCACCCAGCAGCGCCCTTCCCGTGCCCGCCGGTGCTGCTGCTGACGTCAGCATCGAGGTCTCGCCTGCCACGTCAGCAACACCGGCCGCAACGTCGTTGGCCACGTCAGCATTGGCCCCTGCCGGAGGAGTCCCCGGGTCTCCCCCTGCGCGGGCCAGCCCCGCCCCCGACCGCCGGGCGGCCCGTCTCGTCGGGCCTCGTCGACGCCCTCGAGCGGAGCGCCGCGGCCATGGAGGACTCGGGCATCAGCGCGCCCGTCGTGCAGCAGTGGCTCGACGAGATCGAGAAGAAGGACTCGAGCCAGGTCTTTGGCGAGTACAACGCCTACAAGAGGGCCCTCCTCGGCAGCACCGCCCTCGAGACCCTCATCCGCGCCCTCCTCAAGCAACCCACCTCCCTCCCTGGTACGTGCGAGTGCGTGTGCGGTCGCGCGTGCGGTCAGGTGTGTGCGGTCGCGCGTGTGTGTTGCTCACGTGTGTGTTGCTCACGTGTGTGTTGCGTGTGGCACGCGACAGGGTCGGCCGAGGTGGACAGTGTGGTGCTGCAGCTGATGGCGCGTACGTTCATCGGCGGCCCCAAGTTCCAGAAGGAGCTCTTTGCCGGGCTGCGCGGCCTCTCGCCGTCGGCCACCACCGCACCGCTGCCGCTCGAGACCATCGACCTCGTCGCCGCGCTCGTCGCCCGCCACCTCAAGGCCGTCCCGCTCAACGAGAAGCTGCTCACCGACCTCCAGGAGCTCAACAAGAAGTCGGCCGAGATCATCCTCCTGCTGCAGAAGATCGAAGACACCGAGGGCGCGCACAGCGTGACGCTCAACGAGGAGAAGATCGAGATCACGGCGGTGCTGATGGAGCTGGGCCAGGTGACGCTCAAGGTCATCGACAGCCTCCACTCGGTGGACGACCTGGGCAGCCGGCGCTGCCTGCAGGCCGACGACGAGCGGGCCATCGGGGACCTGGCGGCGCGCATCGTCGCGGCGGCGAGTCCGCCCACCGCCGAGACGGCCAAGCTCCACGAGTTCGTCAACCGGGTCAAGGCCGAGGCCAAGAAGCTGCGCGCCCTTGATCAGGTACACGCTTCTTGCCACCGCACACGCACACACAGCACACAGACACGCGGCACGCGCCGCACACGCGCACGGTGATACACGTGGCACGCACCGAACACGCACACGCGGCGAAAGGAACTCACTGTTGGGTTGCGCCAGGCGTCGATGGAGGGCGCGCTGCTGGCCACCGCGAACGACCAGCTGGACACGATTGAACTCCACTTCCAGAAGCTGCTCGACCAGATGTCCCTCCTCACCCGCCGGTAACGTGTCCCGTGTGTGCGGCTGCGCGTGTGTGCGGTGTGTGTGGCGTGTGCGATGTTTGTGATGGTTTGACCAACTAAGAGTTCGTGGCAGGCTGTTGAAGCTGTGGGACTTGCGGCGGGTGCGCGAGGTGATCCTCAGCACGGAGACGCCCGGCGTCGAGGCCGCGGAGATCGACGGCCTCGGTCGCGAGAAGGAGGAGATCATGCGCAAGATCGAGATCACGTGGGAGCAGGACCTGGCCAACGTCCACAAGCTCCTCGCCGCCGTCACCACCGCCGAGGACAAGTTCTACGCCTTCGCCCGCTACTACCAGCGACTCCTCGGCGAGCCCGACGCGGCCGGCGACGCAGCTCCAGCCAACGAAAGCAATACGCCGCAATCGGGCGGCGGCAAGCGACTGCCGCCAGTGCCGCACCCGGAGCGGAAGGCGAGCCTGGGGAATAACAAGGAGCTCGGGCGGGTGTTCAACTACCTGATTCGCATTCGCAAGCTGCAGAAGGAGCTCGACGATGTGATCGCGCCGCCGGGCGGGTCGGCGGAGGGCGGCTACGGCGACAGCGATAGCAGCGGCGACGAGCTCTCCCTGGATGAAGTGGCCAGCGGCAGCGTGGGCGGCACGGGCGTCAGCTCACCCACCACCTCGCTTTCCCCCGTCACCTCAAGCGATTCGCTCTCCACCTACGCAGGCAGCCCTGCCCCTGCCCCTGCCCCGCGTCCAAGTACGCCTCAAGCCCTCAGCTCTCCTCCCAAGCCGTGTACAGCTCTGACCGCACACCGCACACCACACACACGCACAGTCGTCCCGCCTCCGCGACCCAGCTCGCTTACCTCGGGTACGCCGATACAGCCGCCCGGACGTCCCGGCTCGCCGTCGCCGTCGGCGCCCGGCGGCCCGCCCCTCCGCGCCCGTCGCCGACCCCATCCTCCACCGGCGCCGACGGCGGCCCGCCCCGCTGCCGCCCACGCCGTCCGGCGGCATCCCGCCCTTCACCGGCCCCGTGCCCGTCAGCCCGCGCGGCCCGACCGGCGGCCGCGGCGGCGGCAGCGTACGCTTGGTCCGCCCCGCCCCGTCGCGCTCGCCCTCCGTCAGCGCCACCAATCCGCCCGCCGTCCCACCACCGCTCGGCTCACGGCCGTCCACGTCGTCTTCCTAATTACCAGCGGTGGTACCCAACCACCCCTTTCGGGCTGTATTCAACTTTGTACAATCAATTGGCTTCGTCACCCCATCATCCTACGTTTATTAGAATGAGCAGCAGAGCAGGTCAGTGTGTTACAGGAAGTCCTTGGTGTAGACCGGCCGCCGCACGGCGTTGGTGAAGCCCTCGTGGAACTTGTAGAAGACCTCGGCGGGCGGCGGTGCCGACGATTCCTCCACCTTGGTCGGGGTTGCTACTTCCCCTGAAAGCCCAACGTCGGTAGATGAGCAAACGCGTGCGTGTGTGCGGTGGCGCGGGGAGTACCTTTGCGGGGGCTCTTGACGGGACTCCTGGCCGGCTCCTTTTGCGGGCTGGCAATCACCCGCCCGAAGAAGTCGCGGTGCACGGTCGCCGCACCCTCAGGCACAAGCTTCTGGGTGTTTTTCATGAGCTGCTCCTGGATCTGCCGCCGCTTGGCCTCGTCCACGACGGGCTTCTTCTCGGGCGTCGCAAATGCGTGCGCGGGGCCGTCCTTGAGCTTCTTCATCGCCACGCGCTCCGATTTCTTGATTTCCTCCACCTTGATCTGCCCAAAAATGATATACGTTGGCGGCAAAGCACAGGCAGGCGAGAATGCGAGATGAAGAGTGTTTGTCTGTGTGTATGTCATTGGCACGAACCTCGGCGGCGATCATCTCTTTTTGGGCATCGCCCAGCGCTCTGTGGCGCCCATCGTAGTCCAGCCCCTCGAAGCGCACAAGCTCGTCCAATGGCCTGCGCCCATTTACCTCCGATCAGTTAAAAACAATAAACTGCACGCACGTAGCAGAGGGGTTGAACGTACGGCTCCAAACGGAGGCGGTTGGTGCGGCCTTTGGGATCTTTCGCTGCGGTGGGCTGGTAGTCCGCGCTGGGCTTGTAGGTGAGCTTAAACGAGGACATGATGCCCACGGCGTTCTGCACGTGCATCTTCTCCTCTTCGCTGAAGAGGGCCGAGTTGAGCTGTCGGATCTTGGGCGCGATGATGTCGACCAGGTAGGGCACCAGCTCCATGACCACTGTACCGCTGTTGAGCGTTCCCCTGATCTCCGGCTGCGAGTTCGCGATAAACGTGTTTACCATATTCCTGTACAGGTGGTGTGTGCCGTGTCGTGTGTCGTGTGTGTGAGTGTGTGCGTGTGTCGTGTGAATGGAGAAAATGAGCGCTTCCACACTTGGAGGCAATGATCCCGTGTGCGGTAAGTAGAGTTAAGGAGTACGTACTTGAAGGTACCCAGCTTCTGTCTCATCGCGAAATCGCTCTGCGGGAAGGACACGAACGGGTTCGAGTTCTCGCTGCAGTGTCGGTTGATGACCATCGGAGCTGGAGAGGGCAAGCCAAAGCTCATCATCATCACCATCGGTTCCGGTGGGAGACGCAGCAAAGAGAGGAGGGGAGCGATAGTGGCGATACATACCAGCGGGCAAGTATTTGCGGAATGTGAAGTGTTGTTCCTTCTGAATCAGCACCGACATCTCGTCCGTGAACTCCAGCCAGTCGAGACAGTCGGTCGTCTGTGCTCGAGCGCAACACATGGCACGGACAGCAAACATACACCGCACACGCCGCACGCAGTGGTGGTGTGAGGCCACAGTGCGAAAAAGAGGCTGAGAAATGCTGAGGAGTCGGTGGCGCGTGCCTTGGCCAGACAGGGGTCGTTCATGGTGAACTTGAGGTAGTTCTCGAAGCAGCCATCGATGATCCGCTCCATCTCGCCGTGGTCGGCCAGCGTCTCGTACAGCGAATCGAAGCGCGACTGCTCATGCTGGCTGGCGCCGCCGCCGTAGCGGCGCGTCGGCGCGTCGGGGTCATACCCGAGGGTGTCTGTGCACCATTCCCCTTACGTAAGAGACAAGCTTGCGCATGTGTGTGTGAGGCGTGCGTGACAAGCACCGTAGTAGTCGCTCTTTTCTGCGCTCTGCCTCGTGATGAGGTCGCGCAGCGCCTTGTGCTTGGATGGTGCGGCCTTCTGGAAGATTTCCCTCCTGCAGGCAGACAGGGTCAGGGGAAAGCCAAAAGAAAAGAAAAAAGAGAAGCGCATCAGTGATGAAGTGGCGTTACCAGACGTCGTAGAGCGACTTGAGCACATCTTTGTGTCCAACAGCGGTCGAGGCCAGCATGTCCGCCGTGAGCACCTTGCCCTTTCGCTTGATGAACTACTCGAACGCCAGCTACGTAAGTGGCAGCACTGTGGGATATCACACACCTCTGTGCACCGGTGGCGCACCTGCAGCGTGTTGAGGCACGATCGGATGTCGTGATCGGCGAGGTTGCAGAGCGCCATCACGGTCTGGGTGTCGGCCCGCAAGCCCTCCTGGTGAAGCGCGCTTCGGGTGAGCAAGAGATGGCACCGGGGGGGGGTAGAGAATGAATGGAGACCTTGTTGCAAATCTCCTGCAACCGCGAAGTCAGACGTCCGAGGTCGGGTTTATCGAATCGAAACACTCTGTGGGATTGAATCGAACAGCAAACGCGAGTGAGCGCAAACGAGAAGAATCACATGGCACAGTCACACAGTGAAAGGTGGTACGTACTTGGCAATTGAGCGAAGTTCGCGCAGCGCTGGCGCGTACTGGTCATTGCAGATACAAATGATGGGCCTGCGCGTACACGCTAGAGCGTGAGCAATCAGAGCAACGGATGCTGTGGCGGGGTGGTCCAGAGTGAGTGCCTTCGCAGCTTGCCGGAGGGCGTGAGCGAGGACTTGAGGTCCGACGCCGATGGCGCCTTCTTCTTGCGCCCGAGCTTGCCCAAGTCGAGCACCGACGAGCCCTTCTTGAGCTTCGGCGACGACTCAACGGCGTCCTGCCTCCCCTTCTTCCCCTTCCCTTTGCCCTGCTCTCCGTCATCGGCTTGTCTGAGAGTAGAAGATCGGTGAGCACCGTGAGTCGCGGATGATGGTGATGAGACGGCAAACTGTGTGTGCAACCGCGTGTCTGCACACATACCCGGCCTTGGCCTTCTTCTTGTCTTTGGCGTTGATGACCTTGAGCAGTTCCTTGATGGCGCCCTTCTCACCGCCCGTGAGGCCGTCGATCTCGTCCAGAATGAGGCAGTTGGGCTTCTTTTCCGAGAACACGGCCTGCATCTGTGTGGCGCTCAGCACCTTCGACATGAAGAGGTTGGCCGTGCGGTCGTCACTGCAGGTAAGCGGTTTCCAGATTAGCAATTGGTTGGTTTTTACTTTGGGGGAGGGGGAGGGGAGGTTGCCCAACCTGGCGTTGATCTCTACGGGGTTGTAGCCTGCGGCCGTGGCGATGACGTGGGCAAGCGTGGTCTTGCCCAGGCCAGGAGGACCCGTCAGCAGGATCACCTTGGCGTAAGGCCGATTGTCGCGGTCTGCCCGGCGCACCCATAGCGATGATGTTAGCGTGCGGCTGTGTAAGGAGTGGGTGCGCGGAGAGGCTGGCTTTACCTTTGTTCAGCGCCTCGTCGAATTGCGGCTCGCTCTTCTTGGTGGGTTGAGGCGATGACGCGGCCGGTGCGCTGTTGTTTTCCGTTCCCCAGCCGCGCTGTCCAGCCCACCGGCCGCCAGCTCCTCGGTCCCCTGCTCGATACACTCTCATCAGTATGCCCTACCCATATTCGAACGTGAAGCGGTATAGGTACCGTAGCCGCCTCTTCCTCGGCTGCTTCCTCTGCCTCGCCCGGCAAAGGCGGGACTGGGCGCCTTGCGTATGCCCACGCTCTTCTTGCCAAAGACGCATTCGTCCCACTCCTTGACCCAGTGCAGGACCTCGCGGTTGGTTTTCTGTTTGGTGTGGGCCGGCCCCGGAGTGCGTCAATATACATCGCTTCAAGCGAAGTTGGATGAATTGGGCAGGGCGCACCTCATCGCTGAGCAGCTCCGTGAATACGCGGGGCGCATACTTGTCGACCCACAGCTGGGACTCAACCGCTCCGTTCTCCTCTACCTTGGTGGTGTTGGATGCAGCGTCGTCCAGGCCGTCGTCCAGCCCAGCGGCTTGTCTGGCCTCGACGAACTCGAGCTGGTGGACTCTCTCGAGCAGAACGCTGATCGGGGTGCTCAACAACTGCTCGCGCTCGGCTAGCGGGTCCTGTAACCGCCAGACCAGAAGCAAAGGTCAGACGTCCCACGACGAAATGGGGAGAGGTCCGGGTAGTGTAGCCGCACCGTGACCTCACTCACTTCCTCCTCGTGCAGCGCAACATAGACGCGCCGACCGTCGTAGGAGTTCACGGGAATGCAGGGCGTGTCGAGTGGCCTGTTGCTGTACACCTTCTTCTTCGGCGGCTCGCGGGCCTGTAATGCCGCCGTGAGACGAGATCAGCCAAGATCATGGCGGAGTGAAGGGTGAGCATCGCGCACCAGCTTGGGCCTGTTAGAAGTCACAGTGATGGTTGGTGCTGCGGTGGCAGTGGAGGAGGCGGTCTTCTCGCCTTCAACCTTCCTTCGCTTGGCTGCACAGACATGACGCACATATACGCACCACCGTAAGCACCATCATTGGTTGAGGAGCGAGGACGAGCGCACGGCGGGAGTGGGTGCACGGGTACCCTTTACGAGCATCTCCCTCTTGTGGTAGCTCTCGGCGATCTCCTTCTCCTCGGTCTCCTCGAACTTGCGCTTCGTGGTGCTCGCAAGCGAAGAGGAGAAAGAGGAAGGGGAGGGGAGGCGCGTCGCTGTCGCTCCCCTGAGCGCCGTAGGCAACTGGTAGTCAATTACAATCTCCCCCGATGGAGGGTCGGTTGGATCGAACGACAGCCTCCGCCTGCTGCCATTGTTGATCAAGGCATCTTGCTCTGATTGATGACGAATAAGAATCCGTGACATTGCAACTTTGGCAGAAGGTAGGCCTACCTTTTTCCATCATCTCAAGAGCCTCCATGTCTTCGGCGTACATCTTTTCCCAGTCTTCATCCTCCTCCATTTGGAATGTGCTTATTCAAACGATATGCGACTGGCAAGAATTCAAAGAGATCCTATCTAATTGAAGGCCTCCGTCGCGTTCTGAACAAAAAATTGTGTTGATGTCGAAGCCAAACACTCTTTCCCGCCAAATCAGTTTCCCGCCCAAAAGTGACTGAGTCGACACCAATCATTTCTTTCTCTTTTCCTCTTGCTTCTGGCTCGCCCTGACCTTGGGCCGACGCTCTTTTTCTTCTCCACCTACGGACGACATGGAGAGCCCAAGCACCACGCCAACTGCGAAGAGCAAGCAGAGTCCGGCAGCAGGCGCCGATCACGTCAGCCATCCCCACCCCGGAGTAGGCCCGGAGCCTCCGTTGGGGCAGCAGGCCTCAGGGGCGGACGTCGACTCCAGTGCCGCCGCCGCGGCCCTGCTGCCCCAGCTGACCCAGAGCCTAGTGATGCTGGCCGACAAGGTGGAGACCCTTGGGGCCACCCTGCGGGAGGTACACGCCGACATGGCGGTACTCAAGGCCCAGTACGGGGCGCTGGCCGCCGCGGCCCAGGGCTGTGCCACCTACGGCGTCCAGATGACCGTCACCTTCACACCGCAGCCTCTCCCGCAGCAGCAGCCCCACCACCCCGTCGGCGCCCCGTCCCCTTTGCCTCATGGGCACCACCGCCACCACGTCGCCCCCGCCCCGGCCACGCCCGGCCACGTCACACCGCACGTCATGTCGCCGTCGCCCGCGCCGCTAAGGAAATTTGTCGACAACGTTGCCACGGCCACGGCCAGGGCTGGTACGCCTCCGCAGCCATTCGGAGCTGCGCAGACCGGAGGCAGCGCAGCTGCGGCGGCGCCTCGAGGCCTCCACAAGGCCGAGCGCCACCACCCGCGGAAGCGGACTTCCTCCACGGGCCCGGCGGACCACAGGTTGCCCGCGAGCTACGATGGGCGGCCGGCCAAGAAGCCGCGGCGGGACAAGAACAAGATGTTCGTGTTCTTGGACCACATCAACAACAGCCGGGTGGTCGACGACGACGAAGGCGATGCCGGTGACGTTGACGACGACGAGGACAACAGGAGCGGCAGGCGAGAGGGCGAGCTCGAAATAGTGGCGGGCAGCTCGGACGAAGAAGGAGAGGCGGTGGAAGAGGCGGTGGCCGAGACCAGCTCCGAGGGCGAGGAAGAAGAGGAGGATAGAGAAGAGAATGAAAGCGACGAGGAGGACGGGGAGAACCAGGCGGCTTCTTCCTCGACCACGGCGGCGATACTGGCGGACATCGGGGAGCCACCGCACAGGGAGCCGATCACGTGGATCGGCGTCGACGTGCCAGTGGAGGGCAAGCCGCTCAACCACCGCCTCATGCCCGAGAAGATCACCAAGTCTGACCAGCTGCACGTCTTCTGGCAGCGCATGAAGCAAAACATCGTGGTCGAGGTACAGACCGGCTGCGTCTGCGTGTCGTGTGTCGTTGATCATGTCGAGCTCACCGACAGTGTGTGGTGTGGTGGTTTAGACATCGGGGAAGGGCTGCTGGCTCTGCACGTGCGTGCGACCGACCCCGAACTCGTACGTGCGCAAGTCGGTCGCGGGCAAGAAGTTCTTCGCGCACATCCTCACGTACCTGGTGTGGAACCGCACGATCGACGTCAACCTGCCCGTCGTGCAGCTCTGCGGCAACCGCGTGTGCCTCAACCCCAAGCACCTCTCGCAGGTCAAGAACGGCCCGCTCGACACCGACCAGCGGGCCGACTGTCTCGAACGCCGCTCGCTCGAGACCTGCCCGTTCTCGCCGCCCTGCATCGGTCACCACAGCTCGAGCAACTGATTCTATTCTCTCAGAAGAGAGAGATTGGCGAGAGGGGGGGGGGGGGAAATGGTGTGGGCTCCAATGGGGGGCAACAGGAAAAGACCTGTATTACTTGACCGAAACGTTGTCCACCTGCGTGTGGGTGTGTCATCATTGGCGTTGTGCGGTGCGTGCGGTGTGCGGCGAGGAGTACCCTGAGATCGTCGAGTAGCGGGAAGCGCTGCTGGACCAGCTCGCGGGCTTGTGCGGCCTTGAGGTGCCTCATGTTCTGGAGCTCCAGGACCCGCAGAGACGGGCACTCGACACCGTCCAGCGTGCACAGGCGCTCACAATGGCTAATGGCGAGGCTCCGCAGCAGCGGGCAGCCGCTCACGCGGAGGGTGTCAAGCAGCGGCGCCTCGACGTTGACGCTGCACAGCAGCGGAGCGTTGGCGACGGTGATCTCACGCAGGCCGCAGCTCCGCGGCACGCGCAGCTCGACGAGCCGTGGCTTGTCGGTGATGACAAGCCGGTGGAGCGAGTAGACGTCGAACGCGTCGACGCTCAGCCGCTCGAGGTTGGGCAGGCCGGGCAGGCGCAGCTCGCTGCCCAGATCGTAGACGAAGGCGATCGTCAGCGACCGCAGGCAGCGGCTCTCGAGCGCCTCCACCCGAAAGCCCTCGGCGTCGCGCAGGCTCAACGCCTCGAGCCGGGTGCATCGGGCCACCAGCGCGTGGAACGCCGCGAACTCGCCCCGCAGGTCCCAGTCGCTGAGATGGAGCGAGGTCAGGGCGTGGCCACCGTGGGCGAAGGCGGCGGCGAGCGGCATGTCGACGATGGCGAAGCCTCGCAGGTCGAGGTGGGTGAGCCGCGGCCACTGGCGCAGGGCGCGCTCGACGAAGGTTGCGGGCACTTCCGAGTGGCGCAGGTGGAACCGCCGCATGCGCGGCAGTCGGGCCACGAAGGCCGGGTCATGGAATGAGACGAGGTGGTCGTCACCAACGGCGTTGCTGTCGGGGTGCCAGCAGTCGAGCAGAGAACAGCGCGTCAGCGAAGGGCACTCGACCGCGAGCACGTTGAAGGTTTTCCCGATCACGCTGAGCGTGCGCAGCCGCGGGCGGCGGACGACCAGACCGATCTCCAAGTTCGCATGTCCGCCACTGATGTTCCAGGGGCCGAGCTTCAGCTTGCAGAGGCGCGACAGCGAGCCGATCACATCGCCGATGACCCGGGCAATGGCGGACGCGTCGTCATCGGACAGCGATATGGGAATCCTTGTGATGGATAGGCTCGTGAGGCCGGGGAGACGCTCGATCTCGGCCAGCGTGCGGCAGTTCAGGCCAACGGAGCTCAGGGAGAGCGCGGATAAGGATGACAGGGCTCCGGAGTGGTCCAGCGGTGAAGTCCAGCCGAGATCAAGCCGGTGTACGGGCACCGTGCGGCACAGAGCTGGCCGTGGCCTGTGAGCACTCTTCCATGTGCGCGGCGATGCGTGTGCGTGCGCGGTAGTGCGTGTGCGTGTGCGTGTGTGTTGTTTGTCATGTACCGAGTTTGTTGAGGCACTGGAACTGGGCCAACACGCCACTGAGAGAATAATCCATCAAAGTGGGACACAGTTGGAGGCGGCTGACTCGCGACGCCTTGCGTAGGACGTCCCGAGCCTGGTCCGCCCTCTGCGAGCTTGGATTCGAGCTGAACAGCTTGAGCTCCGCAGTGTCGGGCGAAAGCAGCCGTTGGTAGGGACTCTCCAGCTCGTCGACCAGTTCGTCCCCGTGCTAACAACAACACGAGTAGGTGAGTAACTTGCGCGGTTCACGAGATCCCATGTCCAATGGATGTCGTCTGCGCACCTCGCAAGGCGCAAAGGTCAGCTCGGAGGCCGGTAAGATCGCCTGAAAGAGGTCAACCGACGCGCTATTCGCCGAGCGTGCCAATCGAAGCACGTCGGGAGCCAGCTTCAAGCAGTCGATCGACTCAAGCTTGACCGTGAGCGCACGCTGGGTCCCTGCCCTTCTCCTTCTTGACAGAGAGGGACGATCGTTAGATGCTATACTGTTGGGAATGGAACGCGAAGAATACCTGATGAACTGGGCCAGACCGGCCGCGGTAACGCGGGTACGCTGCAGGTCGAGCAACTCCAGCTCGGCAAGGCCGCGAGATGTGCTATCGTCGCCTGGAAGCACTACAGAGGCGAGGAATTTGTCGTTGATGGCGCAGTTGTTGCTTACGTCCAAGCTCTGCCAGCCGCCACCCAAGGCCCGCCTGGGGTGAGCTCAGGTACATCAAAAGGGACGTGTGAGCGTGTGAGCGTGTATAGCTGTACTGACCCGAAGCTGTGGACAAGCGTGCGAGATTACGCCGCCGCTTTCCCCGTCGATGTGCGGGCAGCCGCTCACACTCAACACCCTGAGTTGAAGGTCAGCATAAATTTACGAAAGAGAAAGCGAAAGAGACTGGTGGCACACCACAACCGAGGGAATCGGCTCAGGTGGACCAGGGCGTCGTTGGTGATGGCGACGCATTGCGATAGATTGAGCTCTTCAAGGTGCATCGCTGCATTGCTGGCACCCAGCTGTTCCACGAATGCATCGTTGGCCCTGAATACATGCCAGACGATCATCAACCAAGGCACCTGACAACAAGGTGCGAGGGTCACGTACCTGGACGCCGGAACGTAGAGAGCTGGCGCAGGGACTCCCATCGACTTGCTGTCTTGATCAGCGATTCAAGCGAGAGATAGGTGGCATCACTGCAGACTCGTCGTCAGAGGCAGCCCCCAAGCTTAAATGCAGCTCGGAATTGTGGGTACTTGTGTGGTGTACCTGAGGTCAAGGGAGCTGAGGCCGACCAGGCACGAAGCGATGAAGGCGAGCGTCCAGTCGTGCAGCAGCTGGCGGTGCGTGATCAGCCCCACGAATCGCTGGGCGATATCCTGGGCCACCACCCTGCAAGGCCACTCCAGCGCTACGGTCAAATCAAAGAGGTGTGGGCGACACAACCTACCACAACGTTGGTTCTTGGGCTTGCAAGGCTGAGTTCGAAGTCCAGAAGGGTTCTCCAGCGTCAATCAAACTGAGGGCGGAAAGATCGAACAGCGACGCCACCTCCCCCTCCCAGAACACACAACATCAGAAAGAAAAAACTACGTGGACTACTGTGCTACTCACCCTTGCAGACACCTGCAACCACAACGGCGAGCCGCCTTCCGTCTCCATCGTCAAGTGCGTATTTTTTTTTTATTTTGGGACGCTGAGATTTTCCTTTCGATTTCTTTCTCTTCCAATCAAAGCAGGCGTGCAATGAAGTGGGCGTACGTTGTGGCGGCGCTGGTCTTCGGATTGGCCGCTGCCGGAGTGACCGTCGTGGTGCCCTTCGTCACCACCTCCTTCAACGTCGGTCAGTAAACCAGATCAAGTGCGCCACAAAAATTATATGTTTATTAATTTTATTACTCTAAAAATTGCAGCTGCTGGGTACTCGGCCAAGCTCACCTGCTCCGCCGTGTTTGTTGCCGGCCGTGACCCCGCCCACGTCTACAACCACGTTTGTACCACCCTTTATTATTCTTAATTTTATTTATTTATTTGGCATTTATTGGGAAACGGGCACGCAGGAGCTATCGGGCACGATCGGCAAGGTGACCGATGTGGCAGTGGTGAACCGCGAGGAGCGCTATGTGACCACCACGGCCAGCCTGTTCGGCTTCTTCCCCGTCCAACGTCGTGCGCACTACCGCGGGCCGGTACCTTATGTGGCATGATGGCAGCAATCACCACCACAGCTGCCAACTGACAATGGCCGTGTTCGTCTACTAGAATCGGGGGTGTGCGCTCGAGTCTCGTGGAGTAGTTCCGCTGGCATCGGACGACGTATCGCTTCCCCCGGCTCCCACCAACGCTTGGCCTGCCCGTTTGGCCCACGGCGACGGCGAAGAAGTTGATCGCGAGCTCCTCAACAGCGTAATCGAAGAGCAGTTAGACCCGGCCAAGCATCGAGTGCGTGTCCACTTTCTGTGCCGCATTTTTTTTATTATTTTCAATCTTCACCAAAGCTGATCTCATGTGTGCCATGTGCGGTGGTACCTGCGTGTGCGTGTGCGTGTGCGGCCAGGATGTCGACACGCGTGCGATCATCGTGGTGCGAAACGGTCGCATTGTCGCAGAGCGCTACGGACCGGACTTCCAACCACACACGCGCTTGGCGTCGTGGTCCAACGCCAAGAGCGTGATCAGCACTCTGATCGGCATACGGATCGCCCAGGGCCACCTCCGCCTCGACCAGACGCGGCTCTTCCCCGAGTGGAGCAATGCCGCCGATCCGCGCAGCAACATCACCCTCGCCAACCTGCTACACATGAGCAGCGGGCTCGAGTTCGACGAGAAATATGACCGGCACTCGGACGCGCGGGACATGCTCTTCCTTCGCCCCTCGATGTCGGATTTTGCCGTCAACAAGCCTCTCATCCACGCACCCGGCACCAAGTGGTATCGATCGTGTTTGTGCGCGTGTCGTGCGTGTCGTGCGGTGTCGTGTGCGGTGTGTGCGTGTCCAGAGCACTCATAGAAACATCGTGTAGGGCGTATTCGAGTGGAACGAGTAACTTGCTCGCTCGACTTCTCCGCTCGACCTTCGCCACGGACGAGGAGTACTGGGCCTTCCCGCGCCAGGCTCTCTACGAGCCGCTCGGCATGGACAGCGCCCTCATGGAGACCGACGCTGCCGGTACGCCGACGCGACATAACACGACGCCACACATAACACGCCACACAGCGCGATTCATATGACTCGCAATACTAACTTTTAGGCTTTGGGTCCCAGGCACGTTCGTGGGTTCGTCGTACATGTACGCCACGGCTCGCGATTGGGCCAAGTTCGGCCAACTGTTCCTCAACGAGGGCCAATGGCCCACCGACGGCGATGCCGCCGAGGAGCACCAGCAGGTGCTGACCCCGGGCTGGGTGCGCTACGTGCAAACGCCGGCGCCGGCGAGCAAGCACCGCTATAGCGCCCAGTGGTGGCTCAACGGCGCCGCCACAGAGGGCAAGGGCGACGACGTCTTCGACGCCGCCAGCGCCGACCTCTTCTGGCAGCGCGAGCTGCCCACAGTACGCCCATCATTGTCTCCGTTTGCCCACACCGATCACTCGCTCACCACCGACATACATCCACAGGACGCCTACTGGGCGCATGGCTTTGAGCATCAGTTCGTGATGGTGGTGCCCTCGCGCAAGGCCGTCATTGTGCGACTGGGCCGTACGCCCGACGTCACCAAGTGGGACCTCGCCCGCTTCTTCCGCGTCGTCTTCCAGGCTCTTCCTCCCTCCTCGTAGTGGTCTCGCCCTTTATTGTGAATAGTTATTTATTTATTTATTTTGTTCTATTTGTGCAAATAAATATACTATTTTGTGGATTTAGGAGGAAAAATTGGCTATTTAATATAATGTCTCTCATTTCCATTCGGCGCTCCAGCCCTTGTTGAGGATCGGGAAGAGGGCCTCGACGATGGCCTTGGGGCCGCACAGCATCGACCTGGCGGTGAGGTTCAGCTGGTCGGTGACGGCCGACGTGGCGGTGGGCGAGATGCACACGCCGCCGGCCTCCTCGATGATGATCGACGCCGCCGACACGTCCCACGCGTGCACGCCCCACTCGAAGTAGCAGTCCAGACGGCCCATCGCCACGTCGCACATCAGGGTGGCCGCTGCAATGCACAACCGAAGAAGAAGAAGACGAAGACGACTGAGCTCAAGGCAAGACCCCGCAAACTCGCATGGCGTAGAGGGCGCCGTACCAGAGCCGGTCATGCGAAGACCGCGCACGTTGTGCTCGAGGAGGACGCGCACGTTGCCCAGCATGAAGTCGGTCACCTCGCGCGAGCGGCCGTAGCCGATGTTGGTGGACACCACCGCCTGGCCGATCTCGGGGGCGCTGGAGACGCTAATGGGCTTGCCGTTCAGGAACGCACCACCGCCACGGATCGCTTTCATAGGGACAATGCGTGAGGCACATCACACACACACACACACACACACACACACACACACACACACACACACACACACACACACACACACACACACAACCACACACACGAGTGAGAGAGCATATGTTCACCTGTGTACTTCTCCTCGAGCACGGGGTTGTAGACGACGCCGACGACGGTCTGCTTGTTGATCGCCAAACCAATGCACACGGCCACGAACGGATACCTGCACCACCCGGCCAAGGGGCTAAGGGTCAGCACAACACACAGAAAGAGAAGAGGGAGATAACGGGCGTATACGTGTGCACGAAGTTGGTGGTGCCGTCGATGGGGTCGATGATCCACGTGGGCTCGTCCGACAGGCGCTCCTCGCCGGCCGAGCCGCCACTCTCCTCGCCCAGGAAGCAGTGCTCCGGGAAGGCCTCCTTCAGCATTCCGATGATCGTCTGCACACACACGGCACGCACGCAAGATGCTGCTGATGAGTGTCGTGCGCGTGTCGTGTCGTGTCATGTCGTGGAGCGTGTCTGTCGTGTGTGCTGTGTGCTGTGCCGTATGGGTGCAGCGGGGTACCTTCTCGGCAGCGACGTCGACTTCGGTGACGAGGTCAACCGCGCTCTTTTCCTGCACCAGCTTGTCTTGCTGCACAACACCAAAAACGTGTGGGTCTACACCGTGGAGCCACAACCTCATCTCATCTTCATCAGATCGTCTCCGGAGGGGGGCCATACCGCGCTATGGAATCGCTCCTTCACGAGCAGACCTGCGGCGTCGGCCGCCTTGAGAGCAACTGGCGGGCGAGGAGAATGAAGAGAAGATTAATCAGGTTAAGGGGTTGTTTTTGTGGGTGACCTCTTCAATGTGAATGTGGAGCTTTTGTTTTGAGTGGAGTTACCTTCAAGGTAGCGCTGGAGGTCGGCTGTGCTGTGGGAGGTCATTGTTGGTGGTCGAGATAAGAATATTAAAACAAAACGATTTAAATGTCATAATGCCTTCTGCCGCGTCACGTCCGGCCCACGGATTTAGTGCAGACATAGCCCACGTCGTCCCCGCAGGCCCGTGCCCCAGGCTCACGCCTTGGCGGTGTTATGCTGAGGGCGAAGAGTGCCGGCCAACTGAGGGAGAATGAGCAGTGCTGGTGTCCACTGCCAGGCTGGCGCGGAGTGAGGCCAGTGATCACCAACCGGAAGCGAGTAGTGATCAAGCTTGCAACGCACGTGCAGCTGGGAACGGGCCTGGAACGTCCCATCGAGATTGCAGGAGAGAGGTCCACTTTAGCGCCGTTTATGGCAAACGCCCTACAGGGGCTGATCGCGGCACTGTGGGTGGTGCGCCCAACATACGCTGGCAGTTGAAGCAGCCAAGGCCCAAGCTCTGCCCGTCCCCTGCACCCAGGGAGCTGCGCTATCGACCTCCCGTTGACCTTGCGCACAGCTCAACCGCGCGACATATGACCATATTACGACTCTGAACGATCCAGGGGATCAAGAGAAAATGCAGTGTTTTTGGGGAGAACACTGCGTCAAATGCCCACACTGGGTCCGTGCGGGCTGGGGATACCCCCGCGGTCGAGGAAAGGCAAGCACCCCTGCAGAAAGGAGAGCTTAGCTCATGGAGCGACTTCGTTGCTATGCCAACTTTTTTTAATGCCGACATTTACGAGAACCTAATAATCGACCAAGCGCCAGCGATCACCAAAGAGAAGACGAAGACAGACAACAAGCGGGCGCAACGCCCACCAACCGCACAGCAAGCGAACCAAACAACGCGGGCGAAGGAGCCGCAGGTGACGGACGTCTTCTTCTTGAGCTTGCTCCCGAGAAGCGAGTTGGGATGGGCAGCGCTGGCCCATCGACCGACCTACGACTCTTCGTCATCTTGGTCGGCCTCTCGCTCCTCGTGTTCGTGATGGCGCCGCCCATCTTCAGCCTGTTCGGTAACCTTTTCCTTCTTCATCTTTCTTCTTCTCGGTTTCTCATCCCAGAACGCGGAGAGTTCGGAATAACTTTTTACGATTGAAGCGTGACTCAACAAATCTTTTCGGATGATGATCTGTTTCGCTGCCATTTGAAGATGGAACCGAAGAAGCCATTTGAAGATGGATAGATCGAAAGAAACTAATGCGATCTATGGTGGATGGAGCAGGCAACGAACGGTTCCTAGACGAAGCCCTCGTCCCAGGGCTTCGATGGCGTGCCGAGCTGCGTACCGAGCCCGAGGGTGCCTACGATGACACCTACAACAACAGCGACGACGTCGACAAGGACCAGTCTGCCGGCTACTCCCCGGACGATGACGAGCCCGCTGCTTTCAATGGCGAGGTAGGGACCCGCAAGCGACGACCGCCCACGGCCTCGCGGGCGCCCATGGCCTGGGAGCAGCTGCTCCTGGGCGAGGCCAGCGCCACCAGCCGCCGGGCGCTGAGCCACTTCCAGTTCCAGTTCCACCAGCCCGTGCCCGATGACGTCCGCCACGCCTTCCAGTTTGCGGTACACACAAACTCAGCTTATCGCATGTGTGCGGTGGCGTGTGCGGTGGCGTGTGTGCGGTGCATGTTGATTGAGACCGTCTCTTGCGTGTGCGTGAAAAGGGCCAAGTGGTGTCGGCCCACTTTGAGGAGATGCAGGTGCCGGTGCGCGTGGCGGTGGACTGGGTCCCGCTCGAGCGCGAGGTGCTGGCGCACGCCGGGCCGACCGCCTTCTACAAGGTGGCCTCCCCCTCCGGCCAACAGCACGAGGCCATGGTCTGGCTGCCCAAGGCCCTCATGAACCAGCGCGTCCGCTACCCACCACCGTACTGCCTCCTCCACCCTCTCTCTCAGCTGACAATCCTGCGCTCACCACCCAACACACGACACACACGACAGGGACTACAAGCAGCCGGACATGGTCCTCACGGTCAACTCGCTCGGGGCGTGGCACTCGGGGCTGAAGGGCAACGTGCCGCACGGGCACTACGACCTGGTGACGGTGGTGATCCACGAGCTGCAGCACGGCCTGGGCTTCCTGTCGATGGTCGGGCAGGGCAACAGCCTCAACGGGATCGAGAGCTTCAGCAAGGGCGTGCAGGGCGAGGCCTACATCTTCGACCGCTTCGTGCACGTGGTGGGCCAGGGCCACATCTTCTCGGCGCCGTCCGTGGCCCAGAATCGCGGCCTCATCAACACCACCATCAGCCTTGTCTGGGAGTCGCCCTCCTTCACCGAGGAGAACAAGCCCAAGCTGTACGTCGGCTTACAAGTTGAGTCTCGTTGTCCATTGCCTGCCGCTCACACGACACGACGCACACGACACACGACACACGCAGATATGTGCCGACGACGTTTGAAGGCAGCAGCAGCATTTCGCACCTGGACGAGGCGGCGTACCCGCCCGGCGCGCCGTCGTCCCTCATGACGCCGGTACTGGCCAAGCAGGAGGTCATCCACAATGTACGTGCTCCAACGGCGTACAGTGAGTGCCACACAGTGCCCGGAGACTGACTCGCACACGCACGTGCAACGAAACAGCTCGGAGGGCTGTTGATCAAGATGTACGAGGACATGGGGTGGCACATGCGCGACTGCACGCGCTACCGATCGTGTGGCTCCTGCGTGTCCAATCTTTGCCGATGGTGCTACGACCCAATCACGTCAGGTTCGGCAACCCTCCACACACACACCACACACTCAACACACGAGGTACACACACGCTGGTCTAAAGCGATTCCCTTTCATGTGCAATAGAGGGCGAGTGTGGGGATCCGGGCGCGTATCCATTCTTCAACGCCGAATGTCTCCGACCCAATTCGACCGACGTCCTCGACGACGACTATTGCAGGTTGGACGACGAGGCCGATACCGAGCAATGGCGAGAGTCGCCAGCAGCCGCAGCCGCCCAAGCCGCCGCGGCCGTGCCCCCTTCGATCGGGGAGAAGAGACCCAACGCCGGCGCCAGCGAGGGGGAGGAGGGGGTGGAGGGACGCACGGCCGGTGGGCCGCAGCATCGCACGCAAGACGACCAAGTGCTGGTGGACCAAGCGGCGAGGGCAGCGGGACAGGCGGCGGGCGAGTCGTCCCTCGACGTCGTGGTGGTGGCCAAGGCGACCAACGAGTGCTGGGACGTGCTGGACTGCGTCTTCGTGCGCCAGCACTCGGCGACCACGCTAAAGGCGATCGGGCTGGCCCTCTTCCTCATGATCGCAGTAGTTTTGACCATTTATTTGTAACCTCAACCCGTTTTTTTCAGCTGTAACGTACAATCCTAACATTAAAAACAAAAAACGGATAACATAAAAGTAAACTGTTGTCATCAACATCTGTGCTACCCACATCTTGCATGTTGCCGAGAGCTCGAAAATGTTGTGCAGTGTTGAGCTCCTAGGCGTACTCGGTCATGTTCTCCATTTCGGCGTGGCTCATGCCGAGTCTGCTGGGCGCCGTGGTGGTCTTGGCGGGCGGGGTGGTCGGGGAGGGCGGGTCCACGAGGTAATGCCCGCTGTCCTCCATCTGGCTCTGAAATTCCAGGCTGACGCCCGACGCGTACTCGCCCGGCTTGGGGGCGGCGTTCTCGGCCGGTTTCTTCTTCTTCTTGGGCTTGTCCTTCTTCGTCTTGTCCTTCCCCATCTCGCTGCTGTCGTCGCCGTTCGTCTTCGTCTTCTTCTTTTTCTTGGTCTTCGTCTTGGCCTCGTCTTCGCCTCCGTCCTTCTCCTTCTTCTTTTTCTTCGGCTTCTTGGGCTTGTCCTGCTTCGCCTTCACCTCCGCCTCTCCGTTGCCCGCAGACTTGTTGTACTCCGACCTGTGGAGGGGGGGATTGGTGAGAATGAAAAAAACGAAAGCGAAACGCAAAGAACGAAAAAGAACGAAAAGCGAGCAAGGAGGCGAGACGTACGCGTATTCGCCGGTCTCGGTGTCGTCGTATTGGTCTTCGTTCTCGACGACGAACATGTCGCGCGTGGTGTGGTCCAGCTTGTCATCCACGCTCTGCTGCTCTCGCGACGCCCGCAGCTCCTGCAGCTCGGCCTCGCTGATCTTGCCGTTGGGGTAGAGCTCCTCGAGCTTCTTGAAGATCTCGTTGAACGTGGGCCGCGCCTCCGGGTCGAACGTGAGGCACTTGCAGATGATCTCGTCGTACAGCCGCTTCGGGCAGAACTCGGGCCGCGACAGCCGGTACCCGCTGTCCAGGGCCTTGACCACCTGGAGGGGCGACATGCCCGTGTAGGGCGTCTGGCCGAACGAGAAGATCTCCCACAGCGTGACGGCGAAGCTCCACACGTCGCTCTTCGTGGTGTACTTACGGTACTTGAAGGCCTCGGGCGCGGTCCACCGCACGGGCACGTTCTTCATTTGCGAGTTGTACTCGTTCTCGATCAGCCCGCGCGAGAGACCGAAATCGCACACCTGCCCAACGCGCAGCGCCGTATGAGTACTTGAAGGTGCGTGCGTGCGTGCGTGCGTGCGTGCGTGCTACCTTGACGTGGTGCTCGCCATTTCGCTTGATCTCCAGCAACAAGTTGCGTGCCGCCAAATCCTGGACGCCCAAGAGTGTTTAGCCTCGTCTGCGTATGGGCAGTCTCTCCACAACCGCGGTGCGTACCCTGTGGACGATGCCGTGCGTCGACAGATGGTCGCACCCAGCGGCCATGTCTCTCGTCATCTGAATCAACGTCTCCGTTCCTATCTTGCCACTGCACAGCGCACAAAACACATTATAATTATTATTATTATTATTATTATTATATTACATATTATTATTACACGAAATTGTAATTTTGAAGACATATAGAAGCGTCGAGGCGTACATGTTCTCGGTGAGGAAGCGATCCAGCGAGCCATCGGCAACGAACTCGGTGACCAGGAACAGCTCGTTCTTTTCCTGTGGGAAGGAAAGAAGCGAATACGAACGGTAAAAATGCGTGCGTGAACAACTTCGCTGTTGGTCGACTTGCAAAGAGGACACGCACATCGCACGAGGAAAGACCGAAGAATGTCACGACGTTGGGGTGCGCCGGCAGCTGCCTGCATTTGACACCAGTGTGAGACGCATGGTGGGTGGGTGATGAGTGGTGGGTGGGTGGGTGGGGCGGTGAAGGAGGAAAGCGATACGCCATGATGTGGGCCTCGAGGAGAAACGCGGATTTGTCCTCTGACCGAATGGTCTTGATCGCCACGGTGGTCGTTCCGCGCAGCTTGCCCTGCCACACGTCGCCGAAGTTGCCCTCGCCCAGCTTCTTGTGGAAGACCAGGTCCTGGCTCTCGATCGTGGCCTTGATGCTGCCGGACTCACCCACTGGTCGCATCAAATATAAACCGACGTCGGCCACGATATATCTACATGTCCTGTGAACAGAAATATGTACCCTTGAATTTGTTCTTGGCCGTCTGCAGGTAGTTGGCGATGGCGACGCGGGGACCCACGTCGAGGCCCAGTTCGTCCAGGTCACCCTGCATATACCAATATACCAACCACACTTGACACTTAGACCCCCCGGGGTGCGATACGACACGCGAGCTAAACGCCGCCGATGAGCTGGTCCCTACGTGCCTTTTTGAATTGGAGGAGCACGGTCCACGTGATGCCGGCCTTGATGAAGACGGGAGCCGCCTCGAGCAGGCCGAGCTCCTTGAGCATGGCCTCCAGGTCCGGGTCGAGCTTGCCTGCGTTCGCCCCCAGATCGGTCAGCACGCGTACTCCCTCATCGCATTCTTGCATCACTCTGTAGGAGGAAGAGGAATGAATGAATGAATGAATGGGGAATGGGGTACCCTTGATGGCCTTCTTCTTGCTGGACTTCTTCTTGCTCTTCTTAGAGTCCTCTTCCTCCTCCTCCTCTTCACCCTCGTCTTCGCTGTCCTCCGAGCTGCTATTGAACCCCGAGTAATTGCCTGCCGCCCACCAATCAATCAGTCAATCATCGATCACTGCGTGCGTGCGTGCGTGCAATACCTTTGCCGGCCTTGCGCGAAGAGGCCTTGGAGCTCAGCTTGGACTTGGTGCTCGACTTGGAGCTCTTCAGGTCGGACGAGCCGCTCGACTTTTTCGACTTCTTGGTCTTCTTCTCATCAGTCGCAGGGGACGGAAGCTGGCCAGTGAGCACAATCGTGTGCTCGAAGCCGGCGGCAATCGCGCACGCCTTGTCGAACACGCCCTGCACCGTTCGAGGCACGTCCTGGTTCTTGGTGTCTCCGTGCCCCAATCGACCTGGCCCCGGGTTGGCGTTAGCGCACACCGCACACGCACACGCACAGAGGGGCGAGTGTGTGTGTGTGTGTGTACCATTGGAGCCGCTGCCGAAAGTGAGCACGCTGCCGTCTGAAGCCAGCACGACCGAGTGCTTCTCGCCGGCGGCCACCTGGGTGATGACGTAGTTGTTCAGGGAGGTGATGGGCATCGGATTGGCCGTCTCCTTCTTCACCGTCTTGCCCTGACCTATATTTAAGAATAATAATAAATAAAAACGTCAGCCGTGTGCTGGGGTGCAATAGGCCTCGAAGAGGGAATGTAAGGTCTTACCGAGGCAGCCGTCCTTGTTCTTGCCCATGGAGTAGACCTTGCCGTCGATCGTCAGAAGCAACGTATGCTGCTTGCCGGCGGCCACTGGACGAACCACCAACGTTCAGATCGGTGTCAGACCAAGACCGAGAAGGCGGCAGTAGAAGTAACGTCGGCACTACTTCGAGAGGAGGGGGGCACAGCGCATACCCTGCATGATCTTGGCTTTGTTCTTGAGCAGGCCGACCTCCTGCGGCTGCTTAACGTGATCGGGCTGCGCGGCTGCCGGGAGAACGGTGGATGTGGGAAACGTTGAGAAGAAATGCCCACAAGGGGCGGCGGTCGTGTGTGTACATGTGGGGGGGGGTGAGAAAGCGCGTACCGTGTCCCAGCCAAGGACCCTGGCGGCCCCACGAATGCACGACGCCGTCGGCGTTGATAGCAAAGGTCTGATCGAACCCCACGCCGATCGACGTTATCGTTTGCTGCGCCCGAACGAGAGCCTCGACTCGCTTCGGTCGGTCGAGGTCCTTGCGGGTGCCGTGGCCCAGCTGACCATAGATGCCCTGGCCAAACGTGTAGACGTGGCCTCCGTCTGTGGTGAGAAGTGAAGTGAAGTGAAAACTGAGTGCATAGCCCTACAACGGTGCGTGCGCGGGCAAAAGAGAGCCAAGAGAGCCGAACCGGTGAGAAGGACCGAGTGCTGGTCTCCGACGCCAATCTGAGTGACCTTGCCCTGGACCTCAAGCTGCTTCGGGTGCTGCTCGTTGGCCGCGCCGCCGTGGCCCAGCTTGCCCCACTCGCCCTGCCCGAAGCTGTACGCCGTTCCGTCCTCTACGGCCGTAGTCGTAGGAGCCATTAGCATTCGCTGCTGGACAGGGTCAATGTAGAGCGAAATGGGGGAAGGCCAAACCAGCAAGGAGCAGCATGTGGGCTCGTCCGGCGGCGATTTGGAGTACGCGGTGGGCCAGCTTGAACCCGATGGAGATGGCGGGGAGGGGCGAAGGCTCCAGGAACTTGGCCTTGCCGTCGTACTTGGACGGCATCGTACCCCAGAAGTAGGGCGTGCCTTCACCTGCCAATACCCCACAATAAATAAGTATTAATATTATTAAATGCATGATTATTATTCCTGTGCGGCCAGGACAGAAAGCAACAATTCAAGAAGGAATGCACATAATTGAATTGTTGAAAAAAAAAATCGAGGGGTGATTTGTACTATTCACTGCGACGGAGCAGTTCCATCCGGCGTGAAGGGAGATTAGATCAGACGGCGCGTTGACGGATCGTGGATTCTTGTTATCGTAGCATTCGTACCCCAACTGCCCGTTGAAGTTGAGGCCAAAGCTCACCACCTTCGTCGTGGCCTTCATCTTCTCAATCGAGGAAGCGCAAGCGAGAGACCTTCCAAGGCCCGGCAGTGGAGCTTGCTCTTTGAGTTTGTCTTCCACACAACCGCGGTTGTTCCGCACAAGCTACGCTAAGCAACGGTAGCGTCGACAGCCGATGTGCCTCGTGTTCTTTTATGGTGCTCGGCTGTGTGTCGCGTCATGTCGTGTCGTGTCGCGTCGGGCTGTATGCGGCCAGCGAAGTGTTTAGTGAGCGGGGGGCAGGATGGAGCGAATCACCTCGGGCTCGTCCTCCTCGAACATGAGCTCGCGGGGGATGGCATAGGGCTGTAGCCGGATCAGGATGTCGCCGGTGGGCGTGGCGGTGCCAAACGTGGCCGGGTACTGAGGCAGCGGCAGCTTGTTGTCCTGCGCACATCGCCGACAAGAAGACGGTGATGAGGGTTCGTGTTGAACGAAGCAAGAGCTTGGCAAGAGAGATTTGGGTGCTTACCTTGAGCTCGACAGAGCGCGTCCGTACGAGGACGGAGAAGAAGGAGGTGAGGACCGTCATGGCGTACTTCTCCGCAGGGCACTTGTGCATTCCGTAACCGAACTGCACATAGGCCATGCCGTAGAAGGACGACGGGTTGAACGCCGTCTTGGTCTCGGGCGCTTGCCTTGTGATCAAGGTGCGAAAAGACATGAGAAAGGTGGCACGCAAGCGCGCACACGCAGATCGAGAAGCGGTACTTTTTCTTGGGCGGAGCGAAGCGCTTCGGGAAGAAGATGCCCGCGTCGGGGAAGATGTCCGAGTCCAGGTGCCCGAGAATGGGCGAAACGCACAGCAGCGAGCCCTCGGGAATAGTGAAGCCCTCGAACTGCAGATCAAGCGCGCGGGAGGTCAGACATCAATCCGCCTTCTTCCTTAGCGAGCCAGCAGCCATTAGGTTGAGCGTACCTTGAACGACTTAATGGCCTTTCGAGGAGGCAGAGTGGTGGTAAAGTACAGCCGCGTGACCTGTTTTTGCCCATAGAGGAAGCGATGGTTAAGGGGGTGAAGATGGAAGGTTGAAAGATTATAGACAAGCGCAGAGGAAGTCGAAGCCAAGAACCTCCTGAATGCACTGCTCAAGCTCACGGAAAGACGAGAACTGGCTGTAGGCAAGCTCCTCGGATTCCCCCATGGCCCGTCTCTGCTCGCGTCTGACGCGGTGGCTGTGTGGCGGACGAATGTAAGTCGAAGGAGGTCTTCAGCTAAACACAAGCCCAAAGGGAGAGAGGTCGTACAGATCCTGCGCGTGGCCTCGTTGGGACATGTGCGCGATGAGCCAGGTGAGGTGACCAGTGGTGTTGGCCTGGCCGTAGTAGAACATCTGGAGCACGGTGTCGACACTCTGCTCGATGGGCAGCCATGAGCCGTCCTCCTGCTTCACCTGAGCCAGCAGGTGCAGGAGGTGCCCTTCGTCGTCGGAGCTCTTGCTTTGGCGCAGGCGAGCGAGCTCCTGCTCGATCAGGCTGGCCAGCGTGCGCCGGGCTTCGAGAGCGCGCTTGACCGGCGGGATGAACGGCAGGTCGGGCAGAATGCGCGCCAGCAGGTGGGCCGATTCCTTCTCGAGTGCGAGGAAGCTCTCGGCGAACGCTCGCCCGTGCGCGGCATAGAAGGCGTCGCCGAGCAGCAGGCGCGTGTTGATCTCCATCACCAGCCCCTGGACGGCCGCGGCGAGCTCGATGTAGCCATCGCGTCCGGCTTGCTTGGTCCACTCGTCGAGCGTGCGCTGGGCGATGTCAGCGCAGCGCTGGCTGTACTGCTCCATGCGCTCGGTGCGGAAGACGGTGGCGACCGCCTCCTGCATCTTCTGCAGGTTGGCCTTGGGAATCTGAGTCGATGGGTTGGCGTGGAAGTACGCCAGCCGTCGCAGACGCTCAACTCCTGTTGTGTACCAGACATAGGGTAAGAGGGCCATTCATCATGGTGCGCTGGGTTGTGCGCAGTGCCTTGATGGTGAGAAATCTCCCCAGTCTCTTCAGCGTTGTAGAAGTACTTGTCCAGCGTGCTGTGCAAGCTTCCGCCTCCGTCCTGTTGAGCGACGTTAGTCTCCATTGCTCGCCACAGCTGCGGCGAGCACAGTTGCGCGTACCAAAGACGAGCGCAGCAGGAAGACGGCGTCGAAGAACAATAGATTGAGACGGAAGACGTTGCCGTACTGGATCACCACACGCACATGGGGTTGTGGTGCCGTTCAGATGTCATCTTGCAGAGGCGCCGCGTACCATGAGATGAGCCCACTCCAGCGTCTTGACGGGACTACCAAAGTAGGCTAACGCTGCACCGAGCAGCGGTACCCCCTTCTCAACACGCGGCGGTCCGCCATGTCCGGTAGGCTTAATCTGCAGCGCAGATCACCCGAGATTCGATTAATCTCAACTTATCTATAAAATGACCAGTGTCTGAGTCGCGTACGCGTAGATAGATCAAGTAGAGGACGGCAGCCACCAGGGCGAGCGGAAACAAGGCCCACAAAAGGAGTCCCATGTGGCTTGACGTCTGCACAATCAATCAAAACGATATTGTGAAGCAGGAAAATCGTTTTCTTTTCTGGTTCTACTGCAGAAGATGGGTGACAGATCGCTGGTGGCCACGATCGACGATTTCGTGAACCCTGAAAAGGGTGAGGAGGCTCGCACGGATGCCCTCAACACTCTGCTCATCCGTACTTTTCCCTCCACTTCAAGGCCTTTCCATTTAATCGATCTGCGGAGGCTGCTTCCTCTAATTCTCATCCCGGCCGGGTGTGGATCTTTTTGCACAAGGTGTGCACTCGGGTGGCGTAGCACTGCACCAGCTCGTGGAGAACATGGCGGACTACTTGCCCTCCAAGGACGAGGTCATCCGCGGCCGAGGTACTACCCCACGGCACCACGCCACGACACACGGGCACGTGCGGGGTCTCCCGACTAACGTTCGCACCACAGCTACGCTTCTGCTGTCCGAGATCATTGCGCGTCTGCCCGAACTCAAGCTGGACGAGGGGTCGCTGCACTTCCTCTCCGCCTTCTACGCTGACCGTCTGCAGGACTTTCCCTCCATTTCCGAGGTGCTCAAGGGCATTCTGGCGCTCTTGACCAACCACACGACCACCGACGAGGATGTGGTCGCCATCATTCGAAGGCACAATCTCCATCACCCAACCCTCAGAGAGTGCCTGATCTGCTTACGTCTCTTCTGTGCTTCCCACTTTTCTTGCCCTCTTCAGCATCACCGCCGAAGTGGTGGACCAGGGCTACATGGTGTCTCTGTCGCAGGCTGCGCGAATGAATCTGCTTCAGATCTATTCGATCGTCTTGGACAAGTTCGAGGATGGTGAGTACAACTTGAACCCTGCGCTCTGTGTGATGATGGCGGACCACGGAATAACACCTGATCACACGCAGCCGCCAAGTCGCTCAAGGCCGATTTCGTCTTTTCCTTCGTACGCGTGCTCGATGGCGAGCGTGACCCTCGCAATTTGGTCATCGGCTTCCAGACATTCGTCAAGGTCGTTCACAGCATCCCCGAGTTCGTCCGCTTCAGCGAGGTACAGCCCACTGCCGCCGTCACGGCCCTACTACTCTAGCGTGGCGTGAACTCACGCGCTGTCTTCGCGTGGAACAGGAACTGTTCGAGGTGGTGTCTGTCTACTTCCCAGTGACGTTCACACCCAAGCCCAATGACCCCTACGGCATCACGAAAGAGGCACTGGTCCAGAGTCTTCGGTAGGGGTTTCCCACTCGTTGTACGCGTCTTTGTTTAATCGCTTTGCTCACATTGCGTGTACGCGTACTCCACGCTAGCGCGTGCTTTGCCGCGTCATCGGAGCTCGCCCAGCACGTCATTCCTTTTTTGTTGGACAAGGAGTCTTCCACCATCAGTGAGACTAAGGTGCGTACACCGCCACTGCGCGCTGCTTCGCACCGGTCACTCATAGATGAACACCCTTCACCTCAGTTGGACGCCCTGGAGACGCTTTCGCTTTGCGCCCAGAGCTACGGATCCCTCACGATCTCCCGATATGTCGAAGACATTTGGCCTGCCCTGCGCACTGAGGTACTTTCAACCTCAATTGCCCTCGTGTGTGTGTTGTGCATACGAAGCGAAACTCACCGGGTTGGCTCACCTTTTCTTCCCAGGTGCTCACGTCAAAGGAAGCACGCGTTGTGGACCAGGCGCTGAAGACAGTGTCCGACCTTACCAAAGTCCTGGCGAGCGATGTCGTTACAATCACTTCCGGCGCGCGTGTTTCGTCCAACCTGCGAGTACTGGCTCTGCCCCCTCCCCCCTCTCAATCACTTCGCCACTCATGCAAACACTGACCCGGCTCTTGCGCCACAGGAATTTTTGGAGCCGCTGATCAACCAGTGCTTGCACGAACTCCGATCGCCCGACTCCAAGATCGCCATCTCCTGCGGCAAGATCCTGCAGGCAGCTGCTTCGGCTTCGGGTACCCCTGAGACCATTGCCCCCCCCCTTCTAGGCCACTTGAGCTAAACGAGAAGACCTCTCTCGCACTCTTCCTGGTCATCTGCATTCCCAGTCCGTGCATGTGTCGAGATTCTGAAGGACACCTTCCCGATCCTGCTGCGCCAGTTCTCGCTGGAGCAGCGTCCTTCGCACCGCCAGTCATTGCTCGACCTCGTCCTCAACTTTGTCATTGCAAGCAGCCAATTCAGCGGTACACCATGATGAGCTCTCACATTGAGCCTGTGGCAGCCAATATAACTCAATATCCTACTTACTTCCCAGAGCTCACGGTGGAGGATCACCCATTGCGACCCTGGCGGGATCAGCTCTTCACCACCTTCACCAGCACCTTCGTACTCATTCCCGCGCCAGTTGATGTTGTTCCATGCCAGCCAAATAATTGTTCTATTATTTCAATAATTCCAAGGTTGCCCAGAGCGTGCTCAGCACGGCCAAGTTCAAGATCACGTCCATCACCGGACTCCGTGGCCTCCTTTTGGCTGACCTGCTCGATGCTAACCAGGTTACTACATAACCCTCTCATTTATAGTTTCAGCTAGCGGCAGTGCTGTTGCTCACACACTTTCCACACCAGACTGAAGTGGTGCTTTTGCACTTCAGCAAGGCCGTTCTCGAGGACAAGGACGCAGTGGTCCGGTACGTACGCCTCACATCCATTCAAGCGTCGGTGTTCTTCTCTTAAGCTTAGATCGACATTTTTCTATCTACGCCCAGATCGAACGCACTTCGGGCACTGGACGTGGTCGCGCATCAGCCGGGCAAAGCTGGGCTTGTGGAGAAGTACACGCTGCCCGCCCTCCTCGATGCCATCACCAGCATGACTACCCAGTCCGATGTCGCCACTCTGCCTCAGCGTACGTTCTTGCCGACCGCGCGCCGCACCACAGCTCGAGAAGCGAGCAAAGAAGTAACCCTGTGCAACACCACAGCCCGAGAAGAGAGCGAAGAGCACCGCGAGGACAGTGAAGGCAAGACCCTACCATCGATCCTGGGAGCGCTCACGGTCCTCGCCTCCGAGGCCTCGCTCTGCCGCGTGATGGTGCCGAGGCTGCTCGCGATCACCGAGTCGCATTGGGCCGGTACGCCTTGCCAATAGGCCACCGCTCAGCGCTCAGGCCTTTCCGGACCCAACTCATTCTTTTCCTTATGGTGCGCGCGACCCTCGCACAGAGCTCAGGGAGGCGAGCCAGGACGGCAAGCCGCACTCCGTGCCTGCGCACGTGCTTGAGGCACTCTCGCGCGTTGTCGCTTCCGCCGCTGAGTCTCCGGCGATCATCCAGGAATGGGCAGCCACCCACTGCCCTCGCGTGCTCAAGCTGCTCATCAACGAGGCCTCCTCGCAGGTAACGCCTCCCGAGTGTGCGTGAGCGGTTTCGGGCGTGTGCGGCTGCTGAAGTCACATCATGTGCGGTTACGCAGACCGCGACAACCCCCGATTCTGCCGATTTTCTGCATGCTCTGGACTCGAGCGTGCGCCTGTTTGGCGCGGTGACCAGGGGACTCGAGGCTGGTACGGAGCGCGCCGCCTTCGTCGATTCGGTGGCCGCTCTCTTCCTCAACGGCAAGGCCGACAAGTTCCCTCACGAGGTGCGCATCGCTTTCTCTTTTTCGTCGCCTCGCTGGCCACGTCAGCTGACGTGTGAGCACTCTCAGGTCGAGTCCTTCCGCCCCTTCGACGAGAAGGCCCCCACCGGGCAGAAGCTGCTGATCAGAGTCTTTACCGCGGTGGTCGGCTCGGCCCACCGTGACGTACGTCGTTGATCAACAACTGTGCGACGTGGTATCTGTCTGTTGACACGTTGCGTGTACACGGCATCTGCTCGGCAGACGCCCCTGGCCTCGGCGGACGAGGCGCTGGGCCGGCTGTACGCGTTCACCGAGACACGCGCCATCGCCAACGCAGGCGAGGCGGCCAAGGCACATGAACTGATCGCGCTTTCTGCCTCTCAAGGATTGGCTGCTGTGGTGAACAAACTGCCCGAAGGTCTACCACCGCACACGACGCACACTCACGACGCACAACACGCGACACGCGACATGCGACACACGACTGACCTGTTGTTCTTCGTTGGCGGGACCCCAGATTCATCCGAGCTGAGCGAGTTCTTGGCGCAAGTGCTGCCCGAGCTTGGCCGCAAGGTCGGACCGGGCTCCTCCGCACCCTTCCAGGAAAAGACCGACGCTCTGCGCACGCTCACTTGGGTACTGCAAGCCCCCATTTCGTTGTGCAAGCTAGCTTGATATATTCTCGCGTGCGGGCCACACTCACATTTTGTCTTGCAACTGGCGACAAACAGTTGGCCAAGGCGTTGGTGATGCGCGGGCACGCCAAGGGCAAGGAGGTGGCCAACGAATTGATCGGACTTCTTTCGTCCACGGAAGAAGAGGGACACAAGAAGTACGCCACCGTTCTCATCAGCCCGACATTGCCTGTGACGCGTGCGTGTTTTCTTACCGTCTACTCGTCGCTCCAGGCTGTCGGTCTTGGCGGCGCAGTCCATGGACGTCATCATCGGCGATTCAGAGGACGTTCTCAACGTCCACACCAGCTCACGCATTCGGGTACCTTCTAGCCCGCGGCACTTGATGCACGCAGCTCTTGAGGAGTTCAGACACCTAACGCGTTGGTCCTCCACACGCGCAGGTGCTGTACAAGCAGCGCTTCTTCAGCGAATTGCTGCCCACCCTGCTGCGCGGTTTCCACGAGGCCTCCGCGCCATCCAAGCCTGCGCACCTGCTCGCCATCTCCTACCTCCTCAAGCACATCCCCAAGTCCGTGCTCCTTTCCGAGCTGCACACGGTACTACCACACCCAATCTCCCCCCCCCTTGCACGAGCCATGGGTCCACAGCTTACGTCCACGGGTTTCTTCGTCTTCGGCTCTCTTGCAGGTGATGCCGTTGATTGTGCAGTCGATCAATGCAGACGACGAGGGCCTCATCGCGTCGACCCTCCAAACGCTCTCCATGCTCATCAAGGAGGCGCCCAACATGGTGAGTGAGCACGTGTCGGCCTTCGTTCCGGCGCTCCTGCGACTCACCACCTTCAGACCGAAGATGGTACGCTCCCGCCCCGCCGCGCACCGCTTTTTTCCTCTCCGACGCAGAATTAACTCTTAGTACGTCCCCATCCCGCGCAGGCCATCCGCATCGCTGCGCTGGACTGCCTGTCGTCGTTCATCACGTTGCCCTTCTACAAGATCTTCCCCTACCAGAAGAAGAGTGCGTTTTGTGTCACGCGATGTGTGCGTGCGCGTGCGCGTGCGCGTGTGCGTGTGCGTGTGCGTGTGCGTGTGCGGCTTTGTCTGACTTGGCCGATGTCTCTGTTGGGCCGCCAGTCGCGAATGAGCTCTCGGCCGCGTTGGACGATCCCAAGAGGGCCGTGCGCAAGGCCGCCGTCAAGTGCCGCAACCAATGGTACGCCCGCCCGTTGTCCTTCTGCTCTCTACTTGTACGACCTCCAGGCTCACCACTTGCCTCATCGACCCAAGGTTTGGGCTGAAGACGGACAACACGGCCCTGCGGAAGCCCGCCGCCGCGCCCGAACCACACCGCGGCCACGACCACCACGGCCACGACCATGACCACGCACACGGCCATGGCCACAGCCACGCGCACTGAACCAGGAGCCGCATGTGCGAGTTCGTTGTCCGCGCGCACGTAAAATCGGGCCACCAACTAAACCAGGTTTCTCCATTACCTCACCTCCTAACCGTACCACACGCAAGCAGCCTTCTTCTCTCAACCCGACCACAGCAATGCAACAGCCTACTTGGGGTGCCCACGCTCGTCCTTGGGTATGGCCCTTGTCACCTCAGTACTTTCTCTTTTCCGTTTGCCCTTACCCTCTCTGTACTGCGGCCGCCAGTTCGCGTCGTACTTCGGCACGGACGCCCAGCTCGTCAGCCAAATCCAGGGTAACAGCTTCTCTCCCACAAATCTTTTCAGTTGCCGGTGACCCTGTTTGCGTTCGATCTTGGACGGTTCCTGACAATCCGGTTCCTTCCATTTTAATCTCCTAGCCTGGTTCAGCGCCGTTGACACGGACAGGAGCGGACAGTTGGACCAGGGCGAACTTGGCCGTGCCCTCCAGCAAGCTGGCGTACGACCTCCCCTCATGATCAGATTAGATCGGATTCCTTCGCGCTTCGATCTTTTCTGCTGACGTCACGCTTAGCTGGAATTCATTTTTAATTCGTTTTTATTTTTATATCGACCAGCTCAACTTTGGCCCGGCCACGCTGAGGCGCCTCTTGACGACTTTCGATCTCGACCGGTCGGGCCACCTCGGCGTCAACGAGTTCGTGTGCCTCTACCAGTTCGTGCTCTCCCTCCGCAACTCCTTCGCCTCGCAGGACCGCGATCGCTCCGGCAAGCTCGACAACTGTACGCCGGACCCCATGATGAACGAGTCATCTATCTGCATTCTTGTTTTTCTGATTGTGTACGCACGCATACGTACCACCACCACCACCACCACACACACACAACACGCACACGACCGCACACGCACACGCAGGGAACGAAATCACTGCGGCGCTGGCCCAGGGTGGCTTCCAGCTGAGCCCGCCGGCCATCAACAGCGTGCTGACCCGCTTCGATCCCAACCGGGTCGGACTCACGCTCGAGGCCTTCACCGAGGTTGCCCTCTTCCTTGCCAGCCTCAGGTACCTCTCCGTTCTTCATTTCCCCCCCCCTCGTGTCGCGTGTGCGTGTCGTCTTGTGTGTGCGATGGTGATTGTGTGGTGCGTGTGTCGCGCGTGTGCTGACGATTGTGTGAATGAAACCGGCCAGGTCATACTTCGACTTCTACGCGCACCAGCCCAAGCCCCAGGGCTTCGGCCAGCCGCCCGCCTCGCAGGGTCCGCCCGGCATCACACCGACCAACGCCACCATCACCCTCAGCTTCGATCAGCTCGCCTGCGCCACCCCCTACTTCCTGTAGGTCCTACCGCTCCGCTGTCTACCGCTGTCGATTGATTGACGTTCACACAACATACATCTTGTGCAAACTCTCTTTCGATAGTTGTAGTTGTTGTTGTACACGTGTGGTTTATTGTTATGCTCTCTTGCTGTTGTTGAGAACCTAAAGACTCGCCTTCCTCTTCTTGATGAACCAGAACCCGACGAGGGCGGCAGCGGCGGCCAGGATGGCGACGCCGGCGAGGACACCGATCACGATGCCGGCGATGGCTCCCCCCGATAGGTCACCGTCGCCCGAGTCGGCGCCGGCGGGGTCGGCCCCGGTAGCGATCCAGACCACGTCCATCGGGGGCATGACCAGGGTGATGCGGTCGTCGCTGAGCGTCATCGCGGCCGCGCCGGTCAGCTTGTGGAACTCGGTCGCGGTCCGGGGCTTGCCGAACTCGCAGGTCTTCTGCTTGGCCGCGTAGGGGTTGACCGCGAGCACGTAGTCCCGGCCCTGGTGCCGCCAGAACCGCACGCCGCAGGCCCGGCCCTCGTTCACCTCGCGCGCCCACTGCTCGGGGAAGGTGTAGTTGGGGTGGACGGCCTCGTTGGACAGGATGACGGGCGAGTAGTCCAGGAGCTCGGCCGCGACGCGCTTGACCTTGGCCCACTCCTGGTCGAAAGGGGTCTTCTTGTCCATCTTCCACAGGCAGTCGAACTCGTAGTAGATGATGCCGTTGGCCCCGCCCGCGATCATCTGGTAGGTCATCTGCCGCAGCTGCTGCTCGGTGGGCGGCCGCTCGCTGGTCTTGTCGGGCAGGTAGCAGTTCCAGTCGAAGATCTGCGGCACGTTCCAGAAGGCGCGGTTGTTCATCACCAGCGACCGGGCCTGGTACGACACGATGTAGACGGCGTGAAGGTCGTCGTAGGTCTGGAGCGGGTAGATGTCGACGCCCGTCACGTCGTACATCTCCTTGTAGCGGTGCATCTGCAGCCGGTTGTTGATGACCGGGAACACCACGTGATCGTAGTCGGCCTCGCGGATCCCGAGGGTCTCGGCGCGCAGGTTGTTGATGAAGGACTGGGCGCTCGACGGCTCGTCGTAGAGGTAGTACCCGAACAGGCCCGGGCTGGCCTTGATCGACTCCACATGGTCCACCACCCTCTGCACCGACTGCGCGACGATCGTGGCGTTGGTCGACGTGGTGGCCATGTGCTGGATGGGCTGGTCGATCACCCGCAGCCGCCCCTTGGACCGCTGGTGGATGTAGTCGATCCGGGACTTCCACTGCGCCCAGTGGATCATCAGGTTGAAGGGGCTGTCGGTGAGCAGGTCGATTTGTGTGTCGTTCAGGCTCTCCATGTAGAGGCCGAGCGGGAAGAAGGGCCGGCCGTTGTCGATCAGCCGCAGGTCCTTGTCGACGTACATCTTGTAGGTGCGCTTGGCCGCCAGCTTGTGCATGTTGGTGCTCACCGTCTTGGTGCGGCCGCCGAACAGGTTGTTGACCACCGTCACGTTGAGGGTGTAGAAGCCCGGCGCCAGTGGCCTCGGGTCGAACGTGAACGAGGCCACGATGTTCTCGCACCGCCGCTTGAGGGTCCACTCCGTCAGGCGCTTGACCACGACCTGGTCCTCATTCCGCACCACCACGGCGGTGATGTTGAGCCAGTCGCCCTTCTCGAAGGCGGTGCGCTGGACCGTCAGATCGGCGATCAGCTCCACGGGCTCGTCGTAGACCTCCTGGCGCCAGGCCGTGATGTCGGCGCTCCGCACCACATCCACGGTGTCGATCACCTCCAGGGCCACGTCGTCGATCCAGTACTCGCCCGTCCCGTCGCGCAGGGCCCAGCCGTAGACGTAGTTCTTCTCCGGGAAGAGCATGACCGACGGGCAGCTCATCTGGATCCACCCGCCCTGCGAGCAGTCGGCCGTGGCGCTGCCGCAGGCCGTCTTGTTGTGATAGCAGTAGACCCCGGTCGTGTAGTCCCGGCTCTCGAAGAAGAGCAGCAGGTTGGCCGACGGGCTGAAGTTGCGGTACTTGTACCAGGCCGTGACGCGGTAGTAGACCCCGAAGACCAGGCCGTTGGTGGGACCCCGGAACTGGTACCAGCCGTTGGTGGCGGCGGTGCTGACGGTGCAGTGCACGGAGTAGTTGCCGGTGCGCGCCCCGCCGGCCTCGGCGGCGCAGAGCGGGGGCGGCTCCTGTCCCCAACCGCTGCTCTGAGCCTCGAACGAGGGGTTGGCCAGATAGTTGGTTGCGGCTCGTGCCCCGGTCATGGTGAGAAGGAGCACTAGGCAAACAGTGGCTATTGCAGCTGAGGCAAAGACCTGGCGCATCTTGGGCGATCTGATGGCCGCCAGGCTGAGAGGGACTGATGGTGGGTGGTGTGACGGGGGAGCGATGTGAAAACTGTAGCGTCTCAGTTGTCCCTTGACCGGTTCACCACAGGCTAATGGAAATTTTCACCAATAGCAACACTGAGGCAACAGGCAAGTTGCGCCAATCGCGGTCCGCTCTAGGCGTCGGTGCTGTCCGATTCGATGCGGTCCGGTCCGGTCCGGTCCGTACAAGTCCAAGGGGGGGCGCCTTCCGTTGACCATCAATGGGACAGCAATCAGGTCGTGTTCATGCTCAACGCCCCAGCCCTTTTTTCTCTTGTGATCACAAGCAATATCCAGTTTTTACAGGGAGAAGCCGTACTGGCTGGATGCTGTCGACTCCAACTCCTATGCAATCACTAATCCAATCGCACGTTCGCCAACTGTGCCAAAACATGTCCCGCAACCACGGGCAGCGTGGACGACGAGGAGGAGAACACCATCACCTGCTTTTTGGCTGAGGTTTAACTCCGAGGGGCGGATGCAGAGGCTAGTGATGGGGAAGATGTGACCATGATGCACGATATGTACACGCATCAAGTAATAGGTGCTAAAGGTTGCATTGGCGAACAGACAAACACGTTCCTGCTAACCAACTACGAGGCGCCGTCCTGCTTGATGACGAGGATGCTGCATCCGGCGGGTGCGTGCTGGAGGAGGTATGAACTGGTGGACCCCAACAGAGCCTTGCTCACGCCGCTAAGCCCTCGCGAGCCCATGCAGACCAACTCCACCTCCCTGGCAATTGCGCACGAAGTCCGATTGGTCAGAGTCAGAACCCAACCACACGCACACGCACACGCACACGCACACGCACACGCACACGCACACGCACACGCACACACCACGATAGAAGTACCGCTTCTCGATTTGGTGCAAGAGGGCCTCTCTAGTGTTCTTCGTGAAGGCGATCTTCTCTTCGACCTGGCCCTGCAGAGCATTCACGAGTTCAGTTTCAGTGCCGCGGCCACCACTGGGCGAGTTACGGCGGACCTCTCTCCTTCGTCCCTGGGCGGTGCACATGGTTTTCGCTCGCTGCATGATCTTCTTGGCTCGCGCCTCCATCATGTCCATCACGCCCGATACGTCCATGAACTTGGTTGTGTGCCGCAGCCCCGAGTCAGGTAAAGGGGAAGAAGGGAACGAGTCAGACCAAAGGAGAAGGAGAAAGTGGGGGGGGGGGCGATGGGTACGGGTGCGGGGTGCATTTCCTCGACGGTGTGGACGAGGAGGAGGGAGTCCTCAGGCTTGGTGAGCTCCAGCGCTCGGCGCAGCGCGTGGTAGGCGTTCTCTGAACCGTCCAAAGCCACCATAACCTTCATTGCTTCGTGTGGAGACTACGTCGGGGCGGTGCTGGTGGTGTGGTGCTCAAAACACAGAACGAAGGCAAAAAGAAAGTACAGCTCCTCCCGAGGATTCTTTGAATTCCAAGAAATTTCACTTGGAAACAGGCTAACATTGCCGCAAGTTTAGGACCAATTTTCGAAATATGCAAAACATTTGATGTATTTGTGTTTGTTGTGCCTCAGAAGGGACACTTTCGCTTGGCGGCCTTGGCGTCGCTGCCGTCGAGCTGTGGCGACAGGGGCAGGACACCATCGTCCTCCTCCTCCTCACCGCCTTCCTCATCGGGATCGTACCAGCCGGCGGGCATGGCTTCTCCCTCCGCCGCCTTCTCCTCGCCGCCGTCGGCCTCGTCCTGCTCGCCGTCCTCCTGCGCGGCGTCGCCGGAGCCCTTGGCGTCGGCGAGTTCGGTATTGTCCTGGTAGGGCGCGTTGTCGAGGCACGCCGGCAGGGCCGTCAGGTAGTCCAGCGTGTAGATGTTCTCGTCGCACCTGTGTTGTTGTTGTGTGTGCCACAAATCACGCCGCGCGGGTGAGAACACGGTCACATGCAACAGAAACGCACAACACGCCACGACACGCACACGTTTGGGGCTTTGGGGGGGGGCAATACAGCTTGGAGACGGCTGAGTAGTGGGTGGTGACGCCCTTGTACAGGAGGCGCAGGAGCGACGGAAGCGAGGCCATGGCACTCGACGTCTCGTTTACGAGCGAGGGACGGGCAGCCCTGCACACACAGACCAGATCGTTAGCAAAAGAGCCAGACGCCCGGGGGGGGGGTGTTCATTCGTACTTGAGGGCGGGGCCGTGGTAGGTGAACAGGTGGGTCATCCACAGCAGGTGGAACTCAATGTGCGGCGACTCGGGCAGGATCTGCAGATTGGGGGGAGGGGGTGCGAAACACGGGTGAGCCGCTGGAGAATGAAGCGCGGAGAGCGCGATGGGGGGGAGCACGTACCCGGCCGATGAACGAGGTGAGCCGCTGGAGGTAGTGGTCCGGCAGGTGAGCAGCGACGAGCTGGATCTGGTGCGGCGGAACCGCGTGGTACACCTCGCCGATGAGGTCCTCCTCGTTCAAACGCAGAGCCATCTGTGAAGAGAACTGGCGTGTGAGCCACGCGTGCGTGTGCGGTGGTGCGTGTGCGGCATGAGGGACTGGTGCGTACAATGAGGGCCTTGAGGTGGTGCCCGCCGTTCAGCGTCTTGCGAATGTTCTTGGGAGTGATGTCGATGTCCAGGTCGAAGGGGTCGAACATGAGGCGATCGTCGAGGGAGTAGATCAGCAGACCCTCCGTCGTCGCCGCCGCCCAGCCTCGACCCGTCGGCGCGAAGCGAAGGGACTTGCATCGGATCTCGATCGACGTCGCCCTCTTGGAGGCGAGCTCGCCCACCTTGACACCTGTGTGTGTGTGTGGTCAGCAGACTGAACCAGCTCGCGGCGTACGCGGGGGGAGGCAGCATATATATATATATATATACATACCGGGCAGGGTCTTATCGATGCGGCCCTTGCGGCCCTCGGCCTCCCGATCGCTGTCGCCGTCATCGTCCTCGATGAGCTCCATGGGGCCGGCCTCGGTGAGCATGCGGCTGTCGAGGAAGTCGACGGTGCCGCCGATCGCGCGGTTGCGCGAGAGCTGGTAGCGCTTGATGCGCATGCGCTGCGACACCTCGTACATCACCACCCACTTGCTGCGGCCGCCGCCCATGATCAGCCGACCGTCGGCCGAGTAGCACAGGCTCGTGAAGTGCTTGCTCGCCGCCGAATTCTTGGCCGTGCGGCGCTCGTTGACCGTTCGGCCGCCCGAAATGTCGTTCCTGCCCTCGATCTGGCCCAGGTAGGTGGCCGTGGTGGTCTCCCAGAAGTGGATGTTGCCGTCGAGCGTGGCGGTGGCCAGCTCCTTGCCGTCCGGCCGGAAGGCGATCGCCAGCACGTCCGCGTTGTGCCTCAGCACGTCGGGCGTCGCGCCCGTCGTGAAGATGTCCCACAACCGCACCGTTCCGTCCCTGCAGTGTTGTCGTGTGCCGACCAGTGCGCTGAGGGTCAGCAGGCGCGCGCAAAGAAGAAAGAAGAAAAGGAAGAAGACGAACCAGGAAGCCGAGGCCAGCAGAGGCTTGGCCTGCGAGGGCGAGAACGCGAGGGCCGAGATGGGCTTCTCGTGGGCGGCCAAGACATCGAGCAGCTTGCCCGTTTGCACGGACCTGTGCGCGGAGATGGCAGCGCGGTGAGATCAAGGCGCCCAAAAGACCCATGGGCCTGGACTGCGGCGCAACGTACCAGACGTAGACTTCAAAGGGGTCGATGGAGCCGGCGCACACGACCTCTCCGCTAGGGTCGACGGCCAGGCACGTCAGCTGCGCCGACTCGTTGCCCACGAACGTACGGAAGTTACGGTATCGCACCAGATCGAACGCCCTGTCGGTGGTGAAGATCCCATCAGCCTCAGTGCGCGTGGTGGGGTTGCGGGGGTGATGGTGATGTACCTCACAGTGCCGTCGAGGGAGCAGGAGAAGACGGAGTGGCCGAGCGGGGAGAAGCTGAGGTCGGTCACCGGCGCCTTATGCTCGTTGAAGGTCACGTAGCAGAACCCGCTGGTGGTGTTCCACAGCTTGACCTTGCCGTAATCGTCACCCGTAGCTGCGCGCGTGGACGAGCGTGATCGTGTGAGGTTGCGCCAGCCAAGAGCCGTGACAGACTAGAGGAAGAAGAGAGGAGGGGGGGGGTCAGTACCGATGATGCTGGCGTCGGGAGCGTAGGCGATGGAGTTCATGTCGTGGAAGTGGCCCTGCTGCTTCAGCACGTAGGTCTCAGACTGCCACTCCCATACCAGCAGCTGCCCGAGCTTGGCTGCAACCATGACGTTCTCAGTGTCAACAGAGACCAACACACACACAGGGCGGGCAGCGAACCTGAGCCAAAGGCAAGCCACTCGCCGGAAGGAGAGATGGCGGCGGTGGAGAGCGACGAGGTGGAGATGGAGAGCGTGTGGAGGGTGACAACGCGCGACGTCGGACCCATTGGGATATCGTCTTCCTGAACGTCGTACACCGAGAAGACTCCGCTGGTGAAGGCAACCACCAGGATTCCTGTTGGTGCATTCCACGCAAGAGCAGCGTGAGTCGCAAGTCGACGCCAACGATGAATAAACAAAACTGTTAAAGGAAAGAAAAGTCGCGCGTCGAATGCTATGCTCGGGGGGAGGCGGTACCGGTCTTGGACGAGTAGGCGGCGGAGCGGGCCTTGACGCCGTCGCGCGAAATGCTCTGCTTCTTGACCACCTTCCACCTGCCGGAGAGCAGCCGGAAATCGTTTTCCTCCTTCGCCGCCGGCTCTTGCTTCTTGGCCTCAGCTTGTGCGCCGTCGGCCTTGGCCTCGCTCTCGGTTTCTTCCTTGGCTTCTTCCTCTTCCATCACTTCCACTTCCTCCTTCTCGTCGTCCGTATCTTCCTTCTTGAGCCCCGTGTGCTTCCGCCACTTCCACACGAACACCGATCCCTCTCGGCCAATCGTGTAGATCTATGCGTAGAGACCGCGCGTCAATGCGTGTGTGTGAGCGTGATGGTGAGCGTGTGTGCGTACGATTTTGTCGTTCTTGCCAAAGAAGGCGGCGATCACGGAGTCCCGGTGGCCCGAGAGCGTGAACGGCAGGTAGCCCTCGGTGGGGTGGAGGGAGTACATCCTGCACGTCATGTCCTTGGAAGTGCTCACAAAGTACTTGGAGTCCGACGACCAATCGATGTGCGTCACATCTCCGTGGTGTCCTACATTCGCATGAATCGTGTGAGCACGACGATTGCATCCGTGTGTGTGTGTGTGTGTGTGTGTGTGTGTGTCGTAATGATGGAGGAATGTACCGCCATAAGTGCGAACGAGCACAAAGGGAGCGAATTCCTTGTGCACGGAGGGTGTGCGCCATACGCGCACGTACTCGCCGTAGGTGACGGCAAAGTATTTGCCGTCGGGGCTGAACTTGAGGAAGCGCACCTGGCTCTTGAAGTTGAAGTGCGACAGCACCACGCCCTTGTGGAAGTTCACCAACAGTGCCCGGCCGTCTAAGGCGAACAGAAGGTGAGCATGGCGCTTGCTGCCCGGTGCTCAGCAAAAGTGAAAGGGGCTGCAGGCTTGATTGAGGAGCAAGGCCGCACCATCGTCTACGGTGATGAGGAGGCTGCCGTTCGGAGACAGTGCCATGTGCTTGATGTTGGTGCGGTTTTCAAAGGGAAGGGTGTGCGAAGAGTTGCTGCAAAGTCGCGGCAGCGATGCGCGTAATGAATGTGAGATCGTGGTAAAATCGCGAATTAAAAATTGGATAAAGATGGCATCAACGTACTTGACAAGATCGAAGACCGTCACGCGGTTGCCCACAGGGCTGAGCAGGGAATTGCCGTCAGGGGTGAACAGCACATTGCCCTTTCTGTAGACGCTACCGCATAGATTGGAGAACTAGGGAGATGAACAATTAATTTACAGTAATTGCGGATTTTGAGAGAAATCGATCAAGTGCAACTCTCCATAGCAAGCCTCGTCCCCCGGTCGTGGTACCTTGTACGCGTACATGGCGTGGGCCGATGAGTTGCTTCCGTTGAAAGATGGGCCACAACACAATCGCAATCTCCCGCTCCGTCTCCGTGGAAGGAAACCAGAAAAGAAATTCGGGTGGGCGCCAGCTACAGAGAAAAGCAACCAGAAAAGAGCTCCCTCTATGGCGAGAGAGACAAACAGTATCTGTATTGTATTCTCACCTCCTTCTCTTACATCGTCCGAGACGAGCCGCATCACCACCCTTCCGTTAAGACCCCGCTGGCATTCGCGCCTTGCTCTTTCCACACGCACACAGCGCTCGTCGGTGAAGACAGCAGCAGGCACGGGCCGAGAGGGTGCCTAGTAGTCGTCAGAGCCGTTGCGGTCGACGATGAGAGCGAGGACGCTGTTGAGCAGCATGACAAGCCAGAGGAGCCAGTCGAAGAGCGAGAAGAAGAGGGTGGCGCTCCACGTGTAGGGCATCTCGCAGTGGCCGTAGTTGTCGTCGATCCACGACATGTCCCTGGCCAGCAGCGACCAGGGCACCACCCAGAAGGCGAACATGAAGAGGGAGAAGCCCGAGAGGAGGCCCGTACAGGCGTAGTGCTTGCCGGTCGAGTGCTCGGTGAACTGCAGCACAGCCCACAGCGCGATCGAGACGAGAGAGAAGAAGATGGAGAGGATGGTGACCGTTTCGCCCAGGCCCACCACTCGGTCGCTCACTCGGAAAGAGAACACCCCGAGACTGCCGCAGTTGCTGTCGGATCCGTTTCGGCTGCCGGCGTAGAGACCAACATTGGTCATCGATACGAGGGCAATCACCACCGCCACGAAGATTCCCATTGTGGAGTAGTTGACGAACTTGGTAAATCCCATCTTGAGAGAGTGGAGGGAGGCTAGATGAAGAAGATGTTGTTGAAGGTTTTACTCCCTTGCTATGGTGAGCGCCAGGAGATAGCGAGTTGAGGTTGACGCTGGAGGCGAGGGGTGCGACGACTCCTTCTTCACCGACCTTATCAGTAGATCTTGCGAGTCAAGAGCCAAGAGGGGTGCGCAACGGCGAGACTTCCCGCGTCCCGGGACCCAAGTGTTGGTTGACGAAAGGGCATGGACACGCCACAACACCCTGAAATGCAAAAACCACCAGCTCAGGGAAAAGGGCAAAAAGGAAAATAGAAAAGAAATGATTACGACTTTTCGTGGCCGGAAAAATAGTGGCAGGGGAGTGTCAATAAATGAATTGAGCAACGGCCAACCAGCCACTGCGGTGGCCAGGGACAAAGGACAACCACCCCACTCGCTCCCTTCTTTACATCTTCTTTACGCGCGTGAAGACACAAGCACAACATGATTCTTCTTGAGACTGGAAGCCGCATCCTCGAGGAGGTGATCCGCCAGAGGGTCCAAAGGTACATTTCCTCGATCCTGCCTTCGCTCTTGGGTCGCCATTCAGCCCTCGTTCACTGCGCATCGCTCGTGGAGTGCTTTTTTTTTAAAAAAAAAGTGCGATAATCGGTTCATTATTAATCCTTGTTTCGTTTTCGCACTTGGATCTGCAGCGACAAGAGGGAGGCTGTTGATATCACGCTGGCCGACTTCGATGGTGTGCAGTACCACATTGCCACCAATGCCACCCAGAGGAACCTCGTGACCGTGTCCATTTCGTGGCCCTGCATCAGCCAGATGAAGCAGTTCGGCACCGACGCCAAGGTCCAGTCCTTCTACGGTCCCCTTGTCACCTCCGCCGAGACTGGTTACGACTACACCCTCCAGTTCGACCTTGATAACCTCGCCGACAAGGGTACGCTCTACATTGGCCTCCAATTTGCTCTTCCCCCCTGGAAGCATTTCAATTAAATTCATTAATTCTTTTGTAAAAACAGACTCTCTGCCTGGCAAGATCGCCCTTTTCAAGCGCACCGTGGTGGCTGCCCCCCTCGAGGCTGTGTTCGACGGCAAGCCTGGTCTGCCCCCTGTGATCACCATCAACTACCGCACCAACGAGGCCGTCTACCTGAAGAGGGAGGGCAACAACGTCGCTGTGATCTTCTCGATCAACTTCAAGGACAAGGACGACATTGTCATCGGCAAGGTGTTCCTCCAGGAGCTCGAGGCTGCCCGCAAGACCATCAACAACGCCCCCGCCGTCACCTTCTCGCAGAGGGAGAGGCCGCTCGAGCTCAAGAGCGTCCAGAACGTCTACGAGGGCGAGGACCAGGGCTTCGTCACCTTCTGTACGCCCCCCTCCTCTCCTGTCGTTACCGTTTATGGGCACGCACACGCAGCACGCGCGTTCTCTTGGCTCACGCGCCCTTGGTCGCACACGCGCGTGCTGTGGTACCTACAGTGCTGTTCGGCCCGCACACCCACGAGTCGAGGAGGGGCAAGACCATCGACACCATCCACCTCTTCCGTAACTACCTGCACTACCACATCAAGTGCTCGAAGGCCTTCCTGCACACCCGCATGAGGCTGCGCGTCGAGGAGCTCCTCCAGGTGCTCAACCGCGCCAAGATCAAGAACGCGAACAAGGAGATGAAGACCATGTCCGGCAGGACCTTCAAGAGGGCCTAAATCCTCATCAGCGTCTTCCGATCTGCTGTACAACTCTGTAAAAGCGAGAAGTAAAACCATCTTTCCGCTCGATCTTCGCCTCACGTTATGAAAAATGGCGAAAGATTGTTATTTTGAAGAAGGACCTGGTCCTCACATCGCGAATGTTGTTTACAAAGGGCGACAAGCCCCCGTCGATCGTGTGCCACATGGGGGCATGGATCGGCGACAAAAAGGGAAGTCGAAGGATTTGCAATCACTCAGCAATAGTTGAGCCTGAACAAGTCGTTCAACACGAAGAAGCCGCCCTGCTGGCCCTGGATGGGCATGAGGCTGAACACCTGGCTGAACTTGAGCGGCTGGTTCGAGTTGTCGATCTGTTGTTGGAAGTTGGGCACGATGATGAGCTCAACGGCCGCCTAATTTCAAAAGAAAAAGAAAAAAACAACAGTTTTTCAGAGGAGGGGTTGACGCACAGCGAGATTGCCGCACACGAAGACAAGGATGCCGCCGCCAGCAGTCGGCTGGGCGTCGATTGTGGTGATGGCGTGCTTGATCTGCTGCATGGGGAGGTTCTAGAAAGAGCAGATGTCTTAGTAGGGAAGAAATGGCGCCATCGGGGCTACACGTTGTCAGATGTTGCAGGTACCAGAAGCTTGTTCACAATGTTGTTCTTGCCCTGGATCTTGTCGTTCTCGAACGTCAACATGGAATGATCTTGCTGTACATGTAAGAAACCAAATTAATCGACGATACATCGAAATTCATGCTGCGACGGACTTACGTAAAGGCTGGCCAGATTTTTGCGGTCAGTGTCGAAGATGTTGTAGTAGTGGTTGGCGAAGGCCTTGGCGATCTCCTCGGGGTTCGACATGTTTGTTAATGTGTTGTTGATGCTGCGCAGATGGCTTCGGTGCTGTGGGCAAAGGACAAGCAAACAAATACTGGCTTTTCGCGCCCAAAATTTTGTTTTCTGGCGGGTTCACTGGAAATTCGAAATTTCGCAGCCACGCTGCATCTTCGTGAATCTTCTCGTACGCGTCTGTCGATGGCCAACATGCACACACACCCATCCTATCGAAGGCGCGACTCATTCCGCTCTGCGGGTGAGAGCAAACAAACTGGCTGAGTGCCCTCTTGGTGTGTAGCTTCTGCAACACTGAGATAGCACGGCTTCGATTCCCACCAGTACAGCAGCAAGCCCAGGAAAAGCGGACGAAAGGCAGAGGGCGTTGATGGTGCCTGTCACAGTGCTCGCCACAGCAAGACTTGAGAGATACGCCATTAGCACCCACCCGAACCAGGACCAACAGAAGCAAAGAGAGAAAGGAGGTCATGGCCACGAAACAAGCGCAGGGCGTGATGAAGAAGGAAGAAGACAAGAAGGAGGCACATTCAGGAACGACGGCAACGAGGGAGCAACAGTGGCGAGGGCTCTTGGCCGATACGACGGTGGGGCAGTTTCTGCAGGCCAGGGACTCCTCGGGCGCCAAGAAGGCGCCGCAGGGCAGCAACACGAACGAACCGTCCTTTTCCTCGTCGCTGCCCTCCTCGCGTCACGTCGTCACCCTCTCCTCCACCGCCACCGTCGCCCACGCCCTACAGGTTTGCTCCCCTCCCCCTCTCTACACCAACAGTTTCATCTTTTGCTCTCGTTGCTCACCTATGTGAACGTCAAGACCCTGGCCCAGCATCGCATCCTCTCCGCTCCCGTGATGGACGCCACAACCCTCCACTTCATGTACTTGTTCAACCTCCCCCTCCCCCCCTCTAGTTTTACTTCACTCCTTTGACCGATTGGCGCGTTCATGTTGGGGGGTGTAGCGGGTTGGTGGACGTGCTGGACATTGCCGGGTTCCTGCTGCACGACGTGGCCAAGGACGAGGCCGACCTCAACCTGATCATGTTCACCGGCCTGCCGTCCCTCAACCACCCCATCTCCAATGCCATCAGTACCTACTACTACCACTGCCCCGTCGCCGCTTCCTCCTCTCATGGTCCTTACCCCCCCCCCCAGTCTAACCACCCACCGCTCGGTCCCTGCCAGACTTCTCGTTGCTCGACCGGCCCGTGCCGATCAAAGAAAACGACAGCCTGCTCAGCGTGGTCCGGACCATGTGCAATCCCAAGGTTTGCCCCGACGACGGGTCCCGACTGTTCTTCTTGCTATGCTGTTTGCTGATTGGGTGAGCTGCGCTGGCATCAGGGGAGTATCAAAGTGCACCGGCTGCCCGTGTTCGATGACGAGGGCAACATCGTCAATGTCATCTCCCAGTCGGGTACTGCCCACGCCTCACCCCCCGAGCGTTGAAGCTCTCCCATCCAATCATAAACCAACGCGCAAACGCAGACGTGATTGCGTGGTACGCGAAGAACATGGACAAGCTGCCCGAGCTCTGCCAGCGAACCGTAAGCGACGTACGGCCCCGCGTACCAACTTTCTCCCGCATCATCATCATCATCATCATCATCATCATCGCATTCATTATCATTTCGTGGTGAGCACACAGCTCGAGTTGGCGCACGCGGTGATCTCGGTGAGGAACACGGCCAGATTCGCCGATGCCCTGTCCATCCTCTTCGAGAACCGGGTGAGCGGAGTGGCCGTACTCGCGCAGAGCAAGCTGGTTGGCAACATCTCGGCCTCCGACCTTCGGGTGCGTTCGCCCACCCATAACTCGATCGAGTGCGGTTTGATCGACTCAATCGTTGCTTGTCGTGTGCGTGCGTGCCACGCTGCTGCAGGGATTTGGCGGGACCGACTTCGACATCTCCATGTTCAACCGCCCAGTCCAGCAGATGCTCGACAAGATCAGCGCTGTACGTCGAGTACCGCTTTGCCCAGTCGACTGACCAAAGTCCAGCCTCCGCGTTAACCGCACGCTTGGGTATCACCGCACCGCACACACAACACACAGAAAGACGGACCCAAGGCGCCCGTGAGCTGCACCCTCGACTCCACGCTGCAGCAGGCCATATCTCTGGTAGCGACCAACAGGACGCATCGGGTGCGCACACAGCAGCCCATCTTCGGCTTTCGCGCAGTTGGCTCATCGCACACGCATCACTCACACTTACACGGTTGGCTCTTGCAGGTGTACGTGGTGGACGAAGAGAACAGAGCTATAGGAGTTATAACACTGAGCGACGTGCTGCGGGCGCTGCTGCCGCCCAAGTCACCAGACGACCGACCGACCCAGGCGGAGCTCGCTGCGGCAGCCACCGGCGGGGCCATCGGGGACTTGGCCACTCAGGCCCACCAGCAGCCGCCCAAGCCCGTCTTCACCAGTCGACGAGGGAGCACCGGCGCCTCGCCCACAGCATCACCCACGGCGCGCCGGACGCGGGGAGTGGAGGCCAACAACCGGAAGAGGAAAGGATCGATACCGTCCCTGCAGCTGATCGACGAAGACGACGGCGAGGTGCTGACCACAGAGCCCGTCGTCACACCAGCGCAGGCGGCGTCCGGCGACGCAGCCGCCGAGCTGCACGAGGACAAGAAGCGAAGGGTGGAGGAATGATGATATTGTTTCTTTCTTCTATTGTTACACTTCACACAAAGCTCAAGCTAGAGAGACTGAAAAAGAGAGGGAAAAAAGTGGCGCAAAGGTGGACAGTCAAGCCCGAGCGCGGAGCTTACTTGGCCTTGACGCTGACGAGCTGGGTGTAGGCCTTCTTGAGCACCTTCCGCGACTTCTTGCTGCCCCGCACGTTCATCAGCATCGGGCGCAGATACTGCAAAGGCGTGGAGCGAAATCGCGGTAACAGGGAACGGGGAGTAAGTGGGACGATCAGTGGGGACGTCCATGTGTACACATTGACGTCCATGAAGGGCGTGCAATGGCGAAGGGTACCTTGAGGGAGGTCATCTCGAGGTCAAAAACGTATTCGATCGCCCACTCGAAGGTGAACGGGCCGTATTTCTCCTGTACTCCATCATACACCGATCACTAGTGAGCGTGGCTGTGCGTGTCGTTTTCGTTCTTTTCGCTTTCTCGAAGGCGCTGCTGTTGCGTGGCTGGCCGGTGTCGTGTCGTGTCGTGAGGGGGGGGGCGAATGGTGCACCTCGCTATCGGGTGTGGCGGTCTCCTTTTTGGTGTGCACGATGGTCACCTCCTCGTTGTCGACGGCGATGGCGATGGACCACGAGTTGCGCACGGAGTTGAAGTCCAGCGGGGCCATGCACGCCTTCAACTTCGTGATGCACGGCGCCACGATGCTAGCCACCCACCCCAATCGAACGGCGTCAGCACGTGTACAACGCACCTCACAACACACACGCAACACACACACACACACACCACACACTTATATGCAACACGAACCTCTGGCTGGTGACCTTGAGGATGCGCATCAGCGGCGTGTGCTCGCCGATCACCTCATCAAAGAACACCTTCAGACCTGTCGTGCGCGTCATGAGTACAGGCAGAGGACGGCACTGAAAACGGGGGAGAATGGGGTACCGGTGGGGTCGCTGAGGTCGTCGTCGGTCTTGAAGTATTCGCCCCGCTTGAAATTGGTCTGGATGTTCTCCGAGAGCGTGGTGTCGTCGAGGGCCATCGCCAGCGTCACCAGCACCGTGTACGTCGCCTCCGTCTGTCGAGCCACAAGTCCCCCCCCCCAACCAATAATTCTTCAGTGACGCGCCGCACACGCACACGCACACGCCGCACGCACGCACGCACGCACCTTGGGCATTTCGGCGTTGTCAAAGGGTCCGCAGAGGATCTCACCGGCTGGCCGCTCGATTTGGTACTTGCGCACCAACCGCGCGAAATCTGGTGTGCAGAGAGAAAGAGAGACATCACGGGTTGTGTTAACAAGGTGTGTCGTGTCGTGCCGTGTGTGTCGTGCGACGAACCGCGATGGCACACGAAAGAAGAGAGGGGCTTGTGGAAGATGTCCTCCGATTCCTTCCACAGCGTGGATCCGTTCTCGGGGCTGCAAGCGCGACACACCGACCGTGAGTGGTGCGTGGTGAGTGGTGAGTGGTGCGGCGACGATGACGGTGGCGTACGTCTGGAGACCGATCATGCGCTTGAGCCGCTGTTCGCGTTCCTGCTTGTGCAGTTCGTGGTCGCGCAGCAGGCGGCCCACGAAGAGGTACTTCTCCACCTCGTCCAGCGGCTCTTCCTCCGAACATATCGCGTATAACTCCTATCAATGGCCGTGTGTCGTGTGTTGTGTGCCGTGGTGCGTATGCGTGTGCGTGTGCGTGTGCGTGTGCGTGTCCATCAGTTTCGGAGGCAGAGATGGATTTCGATGGAAACGGGAGGGCGGCAGCGTACGTCGAAGAACTCCTCGGGGTCGATGGGCACGGCCCCATCCCTGTCCGGGGTGCTTTTCTTGGACTTGGGACTCAGCGGTGCCTTGGGCGCCGACTTGGACGAATTGAGCTGTCGTCGTATTGTCGTGTGTCGCGTCGTGTCGTGTGCCATGTGTGTCGTGCCGTGAGAAAACTAATCAGTGCGGGACGATGGGGCGCCGGAGATGATGTACCAGGCGTGCTGCCTTGCCCTCGTGTGGTTCGTCGGCCTCCTCGTCCTGCTCGCCTTCACCCTCGCCGACCGCTTCCTTCTCCTCCTCCTCCTCCGCCTTCTCTTCCTCCTCTCCGTCCTTCTTCTTGTCGCTCTTCGCTTTCGTCTTCGCTTTCGCTTTCTCTTTCTCCTCCCTGTCCTCCTTGAGGCCCGCGCGGATGGCCTTCCGGTCCATGTCGGGCATCGAGTTGGCGTACTTCTTTGTAAACTTGCTACGCCGCCCCGCAGCCGCCAAGACCTTGGCCGACGCGGCCTTCTCCGTCGGCTCGCCGCCATCCGTGTCCGCCGCCGCTGCCGCCACCTTAACCGCCTCATCGCTGCCGTGGGCCGCCGGCCCGAGGTCGCTCATGACCAGGTGGAGCCCACCGGAGCGGCCCTTGCCTGCGACCGGGCCGCCCTCTTTGACGCGTCGTCGGCGGGCCTCGCGGGCCTCCTTGAGGAGGCGCTCGTGGGCCTTCTTGACGGCCTGGTAGTCCTTGGGGTTGAGGTGCTTGATCTTCTTCAGGGCCTCCTCGCGGCTGCGCTTGATCCGTCGCTGCTCTGCCAGCTTGCTGAAGTAGCTCGTCGTCATGTGCGCACGATACCTTCATCGTTCCCCCCCCCAACCCAAATACAACGATGAGTGTCGTTGGTCGTGTCGTTGGACGTGTCGCGTGTATGTGGGTACCCGTTGGGATCGCTGGACACGTTGGCATACTTCTGGGTCATCATCTCCTTGTACCGGGCCTGCGGAGACCCAGGGCCGGCTGCCCAATGCATCCCGCACACATACACACATACACACCCGGTCAGCAGCCATCACAATTACTCGACGGCGACTGAGTCTAGTGGCGCGTACCATAGTCGTCGGCCGCTGCCGGGTCTTCGCTGTCGTCATCGTCGACCGCCAGGGCCTCGTCTTCGTGGCCAGACGACCGCCGGCCCTCAAGAGGCAGAGCCGAGACCGGCGCCGGGCCGTGGTCCCTGGGCGCCGCGGCGGAAGCACCACCGGCCGTGGCCGTGGCCGAGGCCGAGGTGGTCGACAGGTCCTCAACACCACCGCCGCTGTTGTGGGCGTCCTTGGTTTCCTTGAGCTTCTCCTTGGCTGCCGCCTTCTTGTCGAGCTTCTCCTTCTTCCTCTTCTCCTTCTCCTCCCGCTTCCGTTCTTTCTCCTTGAGCTTCTCCTTCTCCCGCCGCTCGCGCTCCTCGCGCTCCTTCTCCTCACGCTCCTTGCGCTCCTTCTCCTTCTTCTCCCGCATCAGCTCCTTCTCCTTCTTGCGCTCGCGCTCGCGCTCCTCGCGCTCCTTCTCCTTCTGGGCCTTGAGCGAGAGCTCCCGCTCCTTGTTGGTGCTTCCGCCCTTGGCCGCATTCCCGCTCTCGACCTTCTTCGCGCCTTCGCTCTTTAGGCCGCTCCCGCTCCCTTCGTTCTCCTCCCCGTCGGAGCTATCGTCTTCGTCCTTTGCTCTGGTGGCGTTCGCTTTCGTTCTTTTGGCCTTTTTCCCGCTGCCGCCGTGCTCCTCGTCTTCCGCCTCCTCCTCGTCGTCGCTTTCGTTCTTTTCCGCCGCTGCAATCGCGTCTCGTCGGATCGTGTTGCCCTCGGCCGCCACCATGTCGTACAGCGAGACCGTGCCTCTTCGTTTCCGCTCGGTCGCGGCCGTCGTCCGCTGCTCCTCCGCCGGCACCACCACCTCCTCTTCCACCCGACCATCGTCCTCCTCCTCGTCGTCTTCGCTCACATCGCCCACATCTCCGCCCTTTTGTACATTCTCCTCCTCCTCCTCCTCCCGTGCCTTGTTGTGAAGCTTCTTCTTCTTCTTGTCCTTCTTCGTCTCGAGCTGCTGCTCCCCGCCTTCGTTGTTCTGGTGATGGCGGTGGTCCTGCTCGCCGTCGTCGTCGTCGTTGTCGTCGACGTTGAGGTCGGCATCGTGCTTGGCTTCCTTGCGCTTCTCCTTGTTGTGGTGCGGGTGGTGCTTCTTGGGCGTGTGGTCGTCCGCCTGCGCCGGTGGCACGGCCACCGCTCCCACCATCTCCGAGTCACCCATCACCAGCGCAGTCCTGCACGCGGGTCCGGTCGGTCAGTCGGTCAGCCGAGCTGAGCGTTTTGGCTCCGAGCAAGGAGAGGCTCAATACACCGGATGGGGGAAATACTCACATAACATACAACCAATAATCATCATCAAATCACCCGGCGTGCGGGCGCAGATTTGTTTTTAATATGAGGGGGGCGGCTTGATAAAAATAAACAAAATAAAACAAAATCAAAGAAGAACACCAACAAAATGATGGTGCGGGCTTGCCTTACCGGCTCGCAGTGGGGTATAGAAAATTGTGGCAGGCGGCTCTGTCTAGCGATCGAAAATGCTTGGCCTTGTGCTTCTTCAAACCATTAATTATTATCGAAATTAAAAAAAAGTAGGCGAACACAGAAGCTCGTCCAGTTGGTTGTTTGCACACAAATTAATTCGCCATTTGTGTCGACAATCAGAACCAAAGAAGGCGATTTCCCAGTGTTCGTCACCAGCTAAAGCTGTAGTCGATCGTCAGCGTGTCGGTCACGCCTTGCTTCCGCCGGTTGCGCGCCCGCTCGTTGACCACTTGGCCGCGCTTGGGCTGGCAGTACAAGTCCTCGCGCAAGCGGTTTCTCTTGGTCTGCCTTCGGTATCTGTTCCCCGTCACCCGATCGTCAGTTCTCTCAACTCGTTCGCCCAGTGGGGGAGGGGCTGAGCGCGCGTTAGGCCTCTGGACGGTACCGTTTGGTTTGCGCCTTGTGGCCCTTGAAAGTGGCCGTGTTGACCTTGCACGGGCACAACTGGCCGCGCCACCTGGGGTCCGGGCTTGCACCGCTGGGCTCGAACAGCCGGCTCGCCTCTCGCACCTGCGGGTGGGTCTTCAAGCGCCCACACAAGGCATGTCAGGCCCCCGATCCAGACGGGCAGATCATGATGGGAGTGGGGCGCGCACCTTGAGCATGGGCCAGAAGCGCGAGCCGAAGTAGCGCTGCAGAAAGCCCACGACGTGAGGCCACCGCCACCCGCGGAGCTGGGCCATGTGGACCGGACGCTCGGAGAACGGGCCAATACGCTCGATGGCAAAGTAGTAGGAGGCACTCCACGAGTGCGTCTTAAAGGCGATGTGGGTCTCGAGGGTGCGCGCCACGGGCGCCCCCGTAGACGCCAGCGACCCGCAGCCCGACGCGCGCAGCTTTTGTCGGTGGAAGTGGTCCTCGCACCCACTCTCGTCACGCTTGGCCTTGCGGGACGTGGCGGTGGAGGCGCCGGCGGCGTCCAGACAGTCCGCCAGTTGCGCGGCGAGCCTGCGGAAGGCCGCCCGCTCGCGCTTTTCACTCGACCTCCGTTGGCGCTCGCGCACCCGCTTGCCCGCCCTCGCACGTGATTTGCTCATGCAGAGCGCCAGCAGGCGCCGCCGGTCGTCCATCGTCATGACGCCGCTGTCGAGCGAATGCTCAGAGCTCTCCTCTTCTTCTCCGGCATCACCGCTGGCAGAGATGGAAGCCAGCACGCTGAGGAGTGTGGCCGCGTTCACTCGCACGTCCGACGACGCTGCGGAGGAAGGGGAGTTAGGTGAGTCCGTGTGTGTGAAAGGGCAATTGTGGGGTGTTGGCCAGTACTGGTGTCGGGGTCGTTGAGCAGGGTAAGCTCGACAAGGGTGCGCTTGTGCGGCCCCACGAGCTTGCACACGAGCCCGTCCTGCGGCAAACGGCTCACCAGGAACGTCCACACCCGCAGCGCTTCGGCCAACTCACTCGACTCGATATCGGGCCTCCTGCTTCGCTCCCACCTTTGATCGCGCCACGTTCTCCTGTTTCTGCCCTCACGTTCGCTTTCGCTTTCCCCGCCTTCGCTTTCGTTCTCTGTTTCGTTTTCTGATCGTCCCCTTTCCTCCTCAGCTTCGTCTTCGCTGTCCTCGTCGTCGTCGCTGATGTCGCTTCGGTCGCTCTCCTCCCCCGAGTCGCTGTCGTCGTGGGGACCGTAGCCTGCCCACAGCGCATCCACATCGGGCCGACGCTCACAGTCACGCCGCAGGTAGCACTCAGCCAGGAACCGGCACACTTCGCTCGTGACGCGGGCGTCGTCGATGATAAAGCACAGCACAGCCAGCGCCTTCATCGCCTCCACTCGCAACGCGCTCGTTCTCTTCCTCCATTCCTCGTCGCGCTCGCCCTCCTCGCCCACTTCGTCCTCATCAGAGTAGTTGGTGTTGTTGACTGTGAGGATGACTCGCATCAGCACCTCGCCGAGCGTGTCTTCATTGTCGCCGCGGCCATCAGAATCGGCGCCGACTCCCCAGCCCTGGCGTCTTCGCCGCGATCCACGGCCTCCGCGACTTCCCTTGAGCGACGCCGTGCTCTGTGGTGTCCAGCCGGCCGCCGGCTGGGGTGTCGCCAGTGGAGCAGGCTGGCCGCCGGCGATGAAGCTCTGCGGGAGTCGCTGGCCGCACAGCACCCCGAGCGCCGCCACCAGGCGTATGGCCCTTACCTGCACTTCCCACTCGACCGTCTCCCTCCTCCTGTTCTTCTTCCTCATCTTCGCTCGCCGGGTGGTGTTCACTTCCGCTTCGAACGAGCTTCTTCCGCGGCCGCCCACGGAGCCCTGTGTGGGTGGTGCGCGGTGGTGGAGGATGGTGTGCAGGCGCGCCTTGACCCAGGCCTGGAGCTCCGCCAGCCTATCGACCACCTCTGGGACTGCGAGTTCGCCGTAGCTTGTGCGCGCCAGCCAAGCGAACCTCTGCCCGTCGGCGAGCAGGGCATCCACCAGGCCGTCCACCGCCATCTTAACAACACCACCGACAAGTGAAGGAAAATCAGCACTTTACCAGAGCTCGAGGAAGAAGAAGAAGCGGTGGTGCACCTTTTGGCGTCGTGGGTCGGTCTGGGCGAAGAATGCGTTCCATGTGGTTTCCACTGGACCAAAAGAGGGCCACTCGACCCGGTCGCCCTTCACTCGGACCCAGTACTCGCCAGGCCCCCGACAGTCGTCAACGAGGACGTCGACAGAGCGCCAGTGACGGCTGTCCTTCGGCCTCTTCTGTGCGTCACCTCCGGTGTGCTTGCGCCTGCTCTGCGCAGGAGGCCCGCCATTGTGTTTGCCCTGTCGCACCCCCTGCATCCCCCCTTGCCAAGTTGTTGTTGAGGCTGTGAGGGTGCAGAAGAAGCGTGAGAATGAAGTTAATCGGGACGTGGCCCAAGCGTCAAAGAGTTCAGCGAACCAGAAGAGGGAGTGTTTGTGGAACGTTTGCCGCAGCCAATGGCGCATTTCAAAAAAAGGAAGATTGGAAGGAAAGCTGTCGTGTGGACCAAAACCCCCCAACCACCTCTTGGTTGGCGGCTCTGGCCTTGAACAAAGGGGATGTACAGCACAAAAACAACAGCGGGGGATGAAGATGGACCAAAAAGGCGGGGTGGGTGAGGCTGGAGCTCACCGACGGTGGTCGCCAAACAGGATGGCGGGGATGTTTTGCTGTTCGTAGCGCAGAGACTGCCCATACGACTCCGTCCTGGAGGACTGTGTTGATTTGTGCTGCAGAGTGAGACACAGCGTGGCGATGATGGGGAGGGGGTGGAGGCGTCGAGGTTGTACGTTGTTGAAGACCAGGATGTGGACCTCGCCCTTGATGTCAACGTTGGTTTTGCCGCCGTGAAGCAGGATCTCCAGCAGAGTCTCCAGTGCGCTGCCGAAGCTGCCAATCTGCGCTGTGAGAGGGGCCGACGCCTGAACGAGACACCCGCGCGCGAGTCAATGACCATCGATCCCAGCCCAGGGACAATGGGGCAAGGCCGCGGCGTACCACAGCGTGACGGCCGGGCAGGTAGATCACCTTGTCGATGGCGGTCAAGTTCAGGGCCATTTTGCCGATCGCAGTGTTGCGGCCCGACAAGTAAACCGTGAAGTTCATGAAGTCCAGGGCAATGTCTGGCCAACGCAGGTGGACGAGATGAGCATCCAGCCATTCGGGCCTGCCTCGATAATGGGGAAAGAGGGGAAGATGCGTACAGGCATCATAAGGGTTGTAGGCGAAGAAAACGACGTCGAGAGTCTGGGCGAACAGCGACACACCCAGGATATGCGCCTTCTGGATGAGAGGAGACGCATTGCCCGGGATTTCTGTGCGCGGTGGCGTGTGGATATTTTTGCGTTGGGGTGAGGCATGAGAAGCCGCTCACTATTTGCGGCGAATGCCAGTCCGTACCTGTGCTGATGTTGAGGGCGCCCAGGGCGTAGGCGAGCACCGGTATGTCGGTCACGCCGTCCGTGAGAGTGACGGTGGAGTTGGCCCCTGCGAAGCATGATGAGATGCAGAAGAGCAGTGGACGACGGGTGGTCTAACATCTGTCCCACCATCCATCACGAGGCGAGCGGGTCGTGTCTTACCCGAGATGAATCCAGAGATGAACTCAATGGCCAGGGCGGAGCCAGGTCCTTTCGGGCGGGTGTACAGACCCTCTCCGCTGAGGGTTGTTGTGCCGAGGCCCAGATTGAACTTCGCCACTTCAGCCTCGGCAATCACCACGTTTTTCTGGTTTCGAGAACACGTGGGTGATGTTTTTGGGTTAGGGTACCTGCGGCGTACGAGTGCAGTGTCGCGTGAGGAGGAATGGCAAGGTGCGCCTACGTATCGCATCTTCATAAACAAGTTGCCGGCATTCATGGCAACGTTGGGTAGTGGGTTCTGAACGGTGATGTTGAACCCGATAGTCAAGCCCTTGGGGCTGCCTGATAGCAGGGCCACTGTGTTGATCGTGATCGAGTCCTTGAACTGGTTCGCGCCTGAGCGTGGACTCTTGTGCGTGAGGTTGCAACCGCAAGCTGACAGAGCACGGAAGAGGGTCATCGGAGTGGGTGGTGTGGTGTACCCTTGAGTTCGATAGCGTCTTGGATGGGTACGCCCTTGATGTTGAGGTCGCCTATACTGGTGGACACCACCGACGCTAGCAGCCTGGCCCGCAGTGTCAGGTCGGTTCGGTTGTTGATCAACAGCTCGTGAGCAAACCTGGCCGCGGTAGAAGAACAATGAATGAATGACTGAATGAACGAAGGTTCACTATCGGGGACGGGAAGGCTGTACAGAGAAAAGCACGTGGCATTCATCACCCTGAGAGGCGCCAGGGTCAGCACAATCGTCAAGTTGCCCGACTGATCTTCAATCGGCTGCGAGCCGGCATAGAGGAGGTAAGAATTGGGGGGGGGTTGCCAATGACCCGGGTTCACACGAATGTGGAAAGGGAAGTCCACGTACAGTCATGGGCACAGTCAAGCCTCCTATCAGTGCACCACCGTGCAGCACTTCGGCGTACAGCGACATCTCTTTGATCTGCACAAGTGGAAGGGTGATAGATAAGAAACGCCTCCGTGTGTGCCGTCGGGTTCGCGAGAGTGATTCGTACATCTTGTCGTACTCCAAAAGGCGAGTTGAAGCCAGCGGTCATCGAAATATTGACGGTGGTGGCGTTGATGTTGGGCGAGAAGTTGACCGCCAGTTGCTGAATGACCACGCTTGAAATCAACTGCTCTCGCCCACACCCGGTTCACGCAATGTGGTGAGTGATGACAGACCACCAGCGGCTCTCTATACCCCTCGTACCGCGGAGCTGTTCGCTATGCCAGGCAGGTCTGTAGACAGGACCATGCCCGTGGCCGCCTTCTGGAGCCAACCGATGGAACTGTGGACGTAGTTTTAAGTAATGAGCACAGCCAGAGACTCGAAAAGTGCGCCATGTCGAATCAGCGGAGAACCGCACCTGTTGCCGGCATCCAATCCCCTCACGACCACTGACGAGGCCTCACCCGTGAGGTAGTTGGACAGGAACTCGCTCGTCACGCCCAAGTCTAGGAAGCAGCGCGGGCATGAGCACAACACGTGCACGACGACTTGCCCCCCCCAAGACAGTTCTACCTTTTTCGGCAGGCTTGACTAGGCCAGTATAACGGTAGCGGTTGAGACCCGGGTTGAGCTGCACGCCAGTAGCATTGAGATAGCCCAGATAGGTGTCCCGATAGAACCTGGAGGGGCGATTGCATCAGCAGGCTCTACGGGGAAGGTCAGGAATTCCGGACAAGTGCGACGTACATGCCAAAGTTGATGGCGGGCAGATAGAATGAAGCGAAGGAAGGGTTGGTCAGGGTAAAGTTGATGGCCAGCTCCATGCCGCCATTGGGCGAGTCCCGAGGCACGTCGAAGCTGAGCACAGTTACGTTGGGCAGGTTGTCCAATCCTTATCAAGCCAGAGGGAAATAAGTGAGCGTGTGAGGCGTATAGAAGCAGGGAGTGTCTGTGCGATATACCGGGCAATACTACGCTGTTATTGACCGGAACGCTGGATGCCTCGAGCTTGCAGACCACCGTCCTCACAGTCACGTCGCTCGTACCCACAAGCTTCAGGTTGACTGTACGGTAACGTCCTGGGGGTGAGCAGCGAGCAATGATCTTGGAGGGTCACGGAAGCAGGAGGGAGGCAGTACTCTGGGGCCTCTGAATGAACGCCACCACAAACTCGATGAAGTTGGCGGTGATCTGGTCTCCCTCGATCTGCAGGTACTGATGGTCGATAGTGATGTTAACTATGGCCCCATGTTGCCCCGTCGGGACGATAGCCTGGTCCGTTTGGATGTGCCCGATGACCAGCTCTCTGTCCTTCGCTTCTCGCAGATGAGTAGAGAGCAGGGCAGCGCCGCTGGGTCCGGCGTCGTCATCTTCCACCACGTAAATGAGGTCGACACCGAGCGCGACCTTTTCCACTTCGAGCAGGCTCCGGTTGCCCAGCAGGGGATCGATAACGATCGACACGTTGGCTGATAGCAGCGCGCTTGTGCTGTTGACCGGCACCAGCTGCATCGACGTGAAGTTGGCCTCCAGTATGAGGCCGGAATGCATCCCTGCAAGCCGGGGTGCGTAAGCACGAGCATGCATGGCAGAGCAGCAGCAGCAGCGGCAGCAGCAGAGTCAAGACAGTGCAAAACCTTCAAGAACCGTTTCCAGTGTGAAGTTCGCGAGAGTTGGTCGGTACAGCGGGATGTCAGTAACATTTGCTTTGGCTGTAAGCAGGTGAACAGAAACGAATCACTGTTAGTTAGAACAAGGCTCGCCAGCCAAAACGAGTGATGCGGGTAAAGTTACCAGCGACGGCGGTCACGTTGCAGGGAAGACCCCTAAGGTAGTTTCCGATCACTTCCTCAAAGAGAGAGATGTTCTGTGGCAAGACGGTGCCCTCCATCATAAGGTAGTTGGCGCCGACTGCGGTGACAGAATTGCCTGGTTAGTCTAAGGCCTACCAGCCACCAGCACAGGCAGGCGCACCATCCATGTTCACCCGCTCCGTGGTATGGGCCATGGCAATGCGAGACCCCTTGTACATGATGTCCATGTGCAACTGCCAAGAGAAAAGTCAATCAACAGCGAGTGCCATAGTAAAAGTGCTACGCATGTGTGGGTACCAAGCCGATGGGTACTATGCTGATGACCGAGGGGTTGAAGATGCTCACGTTGAGCCGCGTGTTGATGTTGGTCTCATTGGACGACGCCAGATCGAACGCTTCGATATTGACGTGCTTGAGTCCGTCAAACGCTTGCAGAGAGGTCCTTCGGTAAGTCACGGTGCCCACTTCCAACCAGGAATGGGCGAGGACCTACCTGGGATGGCCACCACCTTGTCGAACTTGATGCTGTATGACAACCCGAGCACTCCGACCACCGTTGAGCCTGTCTCGGTCCATCAGTAATGGCGCGGGTGAGTGCGTTTTTAGCAAAGAGCCGTGCAGTACCTGAAAGCCGCCACGAGAGGGAATGGGCGTGGATCATATCCTGGCCAAACTGATTGAAGGTGCTCATATCCGCGATTTCCATCAACGCGGAGGTCGCAAAGCCCGTGTCGCCGCCAGTGCTCAGCTGCATGCAGGCCACGCGCGTGAGTAGGTTCATAGTTAGTAAGCTGGATATCCGGGACTACCGGGGCTGTAGTACCGTGATGTCGGGCATCACTGTTCGCCCAAGCAGCTGTTCGCGGTAGTGGACGGCGAGGGGGAAAGAGCGAATCGTCGCCGGCAACAGAGCGTTGGCTTTGATCTTGCCTGGCAGCGGGGGTAAGGTGAGTAGCAGTTAGAGAAGAGAAGAGAAGAGAAGAGAGAGAGAGAGAGAGGAAGAGAGAGAGAGAGAGAGAGAAGAGAAGAGAAGAGAAGAGAAGAGAATTAGGTTGGTGTTGCCTTGATACCTTGGGCGTCGAGGAAGAGGGAAGAGCTGCCGGGCTTTGAGAGCCGGATGAGCTCGAATTCGATGGTGGAGTCGGCCATGAGTGTGTCGATGACCTTGGGGATGATGAGCGTGAAGGTGAGCACCGCCAGCACGGCGAGAAGCAATAGCACGGAGGCTGCACATAGACCAATGGCCCAGCGTGGCACTCGGTGCCCGCAGTGGCGTCGCCTCCACCTGATCGCAACAAACTCGCTGTCAGCGCTACGCTTTGCTTTCAGGCGGTTCTGCGCAGTGGAGCAGGTACCATGCTGCGCAGCGATGGTGGCGCTTGTCGCGCAAAGACTGGGAAAAGCTGTCATCGTCACCTTCGTCGTTCTGCACTCGTCCGTTTGGGAGGCTGTGAGACATTCCCGAGAGGATACCACTGGTGGCAAAGATGGAGGGCCGTGATATGGAGGCGCACCAGGCTGAGGGCAGATCGGCTGAGCAAAGGTTCGCCATCTTCTGTCACGCAGTGCGAAGCGCCCGTTCCCTGTTGAATGCGCGAAGGTGTGCGAATGTGGGACATAGAGATGCAAAAAAAAAACTGTGCAAATTACAAAATATGCAAAGATGCAGCCATACCATGTGGATGTGTTGAAGGCAAGGGGGATGAAATAAGTCCCGAGGGGGGGGGCGTGCCAGCCACGAAGGAATTCGGAAAGAGATAAGGACTCCTCCACTGGCCAGGAACAGGAACACGACAGAGCTGCGGCGTTCGTACCGACAACCACGAGAGTACACCTGGAAAATACCAATTATTCCTCGAAAAAGAAGAGAAAACTGATTATCTCTTCCACTTACTTCAAAAAAGCCATGGTTTTATGGTTTTTGTTGTTGTTGTTGTTGTTGTTGGCCTAGTACAGGACGCTGACAACGCGTGACCCCGTGTCTGGGAAGGGAAGACCTAGTTCTCCCTCTCGTACACAGCGGCGGCACCCATACCCGAACCGATGCACATCGACACCACACCGAAGCGGCTGCAGGTTTTTTTAAAAAAAAAGTGTGCAAAGTCAGCATCCCCCAACGACCAACACAGAACTTCAATCACGAAGAAGGGCAGTGTGCGTACGCGTTGCGGCGCTTGAGCTCGTTGAGGAGGGTGGCAGTCTGCCTGGCGCCGGTGCAGCCGAGGGGGTGGCCGAGGGCAATCGCGCCGCCGTTGGGGTTGACCTTCTCGACGGGGATACCCAGCTTCTGCACGCAGTAGACGGCCTGCGAGGCGAAGGCCTCGTTGATCTCGTAGACGTCGACGTCCTGGAGCGAGATGCCGGCCTTCTGGACAGCGGCGGGGATGGCGACGGCGGGACCGATGCCCATCACGGCGGGCTCGACGCCGACGGCGGCGAACGACCTGAACACGCCGAAGATCGGGAGACCCAGCTTCTGGGCCACGGAGCGCTTGGTGACGATGCACGCGGCGGCGCCGTCGCTCACCTGCGACGAGTTACCAGCGGTGGTGGAACCGCCCTCCTTGAACACGGGGCGCAGCTTGCCCAGCTTCTCGGCGGTGGTGTCAGCACGGACGCCCTCATCTGCGAGAACGCCGAAGCGGTGAGCACGAGCGCACATCAAAGGGGAAGTTGGTCGGGAGGAGAAATAGGGGGGGGGCGAGGTTACCCTGGCTCACGGTGATGGTCTTGCTGTTGCCCTTGTCGTCCTCGACGGTGACAGTCACGGGGACGATCTCGTCCCTGAACTTGCCAGCCTTGATGGCTTCGGCGGCCTTCTTGTGCGAAAGAGCGGCGAACTGATCCTGCGTCTCGCGCGACACGCCATACCGCTCGGCAACGTTCTCGGAGGTCTGATGTACACAAATACGATTTGGAGGTGAGCACCGTGATCGCCTCTGTGGCACTAAGAGATGAAGACGGCCGGCCAACGTCGAGGAGTTCATTACCTGACCCATGTTGAGATAGCAGCCCTTGGCCGAGGGGTGCTGGAGAGCTTCCTGGTTGATGCCGCCGTCCCACCTGTCCATGGAGTTGGAGGACATGGACTCGACGCCACCGGCAATTCCAATATCGTAATAGCCAGCCTCGAAGAGAAGAGACACCTTAGTACACAATCACGTTTCGCCCACACCAGGTCTAGAGAGTACCTTGATGGCCGAAGCGACGTTGGCGATGGCCTGGAGGCCAGACGAGCACTGGCGGTTGACGGTGGTACACGGGACAATGTCGGGCAGACCCGCGAGCAGGGAAGCAACGCGCACTTCAGTGGCACCCTTTATTTTTGGTACAAAAAAAGTCAATGAAAGAAAGCCAGCGAATGGAGGGGGAGTAAAGCAAGATGTGAATCATCGCCAAAATCAATTGGCCGGCGATCCACAACTCGAGCGATATTGAGGAGTGGTGGCTTACCTGAGCGCCAGGAGGGAGCACGGTTCCGATGACGACGTCACCGTAGAGCTCGGGCTTGATCTGAGGGGTGGTCTGGACGAGGTGCTTGAGGACGGGAGCGAGCAGGTTGTCGGGGCCGGTGTTCTTGAACGAACCACGCTTGGCCTTGCCGACGGCAGTGCGCACAGCCCTGGAGATGAGTAATGTAATCGTATATCAGCAATCGATTGCATTACCGTGCGCCTACAAGAAATGGAATTGGTGCGCAAGAGGAAGGGCGGCCTTACTTGACGATCACGATGTCATCAGGCGACTTGACGCCAACGGCAGAGGTGAAGGCGGCCGAGAGGCCCTCCATCTCGCTGTTTTGCTGGGGCTGGATGTGAGCCTCGAGCACGCTGAGTCTGTGGTTGATGCGGGACTGCATGATCGTCTTTCTTCTTGTGCGTGGTTGTGTGTGAGGTCGTGAGTGAATGGGGAAAAACAGATGATTCGAACGCCGCGTCTCTTCCCAAACAACCGCGGCCAAGAGAAAAGCTCCAGGGAAAGGAAGCTTTCCCTTCCCACCGCCGACGAGTCGGACGAAATTCCTCGTGCGCCGGTAATTTTATTTTATCTTATTATTTTTTATTTGACACATTGCATCTCGAGATGCAGTTGAGCGAGATTGGACAAGGCCACTTTGCGTCCTGCCCGACGAAGGTGGCGAAAGGGCACTGCTTGCGAAGGTAGGTTGTGGAATCAACATGTGTTTTACACCGTAGCTGTACAAAATGATATTGGGAGAGGGGGGCAAATATTCTAAGCACAGGTGCCGACGACGGCGTTGGTGGCGATGGAGCAGCTGGGGCTGGAGCCGCCGCAGTGCCAGTCGTCGGTGCACTCGCCCTCGGCCAGGCACACCTCGGCGGCGACGGTCGTCGACCAGAACACGCGCGACTCGCCGTGCGGGCACTCGCACTCGTTGAGCCAGCCGCCGATGAAGCCGTAGTTGCACTGGCACGCCAGCCAGGCGCTCACGGTGCTGGGCGGCGAGGTGGCGATGCACTGGACGCGGTTCCACGACTGGTCGGTGCAGTGCTGGCGCGCGAGGCACCCGCCGGGCGGCTTGCACGCCGGCGCGGTGAGGCCCAGGCCGCTGTTGGCCGGCACGTCCCAGGTGAGGACGTAGTCGGTCGGGCAGTGGCACCCGCCGTTGATCGGGTCCCACTCGAAGGTCTGCGGGCAGCGGCAGTTGCCCGTGGTGTCGCAGAAGCCGTAGGGCGTGCCGCACTGCCAGTCGGCCGTGCAGGTCACCGGCACGCACGACGTGGCGCCGTTGGGGCCGGTGGCGCCCGGCACGAAGCCGTCGTCGCACAGGCACGTGTACACGGCGGTCTCGGCCGTGGGCGAGGCGTAGTCGGCGTTGCAGTGCGAGTGGAGCGGGCACTCGTCGCAGGCCGGGCGGCAGGCGTCGACGCACTTGGGGCTATTGATGGCCGTGTGCGAGCAGTGCACGACGGGGTCCACGAGCGCGTTGGTGGCGTGGAAGTTGCGGCACGTGGTGGTGTTGGAGGCCGTCTTGTAGGGGCACTCGCCCTCGGGGTGGCCGGCGGCGCGGGCGTCGAGCACGTTCATGAACTCGATGCAGGCCTCGACCGTGGGGTAGACCTGGAGGTCGCCCTGGCAGGTGGCCATGATCTTCTCGCACAGGCGCGGCACGTCGGGTTCGTTGTTGGCCGCGTAGATGGGCATGATGGCGAGGTCGTTGATCACGATGTCCGACCTGATGCGGTCGCTGCACTCGGCGAACACGAGGGTCTCGAAGTTGCGCGTGCCGCCCGTCACGAAGTAGTACTGGCCGGGCACGGGCGAGTCCCAGATGGGACCCAGGCGCACCACGCACGTCTGCCAGAACTGGACCGTGTCGTTGTTGGGGCCGGACCACTCGATCGAGGGCTCGTCGAGGGTGAGCTCCAGGCGGCCCTGCCACAGCTCCTGGATGAGCGGGTGCGAAAAGTTGAACAGCACGTAGCCGTACTCCTTGGCCACCTCGAGCGTGTCGAAGGTGCCGATGCCGCGGATGGTCAAGTGGACGTCGTCGGTGTAGTAGCGGTCGCACACCGCGGCGTAGTTGTCCACCTCGCCGTTGAGCCGCTCTTGGTAGGCCCGGATGGCCGTCAGCCGCGCGGCCTGCAGCTCGGCGGGGCTCTGCGAGCAGGTCACCGCCTGGGCCGCCGCGACGAAGGCCAGCACGCCCAGGAGCACCAGCACCAGGAATGGTCGCAGGCCTGATCGGGCCATCGTGTTGGTAGCGAGAGGAGAGTGGGAAGGGGGGGCAAGAAGGGGAAGAACTAAGTGCAAGGGGTGCTTGCAATGCGGTTGTGAAAGTCGTAAATGAGTGAGTGGGGAGTGGGGCGGTGTGCTTGGCCTTTTATCCTGCGTGCCCAACGATTCGCTGAGCCGATTTGGCATCCCGTGTGGCGCTGACACCTGAGCAAGGGGCCACCGAACACGACCTACCGCCGTGTCGAGCCAACTTATGGGACCAAAAGGCGGATATCACAGGCTACTATAAACAGACTGAGGATTCTGTGCGTGGTGTAACTGGTTGCTTACCTAATCACCACCGTATTGCAAAGCAGAGTTAAAGTTGGAGCATTCTTGAGATTGTGTCGACATATATCGCACGGCACGCCTACGATTGGACATCATTTTATCGCACAGGGGACGCACGGGTGCACCGTGCTTCTGATGATGACCGGCAGAAAGTGATTGGCTCGAACCAACTCGCGCTGTTTTTCACGGCAAAAAGTGAACGAGAAAGGGGTCTTTCACGTCTCTCTTGAAGAAAAGAAGAAAAGATACATGAAATGGCAACCCAAGCGGGGTAGAGCGCCTAGAGGGAGGCGCAGGTGCCGACTATGGCGCTGGAGCTGACCGTGCAGCTGGCGCTCCCGCAGTGCCAGTCGTCGGTGCACTCACCATCTGCGAGGCACACCTCGCCCTGGACCGTCGACGACCAGAACACGCGCGACGCACCGAGCGGGCACTCGCACGGGCTTGTCCACCCGCCCACGAAGCCGGGGTTGCACTGGCACGCCAGCCACGCACTCACGGTGCTGGGCGGCCGGGTGGCCGCGCACTGGACGCGGTTCCACGACTGGTCGGTGCAGTGCTGGCGCGCGAGGCACCCGCCGGGCGGCTTGCACGCCGGTCCGGTCAGTCCGAAGGTGTTGGTGGCGGGCACGTCCCAGGTGAGGACGTAGTCGGTCGGGCAGTGGCACCCGCCGTTGATCGGGTCCCACTCGAAAGTGTACGGGCAGCCGCAGCGGTTCGTGGCGGTGTCGCAGAAGCCGTAGGGAGCGCCGCATTGCCAGTCGGCCGTGCAGGTGGCGGGCACGCACGACGTGGCGCCGTTGGGGCCGACCGAGCCGGCTACGTAGCCGTCGTCGCAGGCGCACGCGTACACGGCCACCTCGGTGGTGGCGTTGGCGTAGGTGCCCGTGCAGTGCGAGTGGGCCGGACAGTTGGCGCAGGGCGGCAGGCAGGTGTCGACGCACTTGGGGCTGTTGATGGCCGTGTGCGAGCAGTGCACGGCGGGGTCCACGAGCGCGTTCGTGGTGTGGAAGCTGCGGCACGCGGTCGAGTTGGAGGTAAGCCGGTAGGGGCACGCCGACTCGGGGTGGGCAGTCTGGCGGGCGTCCAGGGACTGCATGAAGGCCATGCAATGCGCGACCGAGTCGTACTGCTGGAGGTCGCCGGTGCACCGGACCATGATGCGGGTGCACAGGGTGCCGATGTCGATCTCGTTGTTGGCCGTGTAGATGGGCATGATGGCGCGGTCGCTCACGACGATGTCGGACCTGATGCGGTCGCTGCAGGCCTCGAAGTGGAGGGTCTCGTAGTTGCGCACTCCGCCGCTGGCCAGACGGAACTGGCCGGGCTGGTCGAAGATGGGCGCCAGCTTGACGTCGGCCGTCTGCCAGAACTGGACCGTGTCATCGTCGGGCCAGGTGATGGTGGGCTCGTCGAGCACCTGGAAGAGCTTGCCTTGGAACAGCTCGTGAAGGTCGATGGCGAAGGTGGACTCGTTGAAGAGCACGTAGCCGTACTCCTTGGCCACCTGCAGCGTGTCGAACGAGCCGATGCCGCGCAGGACCATGCGCGTGTCCTCCGTGTAGTAGCGGTCCGACGCGGTGATGTAGTGTGCGAGGTCGAAGTTGAGGCGGCTCACGTAGGCTCGGGTGGCATTCAGACGGGCTGCGCGCAGGGTGACGGGGTCGGTGGCGCAGGTTGTTCCACCATGGACCACCAGCGCTGTAGAGGAGAGAACGCCCAGCAGGGCGATCCACATGAGCAAAGTGGCGGGGGAAGGCATAGTATAGTGTAGCTGGTTGTGGATGTTGAGAAGAATGAGTTGGGAGTGGTGAAACAGGCCGGGTTTATAAACTGTACCCCTCTCTTTGCGCAACACACTTTGACAGAAGTTAACTTGTGGAAGTTGGTTTCGGTTGAAAGCCAAATTAGGTAGGTCGTATCGCCTCAGAAGCCCAGCTCCTGACCTGGTTGGAGGATCGAAGTATCACAGTAAGTGGGCAAAGCGAGAATCGATCTATGGTCGCGGCAATGACCTCGATATGGCAAACAGGCCCGCCTTCCGACTAACTCTTTCGGCCTTGCTTATTGGTCCTCATTTTGATTCGCCGGTACGAGATGGCGCCTCCCTGCAGGTGGTGCAAGGAAAGCTGAGTTGGCGCAAGTATTCGATGCCCGTGTGTTGCAGCAAGCCGAAGACGACCCGTCCTTGTGAGCGCGGATGGTGGCACGTGATGGCCGCGGCCATGGAAATCGATCGTTGATGGAGGTAAGCCGGTAGCGCCTTATGCGTCGCCTTCAAACACTTTTACAACATTGTGGGCGAAGGACAACTGGCGAGACCTCCACAGAGCAGGCCTCCGCGTATGCCCTAATATTGGAGGAAATTTCGACGGCGTTCCCTACCATCATGCATCGGCCAATAGTCCACACTCACTTTCTGCGCTTCTTACCCCCAACACACAAACCAAACGAACATCATCCACCGCCACGCAACTTGCACACCATGAGCGACACACCCCTCGGCATACCTTCCCACCACCAGTACGAGCAGGGCCTCCATGTACTTCGTCACCTCGAGAAGGAGCTGCTCGGGCGCAACGACCGGAACAAGGTGGTCGAGCTCACCAACCAGTACTACACGCTCATCCCACACGCCTTCAGCGGAGGCCGCCAGCGACCGCCGCTGCTCGACTCGGATGAGGCCGTGCAAGCCGAGATAAAGAGCGTGGAGGACCACCTCCTGGGCCACCACCACCAGCAGCATCAGCACCCTCAGCAGCTCGACTCGTCCGTGTGGCAGTTCGACTCGCGTCACGGCTGGTTCGACTTCGACCTCGACGCCTCGCAGCAGATCGAGGACGCCTGGCGGGCGCACGAGCGAGACCCCAACAACGACCAGTACCACCAGGCCGAGGTCAAGAGCGGCCCCGACGGGTGGCGCTACAGCGTCAACTTCGACCAGATGACCGAGACCAACCTCGACCACGAGCGACACCGCGTGCGCAACATCAGGCGCGTGCCCGCGTCCATGTCGCGCCGCGCCACCCCCAGCATGGCCATGTAGAGAGAGAGAGAGAGAGAGGCCTTAAAATCAAAACATTTTCACACTCTTTTGCCCTGAAGGAAGAGGGAAGCGGGAGTAGACCGCTTTTCTCTCAGTCGCGCTTGCTCGACGAACGAGCCGTCGTGGACGGAGAAGGGACATCCCACGACCAGTCGTCGCCATCGTTGTTGGCCTTCTTGCCGCCACCGCCGCCGCCGGTGGTGGTCGTGCCGACGTCGTCCCACCCGGAGAGGGGCGTGTCGTCGGGGTCGTCCCACCCGTTGCTGCTGGGGATCGGCGTCGACCAGCCGTCATCCGCAGCCGCAGCCGTCTCATTGCCGCTGCCGCTGTGGCTGAGAGACGCGCTCGCCGCCGGCTTCCTCGAGGCGCTCGGCGTGGACCTCTTCTCCTCGCTCCGCTTGCTCCTCCGACGATCGCCGCCGTCGTCATCGCTGTCTGAGGACCATGCGATGTCATCCCACCCGTTGCCCACCTTCTTGCTCTTGCTGCTGCTGCTGCTGCTCTCCTTCTTCCTCCTCTCGCCACCGCCGCTGTTCTTCTTCTCTCTCCTGCCGCCGCTTCCGGTGCTACTCTGCAGCTGCGACCTTGACGACGACGGCCGCTCGCCGCTGGAGCCCCAGCTCGAGTTACCCCATCCGTTCCCGTCGTCCTGCTGCGATTGCTGCTGCTGCTGTGGATAGCCGCCGTCTCCGAATCCGCCCGAGCGTGGCTGCTGCGGTTGGTGCTGCTGCTGCCCGCCGGAACCTTGCTGAGCGCCGCCCTCGGTTGGGTAGCCGAGCCACGAGGAGACGGTCGGGTCGACGATAGACTGCTTGGCCTGTTGCCAGTAAGACGACACGAGGCCCCAGCCCTGCGACGACGTCTCGACCATGGTCTGCTTCCACGCGTTGGCGTCCTCGCTCCACTTGCGCTCCTGGATGTTCTTGGTCACCGTGCTCGTGGACTCCGCCAGCTTCTCCACGCCGACCGACGCCGCTGTACACGCCCACAGAGGGAAGAGGGGGGGGGGGCGTCAGCCAACCCCAAATAAAGGCCAGCGGCACACTGTGGTGGCGTCGAGCTACATACCAACTGTGAGCTTCTGCAGGCCGGCGTTGAGATAGGATAGGTATTCGTCCGTGTTCCAGTCGTCCTGCTGCCTTGGCTGCTGGCCGTTGCCTAAGGAGACATTCAAGTCAGTCTGGAAGATCAAACCCCCCGGGGGGGGACGTTGCTGGTGGGTTGGGGGGAGGGCGAACCCTGGGAGTTGCCGTAGAAGTCATCGCTGGAGATGGCCTGCGAGGTGCGGAACCGCTGGAGCTGCTCGTTGTCGCCGTTGTAGGCGTGAGTGCGCAGCGCACTCTCGCGCGACTGGCCCGACCCCGACGCGGAGTCGACGGATTCCATGGAGGGCGGGGGACGTCTCTTGTCCCTGGAGCCTCGCTCTCTGTCCCTGTCCTTCCTATCTCGGTCGCGCCTGCCGCTGCTGCTGCTTCCCTTGTCGTCTTCGTCCAGCCATCGCTCCCAGCTGTCATCCTGTATCGTGGCCCGAGTCTCTCTCGCTAAGCAGTTGCACGGTGGAATCATGCCTGCGGGGTGTAGGGACAGTACCTTCTTGCCGCGACTGCCACTCCCACTGCCGCCGCCGCTGCTATTCTGGGAGGAGTTCCCGCTGGAGCCAAGCGAGCCCAGACCGCCCTGGCTGGAGCGGAAGGTGGGCTTCTGCTTCGGCGATTGCCACGGCTTGCCCTGGAAACAACAACCGCATGTGAGCGCAACCGTGGCTGCTTGCTGCGCTCGCCGCGGGCGGACACATGAGAGCCTCGAGCAGTGCTGGCGCGGGGTACCTCGGCCAAGCGGTTGATCTTGTCCTTGTAGACCCGGCAAACCTCGCTGTTGTATTTGTCGACGAGACTGGCGTTGGCGGGCACTCCGTGCTCCTCCATGTACCGCTTGAAGTTCCCATTACCGCCCAGCTGTAAGACAGCGCGCAACAGAACCAATCACCGCCGGCGTTAGACGAGGGCGCGCAAGGTAGGAAAGAAAGACGAAGAGAGAGGCGGGTGTGCTTGAGCACCTGCATCATCTTGAGCTGCTTGGGTGCCCAAGTGTCCATCGTGACGCTCCGCACGAAGCTGTGTGCATGCCATGAATGACCCCGATCACACACACACAACAAACGGCCGTCAGGTGGGTCGAGAACGACAACAACAACCAACAATGGCAACAATAAAGGCAAGTGGGCAGACCTGAGGTGAACGCCAAGACTTCGGTGCTGGCCGGAACACTCCAGACAAATGAAGGTACCATACGACACTAAGGCCAAAAAAAGATGGAGGGCAGACGTGAGCTAGGAGGAAAAGAGGAGTGAAAGAACAGCGCCAACGAGTGTTTTGAATGCAGAAAGCCAAGGTACCTGAAGCCCATTGAGGATTGCTGGTTCCGCATTCCACGCAGCCCTGTCACCAACAAGAGAAATCGCGCAGGGATGCAAGTGAGGCCTCGATTCTTTTTGCATTCGTCTCTTCGAACCGAGGAAGTGAATTGAAAGGGGGGGGGTTTCAGAAATACCAAATTGCTGGGATCTTTGCGCAGCTCGGCAAAGAAAGCGCGTGTTTGAGGGTCCATTCCACAATGTGTTAGTAATGGTTATATTATTGAATGGGGAGGAGTCTTGCTCCTCCGGTCACCGGGCCGTCCGTGTTCGTTGCTACCTTTGACTTGTCGTTTCCTTTTGCTTCCCCTGACCGCGGGAAACACTCCGCCAGGTTAAGGTGGCGCAGCGAAATCATGATTAAAAAGTCTTTTTCTCTCTGCTCGCCAAAAAGGAGCACACCAATCGGAGGCCACGACCTTTGCCTTTCGAGACCGAAAGAAACTCTGCCCACCTTGTTGGAAGAAAAGCCGACGACTCATAAGAGGAGCTATGAAGGCGGTGGCGCTTCTTCTTGTACTCTTGCTGGCGGGATGGGCTGCCGGCGAGCAGATGGAGCAGGACGATCCCATCAAGCATGAGTTCTTGAGGCTCCTGAACGAATGGCGAGGGCTCGTCGAACTGCCGTGGCTCTTCCTGAACAACAAGCTCATGGAGTCAGCTCAGCGCCGCGCCGACGAGATGGAGCGAAAATCGGAAATCGGTCTCGAGTTCGTCTCCCCTCCCCCCCCCAATAACGTGGCCCTATGAAGTTTGGGGGGATTTTACTGCCTGTACGAAGGAAGTCTGACGTCCAAACTGATCCCACCAGTTCTGAGGACGGCAAGTCGATCGCACAAGAGCTGAATGAGGCCGGCTACCAGGTCACACGCTGGACATACGACGTGTCGCAAGGCATCATCGACGCCAAGCAGGCCCTAAGCGTTTTTGTCGAGGATAACGGCTCCCGCGCTCACTTGAGGGACGCCTTCGTCAAGGAGGCCGGTACATTCCCAACACTCTCTACCCGCATCACTCATGACGCAGTCCAGGGAACTCACATGAGTGGCGGTGGACGCGGTGGGTTGGCGCACCAGGCGTGGGCTTCTCCGCTGAGGGCGGCCGATGGGCGATCCTGCTGGCCAGGCGGCAGAGCGAGTGCGGCAACGGACTGGTCGAGGCTGAAGAGGAGTGCGACGTTGGCGACACCTTCGACGAGTGCTGCACGTCGGAGTGCAAGATCGGAGAGAGCTGCGATTGCTACCAGCCCGAGAACAGCCCCACCACGACGTGCTCACACTGGTGAGGGCGGATCTCTCTGTGCTCAAGAGCGAGAAGGAGGAGGAAGAAACATCTCAAGGGGAGGTGGGGCAGTTTTTTTTGTCCATGTTGCCTTTTTTTCTTTGTTGGTTGGCCCCGCGAGGTCATCATTCGCACAGCGTGGGGCCAGTGCGAGTCGCTCCAGAGCCTCGCGTTCTCTAGGTCAGGGATTGGAGGCCCCCTACGTGGTGGCAAGGCTTCTAGTAGCTCCGGCCCCAGAGGGTCCAGGCCTTGGCGGCGCTGCCGCAGGCGAAGCACTTGTGCTCGGGCTTGAGCTCGGGGTGGTTGAAGGGCTTGCAGAGGGTCTTGGCAGCCGCCTTGAGACCGAAGCCCTTGGCGTCATCCTCCTCCTCGGCGGCCTTCTTGTCCTCGGCCTTCTTCGCCGCCTCGTCGGCCACCTGCTTCTCCTTGCCCTTGGCGGACTCAACGTGGGCCACCTCCTTGGCGACCTCGGCGACGACTTGCGTGTTGCCCTCGAGCTGAGCCAGCCGGGCAGCGAGCTTGGTCATCTCCTGCTTCACCTTGGCGATCTGCTCCTTGCGCTCCTTCTCGGCCTTGGCCTGCTTCTCCTGCTCGGTGTCTTCCTTCTCCTCCTTGCCACCGCTCCTCTTCTTGACCTCGTTCTCGCACTCCTTCTCGTCGCACCAGGGAGTGAGCACCAAGTTGCCGCCATCAAGCACCTTCATGAACTCTGTACGTGTGCGTTGCCGGAGAGCGAGAGATTGGTAAGCGGTGGGCGCAGCAACTTGCGATTCCCATAGCTAGATGTGCGTGCGCGCGTTGAGCTGTTGCCTGGATGCCGGCCGTGCGTGCGTGCGTGCGTGCGTGCGTGCGTGCGTGCGTGCGTGCGTGGCATACCATCAAAATCGAAGGCCTGCTTCATCCTGGAGTCACGCTCGGCCTTGGCCCTCTGGAACATGCTGTCCTGAATCTCCTCCAGCATGGCGCTCACCTTGCCGGCGATGCCCTCGAGAGGAACGGTGACCTGGGCAATTCCAAAAACGCGGTCAGTGATAGTTGCCTATCGCGGTTGGTGGTGAGTTCTCTTTCTGAGAAGTGGCTTGTTTTACCTTCTTCTTGGACGCATCATCGCCCTCCCTCCAGTCCCTCCTGGCGAACACGCATTGGTTGTTCTCGAGATCCTTGGGGCCAAGCTCAATACGCAGGGAGACACCCTTGGTTTCCCTAATGAATTGGTTGGGGAATCGTTAGCTCCCGCAGTGAGCGATTTGAAGGATAGAGACTTCCATCCGCCGTCCATCCCAGCCACCAAATGTTACAATCACTGCCCGAAGGGGGAGGGCATGGGTACCAATGGTTGTACTTCCAGCCGGGGGTGTAGTTCGTTCGGTCATCAAAGTGAGCCCTGATGCCAGCGGCGAGGAGCTGATCGACCACCTCGACGGCCTTCGCGTCCAGAGCCGCGTTTTGCGTCTCCTTGTAGTAGATGGGCACGACCACCACCTGAGGGGGGAGGGGGAGGGGGAGGGGGAGGAGAGAGAGAGAGAGAAGACAAGCGATGCACAGTGTTAGAAGGCTCTATTATAGCGAGCTGTACCCACTGTCCCTTCAACGGGAAATGGTGGTGGTAAATACCTGAATAGGGGCAACGCGAGGAGGCAGAACCAAGCCCTTGTTGTCTCCGTGCACCATGGTGAGCACACCCAGAGTCCTGGTCGTGAGACCCCAAGAGTTCTGCCAGGCGTAGAGCTTGTCTCCAGGCTTATCGGGATCCTCGAACTGAATGCTGAACATCTTGGCGAAGTTTTGGCCCAGGCAGTGCGACGTCGCTCCCTAAATGGTACGTCACACAGATGATCGCAAAAAAAAAATGCGTTAGTGCGTTTTGTTTGTGTTGCGATCGTCATGACTTTTGCCATGCAAGCAGTTCCGCATTCACTCCCCCACCCCCAAAATAATTTGTTTTTGAGACGGTACCTGAATGCCACGACCGTTCTGAGGGATGAAAGCTTCCACGGTGGTGGTGTAGAGACCACCGGCGAACTTCTCTTCCTCGGACTTCTTGCCGGGCACGACGGGCACGGCAAGGATCTCCTCGTAGACGCGCCTGTAGAGGTCCAGAATGTCGAGCACCTCCTTGCCGGCTTCCTCGAGGGTCGCGAAGGCGCTGTGACCTGAAAACAAACGAACGTGCGCGATCGGTTAGATCAATGGCCGATTGGGTACAATTTCGCGCAAACAAAGGTGACCCCGTGCGGAGCTTATCCACCCTCTTGTTGTTGTCGTTGTTGTTGTTACCTTCTTGCCAAAGGAACTCCCTGGTCCTGAGGAAGGGGACGGGGTGCTTGAACTCCCAACGGATGACGTTGGCCCACTGATTCAGCTTGAGAGGCAAATCGCGGTGCGAGCGAATCCACTACACGCAAAAAGGGAAAGCATGAGCAATTGCGCAAGTGAGCGCACCGGGCAAAGGAATGCAACTTATTAATTATAAAAATAAAAACAAAATGCACGCTGCATGCGCTGGAAAGCCACCCGTCATGTACCTTTGCGTAAGCAGGGTACATGATGGTCTCAGAGGTGGGACGAATAGCGACAGGCTCCTGCATCTCGGACTGTCCGGAACGAGTCACCCACGCGACCTGGCAAGAGAGAAGAGAGGGGGGGAGACCGCGGTTAGCACAAACCAACATGCGTGAGTCTTCTCTTTCTCTCTCTCCGGGAAGAGGACGTAGAGGAGGACCCGCAGGTGGAAGGGGGGGTCGAGGTACCTCGGGAGCGAAGCCGGCAATGTGGTCGGCCTCCCTCTCCAGGGCGTCCTTGGAGACGAGGCAGGGGAAGTAGGCGTTGCGGACGCCCAGCTTCTTGATTTCGCCATCGAAGAAGCCCTGCACGATCTCCCACATGCGGTACGACCAGGGCCTGAGGATGTAGCAGCCCGAGATGTCGTAGAACTCGATGAGCTCAGCCCTCGTGATGACCTCCTTGTACCACTTAGGGAAATTGTCTTCCTTGCGCGTGGTGATGCCCAGCAGGGACTCCTTCTGCTGGCCGCCTCCGGCTTTCTCATTCTTTTTAGGGGCGGCGGCGGGCTTGGCATTGGCAGGCTTCTCCTTCTTGACGACGGGTTTCTTCTTCTTTTCCACGGGCTTGGCCTTCCAATCGGCCTTGAGTGACACAATCTCCTTTTGCTGTAATAATAATAATAATATATATATATATATATATAGCACACATGGACATCGCGAAGTGAGAATCATTAACGAGCCTAGAGATATTTAATTGTTGTTTGTGTTCCGGAAAATCGAGCTTTGAAATCAGATCCAAGGGATTCTCGTGTGGCGACGGGAGGGGGTACAAACCTTTTCGGCCAATTGAGTCTTAATTTCCTTGAGGCGGTTCTGGATGGACTCAATCTTTTCCTTGTCGCCACCAGAAGTGCGCAGGGCGAGGAATTCCTCAGTGAGGGCCTCCTGCTGATCCCTAATGGCGTAGAACTCAACCTCGAGCGACTCCAATGTGGCCTCCATCATGTGTGTGTTGAATTATGATTTTTGATAGGCAAGAGAGATCTGCGAAGGTGGGGGGCGGGACCAAACCAGGCTCAGCGTTTGCGTTCCGGGATTTTTCTCGCTGCCTGTTCTTGTTCGGCTGTTATACAAAACCATTACAAAACGTTTCGGACTGGAACAGTTGGCCGAGCAACGCCGTGGGGGGAAAAATGGGGGGAGCGTAATGCCGGGCGCTCAGCCAACCAGAACACGCCCCGTCGTCTAGTGGGTGCCTTGCGCGACGCCTCGGACCAGCTGGCGGGGGGGAAAAGAGACAGCGGGGCAGAAAAAAACACTACCACCAACACCCTTCTTACCCTTCGCACCGACTTCCTCCCCGTCCTCTAGAAAGCAGCATGTCCTGGCAGACGTACGTCGACACCAACCTCGTGGGCACTGGCGCCGTGACTCAGGCCGCCATCATCGGCCACGACGGTAACACGTGGGCCACCTCTGCTGGCTTCGCCGTGAGCCCCGCTAACGGCGCTGCTCTGGCCAACGCCTTCAAGGACGCCACCGCCATCCGTTCCAACGGCTTCGAGCTCGCTGGCACGCGTTACGTCACCATCCGCGCTGACGATCGCTCGGTCTACGGTAAGAAGGGCTCGGCTGGTGTCATCACCGTCAAGACCTCGAAGGCCATCCTCATCGGTGTCTACAACGAGAAGATCCAGCCCGGTACCGCCGCCAACGTCGTCGAGAAGCTCGCTGACTACCTCATCGGCCAGGGTTTCTAAGCTGCTGCTCTTCCCGTCGTGTCCCCCCCCCCTTTGTACCCACTCTTTCTTCCCTACGCCCGCTCTCTCGCTGAGGTGCTCAGCGCAGCTGTGGTGCGATTTGTCCAGTGTACACTCAATCAAAAACGCGGCTCAAACCACCGTTTTTGCCTTTACATCTCCAACGAACCGCCCCCCCCCCCCAAAGACCACGCGGCTTCGCCGCTTCCGTGGTGATGGCGGCTCTCTCCGGATCGATCTCTCTGTGTCGCCCCAAAGACCCACACGAGCGAAGTGACGGCGCCCAACAGCCGTTGGAGTATCTTTTTGTTTTGTTTTTTGTTTTGTTTTGTTTATGTGTGTGTGTGTATGTGCAGAGACAGAGATGTTCGCTCTCTTCTCACGTGAAGATCTTCTTGGCCATGGCGTCCTTTATGCCTTGCTTAAGTGGAGCCTCCGCTTTCTCCAACTTGTTCTGATCGTCCACAGCACCCGTGATGAGGGGCAGATTGGTCTCCAGGACCATGCCGCCCATCACCAACTCGTCGAGGATGTGATGCACCTGCGCGCGCGCGCGCGACATGACCATAACGCACAGCCACGATTCTGAGTGAGCTCTTTTCCGCACGTGATGGGAGTGTGTGGTGTGTGTGTGTGTGTTTGCGCGTGTAAGTGCTGTGGCGGCCGCGGGAGTGGGCCACACATGGGGCGTGCACGCTTTGGCACGCACACAGCGCACAGCGAGAAAAATATCACTTCGCGCGCGCGCGCACCTTGTCGGCGTGGAAGATGAGGTCGAGCTCGCACACGTTCTCGAAAGATTTGTCGAGCGCTTCAACGAAGATGTGAATGAGATCGAGGATGCCCAGCTCGCTTTCCGAAGAGTCCACGCAAAAGACGAAGTAGAGTGTGGCGTAGTGTCGATAGATGAGCTTCGTGTCGCTGCCCCACTGATCCCCTCCCTCCACGAAATTGCACATGAGGTCCGACCTCTTCGACACCAAGTTGAAGCACTCTCGGATTAGCTTCTGCTGCTCATCCACGCTCTGCGTGATTTTGTTGTTTTGTGTAAACGTGCGGGTGAGTGTGTGTGTATGTTTGCCAAACACACGACGGCGAGAGTTCGAAGAGGTCACAGGCCAACATGATACTCGTGGGGGGGGATGTGAAAATTAAATTGTGTGTGTTTCGGTTCCGGGAGGAAAGACTTACGTGATAGTCGAAAAACTTACTCAATCGAGGCTTGCCATGATTGTTGACGATGAGGATAGCATAAATCATGGCGCGTTGAGCCCTCGAAGCTGATTCAAAGGTAAATGATGATAACGAAGAGATTGGGAAGCGAGTTTCTTCGCGAGAAATTGGCACAGAAAAGAGCAGCGAGAAATGCCGCAAGAAAAGCAGTGGAGGAGAAAGCGGCCGCAAGGGGGCCGCGAGAGGTGGCTGGGGCGGACTCTCTGGGCTTTCCTTTTCTCGGATGGCACCTGGTTTTGGGTGTATGCCTCGTAATGGTAAGTGCCATGCTATCGGTTGGCTAAGGGTTGTTAGGCCGGGGGGGGGGGACTAAGAGCCTTCTTGCCAGGAGGGGAGGAAGACACCGCGCGCGAGGTGTGTTGAGCGATAACACACCGACATCAAGGCGAGCCCTCGCTTGAGGGAAGGCGCTCCGCAACACCCCAATGCAGGCGAACAACGAGTTCTTGATCCCCGCCGGAGGGGTGGAGGATATGATCACTCTGCCCAGGCTCTCAGAAGGGGCTCTCCTCTACAATCTCAGGGAGCGCTACGACAATGGCTTCATCTACGTACTTATTGCTTCTCCTCTTCTTCACGCATTCACCTGTCTGATATCTATTTACACCTTCTCAATCCCTTGGTTGTGGTTGAGTTGGACGGACATCCAGACGTACACCGGCACGATCCTTGTATCGGTGAACCCCTACCAACGACTCCCCATCTATGGTCCCGACATCCTCAAGACCTATCTGGGCAAGGTACATCCCCCCCCCAATCTCCCCGGTTGCTTGGTGTTGAACACGCTCTTTTGTGGTACGCGCGATATCCTCAGCGTTTGGGAGCCATGCCTCCACACATCTTTGCCATTGCCGATGCGGCCTACACAGACATGATGGGCAATCAACACAACCAGTCCGTCATAATCTCGTGCGTCACTCCCCTTTGCCACCTCCTCGCCCTTTATCACACAAAACGAAAAGAAAAGAAAGAAAGAAGAGTGCTGACACCACCACCGCCAATGTCCTTTCTCCCTTCTTCGCGACTCCACAGTGGAGAAAGTGGAGCTGGCAAGACTGAAGCGACCAAGCTCATCCTGCAGTATTTGGCCCACAAGACCAACAAGCACTCGGAGGTGGAAAATAACATTCTGGAGGCCAACCCAGTGCTCGAAGCGTTCGGTAATGCTGCCACTGTCCGCAACAACAACTCTTCTCGATTCGTACGTCACCCTTCTTCCCGCCGTCGCATGTGTAACACGAGTGTGCTCTCTCTCTCTCTCTCTCTGACTGTCGCTTTTTATACAACACTGTTGCTGCACGCGTGTGCAGGGTAAGTATGTTGAAATCCACTTCGAGAGCGGCGGCACACAGATCTCAGGAGCTAGCATGCGCAACTGTACGCCAGCCAGCTCCTCCTCCTCCTCCTCCTTTGTTGGTGGGCACATGTAAATGGTGAGATGCGGCACGCACGTGGCTTATCATATGATTCAATCGTCGTTTGGCATGCCAGACTTGCTTGAGAAATCGCGCGTCGTCAACCAGACAGAAGGAGAACGAAACTACCACATCTTCTATTGCTTGCTGGCTGGCGCCTCTGAAGCCGAGAAGAGTATTATCCCCTCCGAACGGCACACAACAATTAATTGTTCCTCACGACTCATACTGGCCGCCCCTCCTCAACAACACGTGTACGTGCAGAGATGTGGAAATTGACTGGATGTAAAGATTTCCGCTACACCAACCAGTCCTCACTGACCGAGCTCCCTGGAGTCGATGATGGAGAGGACTACACGCGAGTCAGGGTATGCCGTCCGTTTTTCTTGCTCGCCTCTTACTTAATGAAGTTCAGCTGAAGAGAGAGCATAAACCTTGTGCATGGCTTATCGCGGCCCACACGCACACAGTCGGCCATGGGAATGCTGGGCCTCAGTGACCAGGAGCAGATCGACATCTTTGCCATCGTCTCCGCGATTCTTCATCTTGGCAATGCTCGCTTCGCGACCAAGGTATTGTGCGCCTCTCCACCCAAGCAGCTGCGTCGTTTCGTCGTCTCCCTAAAACCGAATGTCCGTTCGCACACTTTGAATTGTGCGCGCAGACCGAGGACCCAAGGCCGGGCGGCACCATTCGCAAGGTCCAGCCATGTGTTGAGAATCCTGAAGGTACGCCTCAGGAGCTCCTCCTTGAGTCCCTCGTCGCGTAGTGATCCCGCAGGCGTCTCTACCAAGCCGAGCTCACGAGTGGTGTGCTAATATTAACGCGGTCTTCTTCCATCACCCGCACACAGCTGTTGCCTTCGTTGCCCAATTGCTTCAAGTGGAGCCTAAAGGCCTGGAGGAGGCACTCCTTATCCGCACTAACATCGTGGGCAAGGAGGTGTTCAAAGTGCCGCTCACCCTCGTCGAGGTCCCTCCCCACTACTGTCCTTTGTGCATTCAAGATTCGTTGCTATTTGCCACACTCACACTCACACGCACACGCACATCTACGCTCATCCAATGCATGCCCGCAGGCTGCCGAAGCAAGGGATGCTCTGGCCAAGGCGCTGTACGATCGTCTGTTCAACTACCTCGTAAACCGCATCAACAAGGTACACCGCCGGAGTAGTAGTTCCTCCTGGCATGGCCACCGAGCCTCACCACCTGTCAAATGTTGTTGCGCAACTGGTGGCACGACGCCCAACCAACAGGCCATCGCGGGTAAACCCAAGGGCAAGACGTCGTTCATCGGTGTGCTTGACATCTTCGGGTTCGAGAACTTCGTGGTGAACAGCTTTGAACAGTTCTGCATCAACTACGCCAACGAAAAGTTGCAGCAGCACTTCAACCAGCACATCTTCAAGCTGGAGCAGGTTCGGTTCACGAGAAATCCTCTTGCTGCTTCATCTATAGATGATTTGGCTGGCTACTAACTAACTCTGTTTGCATCCCTTCATCTTCATCAGATGGAGTACGAGCGGGAGGGAATAAGCTGGTCGTCCATCAAATACAACGACAATCAGCTTTGTCTGGATTTGATCGAAGTGGTTCGGCCTCCCGGAATTCTTGCTCTCCTTGACGAAGAGTCGCGCTTCCCGAAGGTACAGAGCGTGCTACAGACAAAGGCCTGCTGCGTGCGTGTGCTGCTTGTACCGACATGACGGGTTGTTTGTTAACGCCTTGTGGCGGGCTCTGCTCTGGCGCGCAATCAGGCGTCGGACGATTCGCTGCTTGAGAAACTGCACAAGGCACACGAAAAGCATCAGCACTACGAAAAGCCCAAGAAGAGGGGACCCAACTTCATCGTGAGGCATTATGCTGGAGATGTGCGCGACCACTTCCAGAAAGATGAGTGCCAGGTGGTCGCTACTGACTGTGGAATGTGTGTGTGTGTGTGTGTGTGTGTGTGTGTGTGTGTGTGTGTGTGTGTGTGTGTGGGAGATATCCAGGTCTCATACGACACCGGAGGCTTCCTGGAGAAGAACAGGGACACCCTGGGCAGCGACATCCTGGCGGCGGTGCAAACCTCCAAGTTGCAGCTGGTCCTCTCGCTCTTCCCCGACAAGGTCGATATCGGCGGAAAGAAGCCGCCTACGGTGGGTATGCAGTTCAAGGTACCTACCGCGCAGTCGCCTACCTTTCGTGTTGATGGTGCCTTGCCTAACTTGAATGCCACGCACATTGCACCACCACCACCACCACCACCACCACCACCACCACCACCACCACCACCACCACCACCACCACCACCACCACCACCACCTTCACAGAGCCAACTTCACGAGCTGATCACCACTCTGTCTTCCACGGAGCCTCACTATGTCCGTTGCATCAAGCCCAACTCGCTCAAGATCAAGAATTCTTTTGACCCGGTTTGCATCTCTCTCCTTTAAAATTAGAACTATGGGACCTAACCCCGTGTACGTGGCCACCCGATAGGATCTTGTGGCTGCGCAGCTTCGCTATGCGGGTATGATGGAGACCATCAAGATCAGGCAGCTTGGCTATCCCATGCGCCTCGACTTTGAAGCCTTCTACAAACGGTACGCGTTCTATCGTTGTGCTGTACTGCGAGGCGCCCGCAAGGGGGCGGGCGGGCGTATGTTATAGCTAAGACCATTTTCGCACCACACAGCTACAAGTGCATTCAAGCGGCAAGCGTCAAAGGCACAGACTACCGTACACCGAGCTCAGCGATCATCGAGACAGCAAAGAAGACCAATGTGGTGTTGGCGAGCGAGCTCCAGCTCGGCAAGTCCAAGATCTTCATGCGCGATGCCCAGGTCCGTACCTTGCGCAATACTGGCTTCTTCCTCAAGTCCCTTTGCGGTAAGTCCCTTTGCTCACGTTGTTCTCGCGCGCCTGCCACGTGCTACAGTATGCCAAACTCGAAGATGAGCGAGGCGCCCGTCTGTTCTCCAAGGCCGTGGCCATCCAGAAGAGATGGTACGCAAAGGCGTATCCCCCCTCCCAAGACCAAAAGATCAAGAACGTGTAGGAGGAGCTGACCGCTTTTTTGGGAATCCCTTTTCAGGCGGAGGTACAGAATGAGGAAGAAGTTCAAGATCATGCGCAAGGCAGCCACCAAGATCCAGGCCACCTTCCACATGTACAAGGCCAGGAAGGCGCTGCACAAGAAACTGGAATCGGTTGCCCTCCTGCAGGTTAGTGCCACCCCCCCCCCGTTCGCTGCTCCATGTTTTCACTGCACTTCCGATGATGGCATCTTTACGTCTTCTTCCCCCCCCCCAAGGCTTTCTTCCGCATGGTCAAGGAGAAGAAGAGGTACATGAGGCACAGGAAGGCCATCATCACCTTCCAGAAGTACACTCGTCGCTGGAAGGTAAGCATATTGGCGCCCATCCGTTTCTCTGTGGAAAAGCCAGTTGCAACTCACGACACATTGCACCCCCCCCCACAGGCCAGGAAGATTTACAAGAAGCTGAAGGCCCAGAAGGCGGAGGCTGACCGTAGGCGCAAGGAGATCGAGCACGCCGAAGCGAACGAAAGGTACGCACATGTGGTGCAGTCCTTAGTCGCGCGCCCCTCTGACTCGTGCGTTTGGGAACCAAGGTCGCGTCTCGAGGCCGAGGAGAACCTTCGTCTGGCCGCGGAGAAGCAGGAGTGGGATATGATGGGTGAGGAATCCCAGAGAAGGGAGGACGCCGCCAAGGAGAAGGAGACCGCCGCCAAGAAGAAGGAGCAGGCCCGTCTGCAGATGGAGCAGCTCGAGGAGGTCGGCTACGGTGACAATTTCACCTCCCTGGAGGGTACCGGTCCTCCCCCCCTGCAACGATCGTGAAAGCGAACGAGTGGCGCTGAGGCTGGGGATTTTGCTTTCCCGTTTTCCCAAGGTATGATGGACATTGCGGCGTATGGCTTCGTACCTGGTGGGCCTCTTCCCGGAGCCGTCGAAGATGCCTTCGCCCTCCCGCCCATCGATATGGTAAGCCCACGCACCACCACCACCCACCCACCCACCCAGCAGCCACCTTCTGGTCCGGAGACTGACCATCGGTGGTCTCTTCTCTCCGTTGGCGTGGCCTTCCTCTTCTCTAGGCACTGCCACCGCTGCCGCCGGGCGCCACCGCTGGTATGGGCCTGGGCCTGCCACCTCCGCCGTCGGAGGAGATCTTCCGATTCCAGCGGCACCAGGGCCTGCAGGATGACAGCTACTCCGGCCTCCTGTACGCCGAAAAGTACGCAGCTCCCAGCAGCCTCGCCATCAACTATTTTCCCACTTGCAAACCCCGTTGACCCTTTTGGCCAACACACAGAAAAGCGCCGCCGCAGCTGATAACCGCGGAGGAGGTGCCGCTGTTCAATTTCAAGGAGTACGGCCTCGTGCATTTCCAGCAGCAGAAGTCGGGCTTCCTGCGAAAGAAGGACGTCACCGTGGGCGAGCTTCTATTCTTCAACAACGTGCGGATCCCACTTCCTTACTCTCACGGACAACCCCTCCATTGGAGGTCTAACCACTCGACACCACACGCACACACACACACACGTCGGCCGGTACTCCAGAAACCGTTAACGGCCGGATTGCACAATCTGTCGCCGGTGCACAACAAGGTCGCGGTGGAGATGTCGACCAAGATTCTGTACCACATGGAGAAGGGCACGGCCGACAACTTTGGCGCCGCCAAGTACGTCGTGCGCAAGGGTATCGCCTTCATCGAGCTCAGGGACGAGTGCTACTGCCAACTCATCCGTCTCGCCATCAAATGCCCCAACAAGTGCGCCTCGCCCTTTCCTGCCGGGAGTTGGGCTCTCCTCATGCACATGGACCCTGACCCTCTGAGCGGATTCACCTGGCTCTCGCCTCTTCCTACACAGGGAGTGGCGCCAGCGAATCTGGGAGCTCATTCTCTACTGCTGCGTGTCCTTTGAGCCCTCAGACAACTTCAAGAAGTACCTGGCCTCCTTCCTTCTCGAACACTCGAGCGAAGTACGCCCACGTCTATCCTCAGCTCCACATCTTCTCCCCCCTTGGGGGGGGGTGGCGGATCGATTGGGGGTTTGACTGGTGATTGGGAAAATGTTTGTGGTGTTGACGCAGTACCCTGGCAAGACGCCCGACAAGGACGAGTGGGTGAGCAAGTTCGCCAGCTTCTGCATGAAGAATCTGAGGCGTACCTACTTGAACGGGGCTCGCGCCATCATGCCGGCCAGCGTTGAGATGGAGGCCATCCGGGTGAGTTGAGCCTTCGCACGCGCGCGCGCGCGTGTGTGTGACTATTGCAGCAGCTTACTCGCATTGTTATTACTTGAACCCGTGCAGAACATGGGCGAGATCGTATGCCGATTCCAAACGCTTGACGGAACGTCGAAGGCATTCTATATCGACTCGGCCACCACAGGTAAGGAATTATGAGATCAGCACTGTGCGCGATATCCCCCAGCCTATGCCCATCGGGATGACTCTCACACAACTTTATATTATACCTTAACAGTGACCGAAGCGCTCGACGAGCTGTGCAAGAAGATTGGGCTCAAAGACCCGCGCGGGTGGGCCGTCTTCATCACCTACAATAACATCTCCCGCGGTCTGGGCGAGAAGGAGAGGCTTGCTGGTATGAGTCCAACTCTGTGTGACCACCCTCGACATTCCCATTTCACGCACGAGCATGACTGACCCCCTGGCACCGACCAGATACGTTGGCCAAGTACGAACTGCTGAAGAAGACGATGAACGAGAAGGGCATGGACGTCGCAGTGCGGTTCCTGCTCAAGAAGCAGATCATCCTCGATCCCCACGCAGAGCTCACCGACGAAATCGAGAGGACCCTGCTGTTCTACCAGGTAAAAGCGTCGTCCTCCTATCGGGAGATTCTTCCAGAGCCCACCTAACCCTTAGGCGCATCCTCCTCCTCCTCCTCCCACAGGCCCACAACGATCTCGTGTCGGGCCGACTGCCCTGTCTTGAGCAGGAAGCCCGCCTGTTTGCCGCTACGAAGTGCCAGTTCGAGTTGGGCGACTACGATCCCCAGCGTTCGATCGAAGACATGCTGTACGCCACACTAGACTCACCTCCACGTGTCTGCCTTAGGTTGATTATTAGAAAGCTCACCACTGCTCCGCGTGGTATAGTCCCGTTCTGCTGCCTCCGCTCATGCTGGCGAAGCATTCGGCGCCGGAGTGGTCGGCGAGCATCACCACAGAGCACGCCAAGCTGCAGGGGCAAGATCGCGAGTACTGTAAGCGACTCTACCTGGACATGGCCAGGACGCTCAAGTACTACGGCTCGTCCGTCTTCCCCGTCCAGTACAAGCAAGTGCCCATGTGGAGCACGTTGCCGCCCAAGTTTGACGTTTTCATCAACACCGGAGGCATCGTGTTCCTGGAGAGGGAATCCAGGGTTCGTCCCACCACCTCTCTCCTCCATAGTACACAAGCGCTTACGCGCGCGCGCGCTCTCTCTCTTTTCAGGAGGAGTTGAAGCGGTTCACCTTCCTCCAAGTAACGCAGTGGTCGTGGTGCCCCGGTTCCCTCCTTCTGGGGCTCTACGATGAGGGCAAGGCCAAGAATCTGGAATTGCAGACCCCGGTGGTACGTGCCCACCAATGCCATCCCCTCCCTCTGGCTTTCCTGATTGCTGGCCGGGTGTGGATCTGCAGCCGGATGACGTGTGCCTGTGCCTGCTCGCCTACGCCCGGCACCTGAAGAACAACTCCAAGTACGCCAAGGCGAAGCAAGACTATCGCGTACTTGACCCCCCTCCCCTTTCTCCCTTAGTCGCTCGTCACTCCGTTCCTCGGTTCTCCCACAAACTCAATTTCTGGGTCTGTCTCCTCCCATTTCTTTGGTACAGGTGGATGATGAGGAGCTGCTGTCCTTCGACAAGGACGACATCATCATCATCAAGGAGAAGTACGAGGACGGCTGGTTCTTTGGGCAGTGCGAAGGCCGAGAGGGCATGTTCCCTGCAGAACTGGTACGTGCGCTCCCCTTCCCCGCGAAATGTTGGCTTTGTTGTCCCACAAAGCTTACATTTTTGTTTGTAACCTGCTCGCCAACACCAACAACAACTTCAGGTGGAGATGTTGATGGGAGCGCCCAAATCCAACGAAATCATTCTCCAGAACACCAAAACCGTACGGAGGGGACCCCTGCCTGTAACGCCCAAGTATGCTAAGCATGCCGGTACGAGCCAAACTGAAATCTCCCCGTAGAGGGTCCAAGAGGCTCACTACACTACACACACCGCTTCACAGACACCAAGTCACCGCCGTCGGCCGCGCCCTCGCCCAGGAGCCCCACGCCCAAGAGCCAGACAAAGCCCGCCAAGTCGCCCAAGAGCCAGGCGGGCAAGGCCTCTGAGACTGAGGTCTTCTCCAGCGCACCGGTTCCCATTGCGCTTGCTGGCGATCGGTTCGTGTTGTTCCCGCATTGGTGTGTGGTTTGCGACGTCGCGCTGTAACGCCGCTCATTCCTTCTGTGCATTCAGGGTGGCTGGTCGTGCCGGCGGAACCCACACCATGACGGCCTGGGCCACGCTTATGTTCCGCAAGCCCGGCTCCAAGACTGCGACCTTGCGGGCGAGACCCATCACGCAGGACCTCTCGGCACTGGTCGCCTTCACTCTGGTAGGAGTTTCTTTGGGGGCTCCTCCCCAAAACGAGCCGCAGCCATATCAACCGACCCCCACTCACGCTCCTCCTTCCCCTTCCGACAGAGCCCCATCAAGGTCTCTCTCCTCGATCTGGAGCCTAAGGCCTCGAAGGTGGCCACTGAGATCTTCCAGAACATCATGAAGTGGATGGAAGACTTCCCGCTCGGCAAGGTGAGCATCGTGCCTCACCGTGTGTGTGTGTGTGTGTGTGTGTGTGTGTTGTATCTACCACTTTTCATCCGCTGAAGGCATGCCTCCTCCGTCGCCACAGAGCACGAAGCCCAAAATCGTGCAGGAGATCATCCAGTGTGCTCTCGAAGATGCCAGCATCCGAGACGAAGTCTACAGTCAACTGTGCAAGCAGGCCACACGCAACCCGCGAGCGTACGCACCTGCTCCTTTGGGGCTCTTCAGGCATCCTTCACTGAGAGTGGAGACAGCTAACCAAGGAAGGAAACCGCATTCCCGGGATCGCGATACACAGGGAGAGCATGCACAAGGGTCTGCGGTTGATGGCCATGTGCACGGGCATCTTCGCTCCCTCGATCGAGTTCCTGCCCTACCTGGAACAGTTCCTGGATGAGCTGGTCGTCAACAACCAGAGCAACGACATCGGTATAACCACCCGTTTTTTTTTCTTTCCATTTTGCCCGAGAAACTCGCACTGAGTTTGTGCGAACACACAAACTCGCAGCTGCCTGGCAGTTCGTTGCTAACTTTACGACACGCGACGCGCTCCTCCTCACCAGGTGATATTGCCGCCGATGTGCTCTGGTGCCTCAACAACACGCTCCACAAGGGTGACCGCAGGTTCGGGCCATCGCTGGAGGAGCTCAAGGCTGTGTCAAGCGGCAGTCCGATCATGCTCCGCGCATCGCTACTCGATGGCCAGGTCAAGGCTATCCACATCAACTCCCAGTCCACTGTCGGCGAGGCCGTCGTCGAGCTCATCCACAAGTGCGTGACGTGGCAGCCCCTAAGGGGCCACCATCAGCCCATGCACAAACGGCCGTTTAAGTTGCATATGTGTGTGCTCACTAACCGCTGTGATTGCCGCCCTCCCCACCAGGACTGGTCTGGGATCTGACTTTGGCGATGGTTGGGGTCTGTTCGAAGACTCTGGGGAGGAGTGCTGGCCCATTCGGGAGGACACCAAGGTGTGCGACATGATGTGGCTGTGGGAAAAGACTCCCCTGAACCACCGCAAATCCAAGACTCTCCGCAGGAGCCAGGTACAACAGTCCGCCAGCAATTTACAGCACGCGACACACAAGCGGGTACACGCGTCACGCAGTGCACTCACAGGGTGTTCTTGTGGTGATCTTCTCTCGCGCCAATGCAGATGCCGTCAATGGACGTGGGAGATCAGCCCTACAAGTTCGTGTTCAAGAAGAAGTTTTGGTTCAACGAGTTCACCGAAACCGAGCTGGGCGCCAACGAGGTCGCCTTCAACCTGATTTACTGTCAGGTACGTACTTTGGGCCAGCCCCCCCCCAAACTTTATTATTTCCGCCTGACCGTCACGTTGGGGATCGCCAGTTGGTGGATGACTTCATCAACTCGCGCCTTCCGCTGAGCGAGGACATCTGTCTGCAATTGGCCGCCATCCTGGTGGGCGCTCGTCTGGGAGGCAGCAGCTTGTTGAACTCGTACGTCGTGCGCGCCTCATCGCTGTTGTTGTTGTTGTTGTTGTTGTTCACTAACACGAAGACCGTGGGTGTGCGCCTCGTTGTGTATATAGGGCCAACATCTTGGAGTTTATCCCGTTGCACCTTCGCATGGCTCACAAGAAGGAGGACTGGCTCTCGGCCCTTAATGAAAAGCTCTTCGAGTTCACCGGCCTGACTGGCCGTGCCGCCATGATGCGCTTCGTGTCCAAGGTGCTCTCGCTCTGTATTCTGTTATTTTGGCGCCATGTGCGCTGACCATGGGCATTGGTGTTTTTTGGGTATAATTTTAAATCTACAGTGGATGAAGTCCGACGTGTACGGCGCGATCGCCTTCCCGGCCTCGGTGCTCCAGCAGTCGAAGGAATCGAAGCTGCCCAGCAGGTGCTGGTTCCTTCTGGACCAGAAGGCCGTCCGCATCTACGATTACCATGGCAGCGTACGTTGGCCTCTCTTTCGCTTCCCCATCCCCCTTTGTAGAGGCTGACTGACTGACTGAACCCCCTCCCCCAAACCAACAACAACAACAACAACAACAACAACAACAACAACAACAACAACAACAACAACAACAACAACAACAACAGGTCGAGGTGGGCAGATACGAGTACACCTACATCTCGCAGTGGAACAACACCAAGGAGGGATGGCTCATGGTAGTTGGTGATCTGTTCAAGCCCGAACGCTTCACTTTCGGATCGCCCAAGGTGTGTTCCACTCCCCCCTTCCTCGCAAAACACCTGGTGAATGTACGTGTGTGTTGGGAGCACAAGCCTGATCTCGGCTCTCTCCGTCATCGCAGGGCCTGGAGATTCACGAGGTGTTTGTCATCTACTCCCGCGAAGCAGCCAAGGAGCGAAGCTAGGCCAGCCCTTTGTTCGATCTCTCTCTCTCTCTCTCTTCTCCTTCAGTACTGGCTCGAAGCAACCCACCCCACGTGTTTAGTGTTGAGCAAAGTAAACGGGGTGCATTTAGTGGGAGCCCAGCCGGTCGGTTTGCTGGTCATACCACTGGGTCTCCTGTCCCAGGAGTTCGACGAGCTTCACGGTTTCCGCACTCTTCTGGTCGCCGTAGATCGTGGGCAGAGCCGTGCGCCACTTCTTCACGAAGTCCGGCCGAAAGCGAGACTCAGCCTGATCCAGGAACGACTCGAGCGCGCGCCGATGCACCGCCATGGCCTCGCACTCCTCCGTGGCATGGCCCACGAAGGTGAGGCTCAGGCACAGGTTGTAGATGGCGGCGCTGAACTCGCCTCTGTACCTCTGTACCCACATGTAGATGCGAACGATCCGCGCGTGGCTACCACTGAGGTCCGCCGAGAAGTGGAGGTGGCGTGGGACTTCGAGGGCCGCGAGAAGGGAGTTAGTCTGTTGCAGCTGCTTCGACGCGTGGCTGCGCTCGCCGGCCATGAGCACGACCTGGCAGCCGAGGGTCACCATGGCCGCGATATCCACTTCCCTTTCCGTCTCGTGAGATCCTCCGAGCGTACTAGGCCGCTGCGAGGCATCAGCCTGAGCTTCGTCCTCGGCCTCAGCCTCGGCCTCGGCCATAGTATCGGCCTTCTCCTTCCCTTTGTAGCTCTTCTGGGGCTCCGGAGCGAGTGAGAGCTCCTCAAGCAACTGACGCATACCCTGGCATCAAGCCAAGACACAAACAACGGCTAATCAGCGTAATGGTAAGAGTGCAACAGGCACAAGAGGTAGGGTGGGACCTCGGGGGTGCTCTGGCCCTGGATGGAGTCGCCTTATGTTGATCCCCAACAAGTGGGAAAAGAAACTGAGTTACTCTGCTTGTTCGGTGTCCAGGTGGTGTGCCCTCACCTGGTGGGTGCAACGACAGGTTGTCTCCAAACTGCGGAAAAAGTCCGTCAATGCTCTGTGTGTTGCGTGTGTGTGTGTGCGCGCGGAATGCACAAATAGGGCCATCAGCGCACTGCTTCCACCTCGAGGTAGAAAAGAGAACCAAATTTGGTACCATGCCGAAGCGGGGCTCCTCAACTGCACGACATTCAGAATGTGTTGTTGCTGCGAAGAATAAGCTGTCATGGCAGGGGTGCAGAATGGGGCCAAGGATGGGTACCTGGGGGGGTTGGGCCAGAGACGGAGAGAAGTGTGGCCACCGCGGAAGTGTAGCCGTCCAAAATAAGCTGAGCCAGGCCGTAATCACCATCACATGCGGCTCTCCAAGCTTGATCGACAGATCCAGTCAAGGCCCGCAGATGTTTGATCCGCAACAGCAGCTGGTGATCTGCTGGCGTAGGAACAGCCTGTGCGGGTATTTCATTTTGTGGGGTGAGCAGGAGGAGAAAGTTGTGTGGGATGAAGTGTCGAGCATAACCTCCAGGCTCATCATCGGGAGAGGGACTAGCGGTGAGGCTGCGAGCTGCACGGTCCATGCTTCAGTGCGCTGCTTTTTGGCAGGACCCTTGCATGTGGAGTGAAAGTCAGAGAGTGCAGAGGCACCAAGCCAAGCAGGAGGGAGTGCGCATACATCTCGGCCCCTCTTGTGGGAACGGCTGCCCGCTTGGATGCTGCCACATGTCGTGTGGTGATGCTTCGTCAACAGGTGGGCGGACACCTCCGAGGCAGCCATGTGCTGGTGGCACAGGGCACAGAACGCAGACTGGTCCACAGTGAACATTGGTGACTCGAAGTTTGCTCTCTGCTCTCTCGCTCGGTGCTGGTTGGACTTGGCGTGCCCTGCCGCTGCTTGGGGGGAGCCCAACAGGCGACCGAGCTCATTGGAGCCCTCCCTGGCAGGACAAATGGCACAGGAGACAGCATTGTTCCTCGTGATGACTCCATACCAGGTCCTGGAGTGAACAAATTCTGATGTCCACGCAGTATGAGGTAGGAAGAAGAAATCGAAAGAGTACAACCACTGAGGAGTGCACCATTTCCAGGTAGTTGCTCAGCTGTGGTAAAGTTGTCGGGGGCGTGCATGCTGGAGTATGTGTGGCTTGCTGTGAGCTACGTGGGATTAACCGAGTTCTGTTTCCCCGAAAAAGATGCTCTCTTGTCGGCAACAAAGGCCTTTAAATAACCTTAACCCCGGGAGTTGCGCACCTGAAATACCACCCAACACCCAACTGCATTTTTAGGTTTGAAACAAGAAATAATACGGGCAATTTTTCTATCTCACGCTTCCAACAAAGCTGAGGGGCGTGGCGAGCTTGTAAGGCTAAGGGGCATGGTGAGCGAGGTAAAGCTTTGGACTAGATATTGGGTACAGTACAGGTACAAAAAGAGAGGTCGTGGATCAAGGGAAGAGCTTGGGAGGAACAGACACGGTGGTCTGAGGCGCGCAAGGGTTCGTCGAGCATGAGGCCCTGATCACGATTGAAGGGCCATAGTTGATCACGGGGATGGTCAAGCCGCCTCGCGAGAACTGGTTGGGTGCCGGAGGGATCGAAGTCCAGGGCGCGTCGGTGCCCGGGCTGCCGAAGTAGCCGGGCTGCATGGTGGCTCGGAGGTACAGCACTCGAGCCGTGTTGTTCCAGTAGTAGACGTCGCCGAATCCGTTGAACACCTGCAGCGCGGAGCTCACCGGCCTGAACGGGTGCCTGCAAACGCCCCAGCTGGTGCTGCACCAGTTGGCGGCCTCGAAGGAGATGTTGAAGGTGGTGCCTGCCGGGTAGGGGAGGGCCAGCACGAGCGAGTCCTTCGGATCGACCTGGATCTCGCTGATGGTGATCTGCTTGGGCGTGCCGGCGGTGTAGCGAACGAACCATCCGCCCGACTGGTAGATGATCGGTCCCGTCAGTTGGCCCATCACAGCCACGTCGACGCCGAGCGACTCGTTGTTGCGACCGAAGTGTGTCGCCTTGCCGATGACCGGACAGGGCTTGGTGCCGTCGCCGCCGTTGACGCAGATGGTGGAGCCGATCTGTGCCTCGCGAGTCGGGTCGACGGAGAGCTTGATGGCCGCGCTGCTGTCCTTCTGGGCCATGCGACACACCCACCTCTCGGCCACGAGCTGGCACCCGTCGTTCATCTTCCACCATTGATCGGCCCACGCCGAACCGATCATCGTCCTCTGGCCCGTGCCGGAGGCAGTGCCGTCAGCGTCGAGCCAGCTCTGCATTCGGCCGGAGACCGTCTCGCCCGTGGCGTCGGCGAGCTGGGTCGAGGAGCGCCAGATGTTGTTGCAGTTGGTGTAGTTGATGCCCGCGGTGGTCTGCATGATCTGCGGCACGAACTGATCCGAGTGCGTGAGCGATGTGAACACGGCCGCGCCGTTGCACTTGCCCGGCTCGTTTCCGAAGATGCAGCCCGACCAGTCGTTGCGGCAGTTCCTGAAGGTCGAGTTCTGCACGATGTGGTTCTGGCTGACGTCGTACCACTGGAACCCGCCGATAGTGGTGAAGAAGTAGAAGTCGCGGACGTTGCAGTCGCCCCACCGCGGCGAGGCCGAGGCCCTCGGGCAACCGGCGAACGGCGTCGGCCGGTGGTTGGACCGGCACTCCATGAGCATGCCGTTGACCCACACCTGACCGAACACGTTCATGGAGAGCGCGGTGTCGTGGATCTCGATGCGGACGATGTTGGCCCGGTTGCCCCACGCTTGCAGGCCTCGGTTGGCGAGGAAGGCCTTGTTGTCCTCCAGCTCCAGCCACAGCTGCGCTCCCAGATCCCAGCACCCGGCGTTGGGCGAAGCCGGCGTGCCCACGGTCTTGTCGGAGCACGTGTCGTGCACGATGTTCGATCTGCCCTCGGTGTAGCGCAGCGTCGTCTTGGTGCTGTCGGTGTAGGTCATCTCGCCGCCGAAGTAGAAGGCCCCCGCCGACGCCCACCAGAAGCCCGTCGAGTGGGCCGTGTTGCCGCGGAAGGGAGTCTTGAACGGACGGTTGGCCGGATTGAAGTTGTTGACGTCCTTGAAGTTGCCGGTGGGTCCGGGAAGGCTGGGGAAGGAGAAGCCGGTCCATCCGCCGCTGGCCGCGTTGCCCTCGATCGTGTTGTACATGTTGGTCACGTAGAAGGGCGCCGCCGACATGTCGGCCGGGATGATGAGCGACGAGCTGTTGGTGTAGTAGCTCAGGTACTGGCCCCACCAGCCGTTGCCGCTGCGGCCCAGCGACGGGTCCTGCATGTTGCCCAGGATGTGGACGTGCGCGGCCAGGTTGTGCTGGATCGTGTTGTTCTCCTCGACGCCGTCCTCGGAGAGGTAGAAGCAGTTGCCGATGGCGTTGTAGGCCGTGTTCTGGGCCAACAGCACGCCGTGCGTCCCGTGGATGGTGTAGCAGCGGAAGAACGAGTTGTGCACGCTGCAATCGGTCGCGTAGTTGACGCTCGAGTTCGTGGTGCTGATCATGTGCCAGTGGAGCGGGTAGCGGCCCAGCACGTTGGTCTGGCCCATGCGGTAGAGCTCCACGCCCGAGAATCGGCCGCGCGCGCCCGTGCCCATGACCTGGACGTGGCCGCCGAAGCCGGTGAGGTACTTGTCGTTGCACGGGTAGGTGGAGCCCGTGCCGCCGACGGGGTCGGTGCAGGTGGCGTTGGCCGTGTCGGTGGGCTCCGACGATGCGTCGCCCTGGATGACGATGTTGCGTGAGAGCAGGCCCACCTCGGCCTGGTACTCGCGACCGCCGTAGTGCTTGTAGGCCAGCGGCGAGTCGAGCTCGATGGCGGCCACCGTCGCGTCGAGGCTGGTCTTCCACACCTTGACGATCTTCCTGACCTCGTTCCTGTGCCAGTCGCGCGCGTCCTTGAGCTCGGTCGTCGTGATGAAGACCGACTGGCCCGGCTGCCAGTTGACCATGTCCTGGATGAAGAGGTACTTGTCGCCGGCCTCGGCCGTCATGGCCAGACGCGACCACGTCGGGAAGTACTGCATTCCGTGAATGTCGATCCGGCCGGTCACCGCGATGCCCTTGACCTGCGACGCGGCAGGCAGGGCCTGCGCGCTGCGCGAGCCGTAGAGGGTGATGGTGACCTTGTTGCGCAGGCGACAGGTCGGCGAGCCGATGAGGAGCGACCCCAGCACGTTGAACCCGCGCGCCGAGACGCTGATCTTGGCGTCGCCGAAAATCAACTCCGAACCAGCGGGAACGGTGATGGTGCCGAAGACGAAGGAGGAGTTGATCGAGCACGACGACACCAGCACCTTCGTCGCCACCGGGATGTTCACGTTGGCCCCGTTGGCCGGGACCGACCCTCCCCAGGTGGTTGGATTGTGCCAATCCTTGAGACCCGACTGCAGGTGAGGACAGCCGACGGCGGGCGGGCTGGCCGCTGGTGTGACCTTGGCCGGGCGGTACTTGCCGTACTTGGCCACCTCGCTCCAGTGACCCGTGGTCAAGGCGCGGCCCGAGGGGACCAGAGTGGCCGAGAGGGTGTCCGTCGGGAACATGGCGCCGGCGGGCAGGCTGGTGTAGGTGTCGCGAGTGCAAGACTGCGACGCGGCGGGCGAGGTGAAGAGGGCTACGGCGGCGAGCAAGACGACGGTCAGGCAGGCGGTTGCCCACATGAAGCAGGAAGGACGGCTGGCCGTCATGGTGGTAGTTGTGGGTGGTACAACTGGCTTCCTTCGTCCGTTTTGTTGTGGTGGTGGTGTGGTAGTGGTTGTTTGCGCCCGCAATTCTCCCTTGTCATTGGCCCCCTTCGTTGATTATTAATCAGTTGCCTCATTGAGCCGGGATTAAGCAACCAATTGGTGGTTGCATGATCATGTACCGGAGATCCTGAGTCAAGCGTGGCACATCCAAATATCTCCAAAGCTACGCGTAAGGAAGCCCCTATTGGTGGAACCAATCTTGGGCCCGAAAGCTGCGGCAAGCTGGGGCAAACAACTGCACAGTTCTCTTCTCACACCACAAGCTCCCAACATGACCACAGCAGCCCCCCTTTTCCTCGTCCTTGCCTTGTTGGCTGCCCTGGCTGCCTACGCCGTGCTGGCCCAGAGCACTGGGGAGGACTGTCGCGGTGAGTACGGCGACGGGACAACAGTGTATGACCTCACCCCTCTGGCGGCCCTCCTCGGCTCCCAGGAGGTCATCACCACCGACCCCGATGGCCAGGTCTACTACAAGGTGTGTGGGTCGGTCAGGAACACCTTCTGTCAGAGTGAGGACGACACGACCCCCGCCGTGTGCCAGAAGGACTAGCGCGTCCCTCCCCAGTACCATGACCGTGGCAGCCAGGCGCAAGCCAATCCCTCGATGCTACCTGGGCCACCCTACCAGCCCGCCTCGGCCGGCTTCTCCCTCTACTTCCAGGGCGGCGAAGAAGGCAGCTACAGCCAAATCAGTTTCCTGTGGTACGGCCCCAAACCTTCTTCTTGTTGTGTCAGTCCTTCATTCTTTGTTTTCGTTAGTCATCTTCCCTTTTTTGGTCTGACACCTCTCTATTGGCAGCAACAAGAGCGCTGATGGCACAGGCCAGTTCTCGTGGGTTGGTAAAGACACTGAGTACAACCAGTACAACTTTCAATATGTCACCAAATATGCGTGCCAGCCCACACCCACGCCCTCGCACACGCCCTCGCCGATGCCTGGCAAGGACAACGTATGCTGCCTCTACTACTACGCCAAAGACCCCAGCATGACCAAGACCCTGTGCTCATTGGCCTGCCCATTGTTCCCTGGCTACTTTTATGTTTCCAACTGGACTGTGACCTCTTGTGGTGATTGCTTCTTCCACAAGAAGTAGCAGTAATTGCTATCAGCACAGAACATGTGCAACCTGATCATCAGGGTCTGTCTGGGTCTCTGCGCGATCATCGATGCCACCGCCGTGTGCACGTACCGCAGGTGCTCGTGTGCCGACAAGACGTGCTCGTCCTTCACCGGTTGCACGACGTTCACCCAAGATGAGGGCGCATGCGGAGCGCTAAACCATGTGTGCGATTGCGTGAACATGAGGATCCTGGCCTACGCCAACACAGGCTGCACGGGCTCGCCCACCAACGTCTACACCTCTGGAAGCTGCTACAACAAGACCTTTTGCTATTACATCGACTGTTGCACCACATAAATAAAAAGCGCCCTTGCTCTTGGTCGCATTATGCAATCCAACCCTCCGAGTAATGACAAAACCCGTTGGTGGGCGAGCCACCATGAAGATCTCGTGCTGCAGATTCAAGGGAAATCCAAACACATACAAAAAACGACCAAGATGAGTTCTCACCGCGTGTCTACTCCACCGTTTGTTCGCCCATCGTGGTTGCTGGCCTTGACGAAAAAGGAGGAACGGCGCTACTGGAAACACATCATTGATGACAATACCTTCACCGCCGAATCGGAGGCTCTCATGGCGTCGTCGGACACCGGCACGCTCTCCTCGCAGTGCGTCTACGTGTGTGACCTGTGCGAGCGCGTTATTCGATACGAAAACGACGGCCCCTGGCTGCAAGCGATGACAGGCCGCCGCACATGCGGTAGCGTGGACATCTGCAACCACTGCCAACCGACCGAAATCATGAAGATGCAATTTTGCTTCCTCTCGTTTCCACCCGGTGCCATGTGGGTGCGCCAAGCGACCATCGTTCGTTTGTGGGTCGACTATAGCGATATGGAAGTCCCGCTGTGAACAAATAAAGGCGTGCCATCATCGCTACACCATGCACGTTCAAATGCCAACGAGAGACGCGACAATCCGATCGATTGTTCTCCAAAGACTGTTTTATGATTCATCCTGAATAAATCAAAAATCCTCGCTCGTGGTGAAGTTCCTGCTGTTGCTGTCGGTCGATTTAGTGAGCACGCCGGACTTGGCATACTCGCCCACGCGGCGCTCAAAGAAATTCTTGCGGCCCTGGAGCGAAATGAGCTCCATCCACGGGAATGGGTTGGTCTGGTTGTAGTGCTTCGTTCCGCCGAGCGCTACGAGGAGGCGGTCGGCGACGAACTCGATGTATTGGCACATGAGGCCCGCGTTATTCCATGCAGGAAATGTACTCGCTGCTCATCGACACCTACGTCAAGGACACCGCCGAGAAGGCCCACCTGTTCAACGCCGCCCAGACCATCCCGTCGATCAAGAAGAAGGCCGACTGGGCGCTCAAGTGGATCGCCACCGAAGGCGTAGAGACCTTTGGTCAGCGCCTGGTCGGATTCGCCGCCGTCGAGGGCATCTTCTTCTCGAGCTCCTGCTCCATCTTCTGGCTCAAGAAGCGCGGCCTCATGCCCGGCCTGGCCTTCTCCAACGAGCTCATCAGTCGCGACGAAGGTACGCAGTTGTCTTGCCCCGGCTTCCCATCTTGTCTTACCACCCCCTATCCCATGCGCCAGGTTTGCATTGCGATTTTGCCTGCCTCCTCTACAGCATGCTCGTCAACAAGCCCTCGGATGACGTGACCAGGCAGATCATTCTTGAGGCCGTCGAAATGGAAAAAGAGTTCGTCACTGAATCGTTGCCGGTCGCCCTGATCGGCATGATTCTGGGGTCAGTGCGGACCGAGATCTGCATCATTGCGTGGGCACGGGGTGGTACCGAGTGGATGTTCTCGATGGCAATTTGGAAACCATAGAAGCACCTGCGAGTGGTGGGTTGTGATGAGCGGTAATCGGGGCGGGTGGGTGGGGCGCAGGGCGTACCTCGCCTCGGGGATCTGCACCTCGGTCATGAACCGCCCGGCCAGGTTCTCGTTGACGATGCCGTCGCTGGCCGCGAAGAAGGCCAGGATGTGTTTGATGAAGTGCTGCTCATCGCCGCTGAGGCTGTTCCAGTGCTTCATGTCGGAGCTCAGGTCGACCTCCTCGGCGGTCCAGAACGAGGCCTCGGCCTTCTTGTACATCTCCCATATCCGGGCGTACTGGATGGGGAACAGCACGAACCGGTTGTGGTTGGGCGCGAGCAGGACCTCCATTGGCGTTTGCATCTTGACAACAATGGTGGTCGGGCGCGTTTTGATTGTTTCTGTCGGATGGCGACGTTTATTGAACGTAAGGATACGGAACGCCGGTGGCGTCCTGATAATAGCCGGCAAACTGTTGCTGCTGTTGGGGCGACTGCGGCGGCGCTTCGGCGGGGAGTTCGGCCGGCGGATCGTCGATCATGAACAGCGGATGCCAGAGCGTCCTGTAGCGCTGGATCTCGGCTTCGGCCTGGGCGCGGCCGCGACCGGCCGGGCGGTTGCCGGGGTCGTAGAAGGGCGTGGCGACGAAGCCGATGGTGGCGATGGGGCGGTCCACGATGATGACGCACTTGCTCGAATGCGAGAGGTTGGTGATGGTGAGCGATGGGCGGGTCACCTGGCCACCCCATCCGTGCGATCGCGTGAGCCGGACCTGTATGAGACAGCGCGACATGCACGAGGCCGCTTCGACCACGGGCAGGCAGTCCTCGGGGAACGCGATGCATACTCGTCGTTGTGCGCGACGATGGTCTCGAGCGGATTGAGCAAGATGGCGCGATCGGTGGGCGCGATGACCGACGGCCTGAACACCGTATCGATCTTGGTCTCGGCGGCCGTTCGGTCGCCGCCGCCCCTTTCCGTCTCGGCCGCGACGAGCTTCTCGCGGATCTCGCTCCACTCGACCGCGTGGCGGGGCTTCTCCGTGAGCCCGTTGTAGGGTCCCTCGGGATCGTACGGATTGGCGAGCGGGATGCGCGGCGCGGCGCGGTAGAACGTGTCGCCCAGCTTGAGGAAGTAGACATTGTGCTCCACCGAGAAAGGTTTGATGCTGAGCGTGCCGTCGCTGAGCATGCCGTTGATGTTGAGATGCGCCGCCGCGCTGCGTTCGACGGCGGGTTTGGCCACGATCGCCGGCGGTCTCGCCACAGCGGGGGGCTGTGGCGGCGCGAGGGCGGGCCGATGCATTGCCGGCTTCGATTGGCCGTATCCGGTCTGTTGCTGTTGAGCGCGCTGCTGCTGTTGCAGCGCGAGGGCCTGTTGCTGGATCATCATCTGCTGTTGCTGCTGGGGCGTGTACGCAGCGACACCAGTTTGCCCGAACGATTGCATCATCTGCTGCTGCTGTTGCTGCTGCTGAAACATCTGTTGCTGCTGGAGCATGGCTGTCATCATCTGGGGCGACTGGGCCGCATAGCCACCGCCGTACATCGTCGTTGCTGTCGCTGTTGGGATCCTTCGTTGGCATCGCGCGTATTATTTTAAGGGTGGGTGGCTGAGCAACAACTTTTATTTGGGCGCCATCGTGGCCCAGGCGACAGAACCATAGGCGACCGACAGCCCCATCTCGTGCGACGCGGCCTTGAGCGCTTGCACCGATTCCCTGTAGTTGACCAACATCTCGTTCATGCGTCACATCATCTCGTCGAGTTGGCGGTTGTAGTCGCGCAGTTTCTTGCTCATACGATCGCGTTCGACGCGCAGCTTCCTTATCTTCCTTGCCAACCGAGATCTGTAGTGATTTTCGACTGCGGTCCTCTTGCGCATTGCGGGGGCGTGAAAAAAAGGGACCCGACTCCTCATGTCTCACGGAAATTCCTATGTGACGCGGGAAGAAAAGCAGGCCAACGGATCCTTTTCATACATCCACGACACAAATGGAGGACGATTACGAGGCTGACACTGAGATTGACGAGCGCTATGTAGAACGTGATGAGCTGAGCGACACATCGCCACCCCCCTCGATGGAGGTGCCCAATCAAGAGTGCGATGACGATCACGATGGCTGGGATCTGAACCATTGACATGCAATTGGTTGGATTAATCTGAGGGTGGACAGTGGGTGATGTTACCTGCCTCGTGCCATCGCGCTGTTGGCGCCCAACCTACGCAGGAATGGATCTGTTCGGATGACCCGTCGGGATGCGCTGGCGTTGGCGGTGTAGTACCACTCCACTGAATCGGCTCAGCACGCCATGATCCAACGCAAGCCCAAGTGGGCCCTGCAGTGCGGATTCTCAGTCCCGCACGAGCGCAGCACTTGCGACCAAACCGACGATATTGCACAAATGGATCGCATCGAATCACCATTGGGTGGTACAAACACAACAACGAAAAGCGACCATCCATGGTGTTTGTGGCGTCAGCCAGTGAAAAACAATGATTCTTTATACACACTCGTTCAGCAAATACTTGCTGGCCTTTTCTACACCCACGCACACCTGCTTCTTGGCTATCTGGCGCTGTTTGAGCAGCAACTCGTTGCACTTTTGCGTCAATTCCTCGAGGTTGGCCTTGGCCTTTTTGCGCAATCGCTCGATCTTGGCCACGTCCAGGTCTTCACCGTTGCTGTCGGAGAGCATGTCATCGAGTTGGTCGATCATGTACATCGAGTAGCGAGCGACAATGGTGCCCAAGTGCATCCGCTGTTTCGGCGCCAGCATGCGCTCCAGAAGTTCGTTGGGGCTGAGCTTGGGGTGAAGTATGAAGAGGTGGTAGAAGAGCGTCGTCCAGGCCAAGCAAGTGCCATTGTTGTGCCTGAGCAGGGTTTCCTTTGGCCCCTGCATGGCCTGTGGCCTGAACCCATCAATGGTGTCCCTTATGAAGGTGGTTGTACACCACTCTGATGGCTTCGGACCGCTGTATGTGACAAGAGCATGGTAGGTGTTGGGCAGTGTGATGAGCGCGTAGAGTTTCCTGTAGTGTTCCATCAACACGTCGCCGTTGGGCTCAAAGAAGTAGGCTTGTCCAGTGTTGCGGTTGATGAGCAGGAGCATGGCGTGGCTGTTGTTGTGGCCAAATGAGGTGGCCGTTATCACAGGCAGCCACGGTCTCTCTGGGCCACACTTGCTGACGCCTGCGTTCTCCAGCCACTGTTGTTGCATAGGCACATAGTGAGGCCCCTTTGCATAGTGATGGATGTGGGTTGCGTTGAAGATGTCGGGAGGCGCAAGGGTGTGGATGTTGCTGATGTTGGAGTGGTCCAAAAGAACGCCCTTGGGGAGCTCATTGGCTCAAGTAAACGCATCTTCAATGTATCCAGGCCGCTGTTCCTTGGGCATGTCATCAATGTTCTCCATCGCGATGTTCAACTCCAGCGGTCGGCCGTGCCCATCGACCGAGCACAGGCTGCACACGCGTTCATGCGTGACGATCTCCTTGATGAATTCAGGCCAGAACATGAAGCTGTGGCGCGATGAATGAAACAAGTCATCGTCCTGGGATAGGAACTCGCGGTCCTGCGTGCTGCCGACAGGGTATGGATAGAGGGTGTGACTTACGCCGGTGTAGATGCCCAGCTCCCTGGCCGTCAGTTTCTGCATTGAGAGGTGGCGGTTGAGTTGCTCCTTATCAATGTGAGGGCATGCCATATTGATGGCTCTCGCCTTGTCCGCCTTCCACAGGCGCTGAAAGTGTTCTGGCTTCAGTGGTGCTTGCGGTATGAGCACCGGCAGTGTGAGTGGCTTCGGTGCGGCCACCGCCTTTGCTGTCCTCTGGGCCAAGCGCCGGGGTGGCTTGGTCTCCAGGGCGTGGATGATGTTGATCTTATGTGCCTTGGCTGGGATGGCACGCCCGCCAGCTTGGCCTTGGCGCGCAGTTGCACCATGGTGAGGCTGTTGATGCTGCTACTGCTCGTCTTTTTGGTGGGCGGGTGGACCTTTGGCCTCTTCGGAGCGAGAGCTGCGATGAGCTCGGCCTTGCGCATGCGACTGTAGCTGGTAATGCGCACTGTCGACGCCAGTTTCTGTAGTTCGGCCACTGTTTTGGTTCCAAGTGTGGATCCCCTGGTCATGCTGTCGATGGCGTCCGTGGATCACCAAGAGAGATTATTTTGCACCCGGCGAAGACAATCACTAGTATTTGGCGTTGCGGATTGTGACCTTGGCAGTGATGCGCTTGGCGATGAACATCGAGTAGCGGCCTATAATGTGTCCGAGGTAGGGGCGTTGCTCAGCATGCGCTGCAACAGGACATCCGGCTTGAGCTCGGGGTGGAGGATGAAGAGGTGGTAGAAGAGGTAAGCCCACGCAGCACACGTCCTCATGTCCAAGCAACGTCGTCCGGTTGCCCTGCAGTCCCTGCGGCCCCTGTCCCCGGATGCTATCTCCCGACACCATATCGGTCACTAAGCTTGTCGTGCGCCACTCTGATGGCGTGAGGTTGCCGCTGGAAACGAGATGCTCGTAGATGGCGGAAAGCGCGATCAGGGCGTGGGTGACTCGGAACGCGCCTTCGTTGTCGGGGTCGAAGCCGTTGGACTCGAACAGGTACGCGTGTCCGGTGCCGCGGTTGATCAGCAAAAACAGCGCGTGGCTATCCATCCTGGTGTAGCCGACACCGACTGCAATGGGCAGCCACGGTCGCTTGGTGCCGCACTTTACGATGCCGTGGGATTTGAGCCAGCTGCCTTCCTTGGAGGTTGTATGGAAGGGTCCATCGCTGAACAGTTGCGCGGTGTTCACCCGGAACATTCCGGGCGGTTGGCGGAGCGTGTGCATGACGCCATCCATGACACGCTGTCGAATGTTGGCAATGTCCGTGTTGTTCGCCCTTGCGAAAGCCGCCAGGATTTCGTCGTCGCTCATTGTGAATCCGTTGACGAGTCGATTCCAGATACCTCGTTCGACGTTGAGCGTCAGCGGCCGGCCGTACGGATTGACGGAGCACAGATCGCGCACGCGTTCGTGCGTGGCGAGCACGCTGGTGAAGTCGGACCAGTAGAAATACTGGAGGGAGGTCCCGTGGAGCTCGTGTTGCGATAGGAACCTGCGATCCTTAGCGCTGCCGACCTCGTACAGATAGAGGGAGTGGCTCACGCTGGCGAAGATGCCCAGCTGCTGGTCTGTCAATCGCGGCGTCGCCAGGAATGCCTCCAGCTGCGGTTTCTTGGCGTTCGGGCATGGGACGTGGATGTCGGAGCGGCCGTAACTCCTCCAACCGAGGCGGAGGAGCTCCAGTCTCTGGGCTTGGGTTTGGGTCGTTTGAGCACGACCGCTTTCGTTCCCGGCAGCGGTGGCGGTGGTCTGGTGGGCTGTTCCGCTACCGGTTTTGGTGGCGCGGCGGCGCGCGATCCCGCGTTCGTGCGTTTGGCCAGCCGTCGAGGCTTTGCTTCCAGGAGTCGGATGATGTCGGCCTTGAGCGCTTTGGGCGGAATGGCAATGTTCATCTGCTTGGCCTTTGCGCGCAGCTGTGCGATGGTCAGAGGCTTCGCCGCGGTTGCCGGCTTTCGTATGGGGGCCTTTGCCGGAGCAAGCGCCGCGATCAGATCGGCCTTGCGCATGCGGCTGTAGCCGGCGATGCGCGCCGCCGATGCCAGCTTGCGCAGCTCTGTCACGGTTTTGGTTTCCAGCGCATTGGCGGATGGTTTCGGCATCGCGATTTGCAAGGATCCGAGATTATTTATTCACGATGTTGCCGTGATTTTGTATCCCATATCCCATCCGGGCAGCGATTCGGCAGACGAGGGCACCAACGGCGACACATACTTGACCCAACAGTTGGGTCCCGATCCGTTGCTCAGACGATCGTACAGCCACCCGTTGCATTCGCTGGTAGTATCGCACACGGACTGGCACTGCTGATCGCTGGTGACGTGCACGCCACCCTGGACGAGATCGCACGATCCGCTCAGATTGCCGCATGGGATCTGCTGATCCTTCAATGTGGTGTACGTCGAGTTTTTCTTTTTGAAGTAGAGGTAGATGCCGATGAACACGGCGGCGATGACGACGATCATGCCCAGGCCGATCAGGGTGGCCGTGCCGCGGCCTTCGGGTGTCGACATTTGGGATCGGCATCGGCAAACAATCACGGGCGAAAGGGACGCGCCAAAACACATTTATGAGGGGGGTGGGACGCTTGCATTTTGCGACAACACGATGGACACCGACGATTGCATCAGCAAGAGATCCGAGCGCATGCTGCTGGCATACGCCGCCAGTGGCAACCATGCGCTCAACGAGGAAGACAAGGCGTGGAGCTTGGATTCGATGCGCACCACCCCCAATTCATCGCTGTGGCCAAAAAATCGGATGGTTGATTGAAACAAAATAGCTCATTGATGTTGGGCGATTCTGCCGTTTGTCACCCTAGCTGGTGCCGTGCCGGGGAACACGGTGCCCACGGTCATCGAGGCCTGCGCAATGAGCGCATTCTGAGGCACCACATCGACCTTGAGGTTGACCGGCATGTTGCGCATGGACTTGTCGGTCATGCCGATTGCGGTGCATGCCGGCAGGCTGCTTAGGTTCGGTGATCCATAGACGGGCTGCATGTCGCTAACGCAGGTCTGACTGCCATCGGAGTTTGGCGAGCACGTCGAGGCCACGTTGGAAAAGGTGCCGCAAGTGCCCGGAGCCAGATACACACCCGATCCGTCCGGATAGCTGAGCGAAAAGTGGGGCGTCGTCGCGGCGGGTGGTATTGTTTGCCCGACGGATCGGTGATCGTGCTCACGTACGACACGGAAGCCGTCGCGTCCTCGCCGGTGGGCACCGCGTCCCACTCAAAGTAGTAGCCCGCGGTCGGGTGGCTGACGCTGCCGCCGGGTGGCACGTACCGGATGGCGTTGGCGGGGAAGGGTTGGGGCTTCAAGTCGAGCGTTCCGTTGAATGTCGCCGACGGTCCCGTGCCAAACTGATTGCTGGCCGCGATGGTGATCGCGTAGGTGCCGTCCTTGAGCGGCGTCGGCAGGAAAGCCACGTTGCTGCCGACGGTGGCTTGGGGCGTCTTGTCGCCCGAAGGATCCGTGATGGAGTAGCTGTAGCTCATGGAGTACCCGGCGCCGGATCCATTGGTCGGCGGATCCCAGGTGAACATGAATCCGGCGGTGTGCGGCTGTCCGTAGAACGCGCTGACAAAGGCGTCATGTGGCTCGAGACGCACGTTGCGCACCGATCCGATCAGCGTGTCGGATTGCGATGACTTGCCGTGGGTGCGCTTGTAGATCGCCCACCTGATGAACTCAAACACGATAACGACAACGATGACGGCAACGGCACCCCACATGTTTGCTGAATGGCACATCTGGGCATATATTTGATTCGCCATTACTGGCTCATGCGGATGTTGGACACGGATGCCGGGGTCGAGGATCCGGGGAACTTTGACGCGACGGTGGGGGGCGTGGGCTGCGATGATCCGGCCGTCGGAGAGAGCGCGCGGAAGACCAGATTGAATGCCTTGCCGCGGGACGCGCGATCGGTGGTCGGGAACGCCGAGCAGGCGGGCACCTTGCTCGGATCGACGCCGTAGGTGGGCGCAGTCGCGGCCACGCACCGACTGGTGCCGCTGCCCGTGGAGGTGCACGTGGTGGAGAGGGGCAAGGCGCTGCATCCTCCCTGCATGATCACGGGGCTGCCGTCGGGATACTGCGGCTCGACGGTGATCCGATCGCCGCTCTCGTACCCGGTCACGTCGGCCGACAGCTGGAGCGTGTAGGCTCCGGGCGCGCTCGAGTTGGCCACCCAGTTGGCGCTGGTGCCGGTGATGCTGAACACCACCACCGCGCCCTGGCCGGTGGCGCTCGGACCCTGGCCGTACTTGTTGCTCGCGGTGATCTGGATGGCGTAGGTGCCGTTCATGGAGGGTTGCGGGATGGGCCACGCCGGACCCTGCGTCTGACCGGCGGTGGACACACCCTTGGGATCGGTGAGCTTGACGGTGTAGCTGACCGGCGCATCCGAGTCGAGTCCGTCGGCGGCCCGATTCCACTTGAAATAGTTTTGTGGTTGATCGCTGGTGGCGGGCACGAGCGCGATGCCGGTGACGGCGCCCGGACGCAGGCTCAGGTCGGCCGATCCAGTGGCACTGGGTCCCGATCCGAACTGGTTGGACACCGTCACAGAGATCGAATAGGTGCCGTCCTTGAGCGGCGTCGGCAGTGGCGCAATAGCGCTCTTCTGGGCCTGCGCCGACGTCTTGGCGCCCGATGGATCAGTAATGGTGTACGCGTAGGCAATGTCGTAGCCGGGTCCGGCGCCGCTGTTGGGCGGATCCCACACAAAGGCAAAGGACGGCGATCCGGTAAAGAGACCGGCGCTGGATGGCGTGCTGTAGATGCGCACGTTGCGCACGGCACCGATCACCGTGGACGATTTCGGGGTCGGCTTGTGCAGACGACGATAGATGAGCCACCCGGCCACCACGCACACCACCAGGACGACGCCGGCAACGATCCAACCGGTTGAAGAATCCATGAATGTGAAGTCGTGTGGTAGATTTTATCATTATCGCCCTCACGCAATGGCGAGGTCGATCGCCTAGAACAAGATGGCGGGCACATGAGAATTATGCGTGATGGTGGTGGCAACGTGCTGGGTGTAGCGTTCTTTGCCACGCTCGCTCTTTTTGAAATTGTGCGACCCCGCCTCGAGGCTTGCTGGGCTACTTATTTGAAAAAAGCCGCTCATCGGGGTGCTCATTGGTTGGCCCATATATTTGGGATATATTTTCAGAAAAAAAGCGTTCTGCTGCTGGCAAACACTCCGGTCTTTTTTTTTGTCCAGACCACAGCCAGCATGCGTTCCGCCACCCTCTTCGTTACCCTCTCCGCGGTCCTCTTCTTCTTCTTCTTCGTTGCCTCTGCCTCGTCAGACGACCCTCTCAGGGGCGTGTTCGCCGACTGGATGAGGACCCACGCCAAGTCGTACTCCAACGAGGAGTTCGTCTTCCGCTGGAACGTGTGGCGCGAGAACCACCGCTTCATCGAGGAGCACAACCGCCAGAACCACAGCTACCACCTCGCCATGAACCAGTTTGGCGATCTCACCGCTGACGAGTTCCGTACGATCTACACCGCTCCCGCTTCTGACTCCGATGCTGCTCCGACCCCGAAGGAGGACAATGCCACCTCCGAGGCTGCTGCCGCCCCTGCCCACGCCCGTCGCCACCCCGCGAGCCTCGACTGGAGGACGTGGGGTGGTGTACAGGCTGTCAAAAACGAGGGTACACCGCCCCCCAAGCCCAATTTTGCACTGCCAATCTTCTATTTATATGTGATTCTTCTTCCTCTTTTTTCAGGTTCATGTGGCGCTTCCTATGCGTTCTCCGCCGTTGGTGCCCTCGAAACTGCCTACTGGCGCGCGCACAACACTCTCCCCGACCTTTCCGAGCAGCAGATCGTCGACTGCACACGCGAGTACGGCAACGGTGGCTGCGGTGGATCAACGGTCACCACTCTGCCTCCTCCTCCTTCTCCTGGTGGTGGTTGGATGCACACCGCCTACAAGTGGCTACAAGAGAAGGGTGGCGCGGTCTCCCAGGCCAACTATCCCTACACGGGGCGCGTCGGTGCCTGCCGGAGCGGTTCCATGCCGAAAGTTGCACAGGTTGCCAGATACGTCAGAATACCAGCAGGCAACGAGAAGGCTCTCCTCGATGCAATTGCCACGACCGGGACCGTCTCCGTTGCCTTCAACGCCGGGACCCAACAATTCTCGTACTACTCGGGCGGCATCCTCGACGTGGCCAACTGTGGGAACCTACCCACCCTCGCCGTACTTCTCATCGGCTATGGTACAGAGAATGGCAAGGACTTTTGGATCCTCAAGAACTCGTGGGGTCCTGCTTGGGGCGAACAGGGCTACTTCAGGCTGGCGCGCGGCAAGAACATGTGCGGGATCGCTGACTGGGCCTCCTATCCTTTCACCGCCTAAGGGACTTTTGACACTCGCACCCACACCCACCACGCACTGTTTGTTCTGTTTCTGCAAGAAAAGAAGTTGGTCAATTTTCCCATTTATTCACCTCCCTCTGTGACAGAGTTTTGCAGGCGCATCAGAACCTGTATTGGTTATTGCACTGAGTGCATTGCATGAATGTGGTGAGGGGTTTGTTGGCGCTGCGCGTTTGGAGCTGGTAGTAGGTGGTGAACCAGCTGTGGCAGTCGCGCTTGTTGCATTGGAACATGCCGTGGCTGCACTTGGGCTTGGCCACCTCCTTGGGCTTGAGTGTTCGTGTGTGCAGTGAGGGGAACATGTCTGTGTGCCTCATGGTGGCCAACTGCTCCAGTGACATGATGCTGATGAGCATGGATTTGTGCAGCTGAGGGTTGTGACCCTTGGCATCAATGAGGTTGGTGTGCATGCTGTGCACTTGTGCCAGATAATGCCACAGACATAGTTGGTGGTGCTTGTTGACTGGCTTGTGTCCTGGACAATTGTAGGCCCTGTAGATTTTGTCCTCTATCTCTTGTGCCAGTGACCAGTGTTTGGTGGAATTGTTGCCAGGCTTGGTGAGTGCATCTGTGATCATGGTCATAGCCTTGATCTGGAGCTTGGCCATGTGCTTGATGTGCCAATTGCCTGGTGCCCATTTGTGTGCTGGCTTGTGCTTTGGTTTGGTGCTGCCAATGTGTGTGGACTTTGTGATCCTCAGCATCCTGTTTTTGTCTTCATCACCCACCATCACCACATCATCAGATCGTCATGGGCGGAGCTTTATTGCCGTTGGATGGCATGGGCACTGCACTGCCTGATCGTGCCACTGTACTTTGGCACAGTGTTTTGAGCACCTCCTGGTGATGCAATTATTCTGGGAGTGGAGCCTGCAGTGCTTGGATTTGCAAATGGGTGGTGATTTGATCTTGGCCAGAGCTGCCTTGTGTTGTGCATGTGCCCTGACCTGGTGATGGGGCACTTGGCAGAAGAGCTTTGGATTGGATGTGAGTTGTGTGATGCAGTGATCATGACACTTGCTGTATGTGCAGTTGTGGATGTGCTTTTCAACACATCCCTTGTGTGCACACCTTGTGTGCCCAAGACAGGTCATCCTTGCTGTCAGTGTTGGTGCTGCTAAGGTTAATCTCTTTGTTGTTGTTGTCCTCCTTCTTTGTAATGCTGGTGGTTTGCATGGTGAGTTGGACCATGAGGGCAACATCAAAGATCATTTTGTTGGTCAGTTGGTCCTGTTTGAGGAGTTGTTTTGTGGTGGTGCTCAAAGTGAGATTGAACAGGTGAGATTGATTGTTGGGCATCTTGTTGTGTGTCATCTTCAGCCAGTCACTGACCACCTGAAGGCCTCGGCGAAAGCCTCGGCGGGAGTGATGGGCTCGCTCGGGGAGTTGAGGTCGAGATCCATGTTGAACTAAACAATAAAGAAAACAAAGGGCCTTCGTTGTTGTTTTTGTACTTAATATAAATGAGGTGTCGGCCGTTGGTTCAACGCGACACCGCCAAAGTTCTGCACGGCTGCACAGCATTGGGTGATCTGGTTGAGCACACAGTCCTCCATTTCAAGTGCACTGCAGAGGAGACACACAAAGCCCAGCTTTTTACCTCCTGCTTAATCAGGATGTCAATCCAGTTGACCAACAGCACCTCCTCCTGTTGGAGCAATCCCAAATCAGTGTAGGCATCAGTGGGATTGTAGCCCAGGTTGCCACAGTTGCACTTCTGTACAAACCAGTTGTCAATGTGGAACAGCATCCTTGTGTCCACACCCTTT